AGTAGAAATCTGGGTTGGAGTTAAAGTAAGCTTTAGTTTATAAATTTCCTAGATTAGATTCTATTTGTTAGGCCCTTTGGTAGGGTCCGGAGCTGTATAGAGAGCAGGGTTTTAGAGCGGCGGTATTAGAGAATCCTCCTTATCTTAATTCGAGGGGGAATCGGTAGTGTTTTAGGGATTTTTTCTCGGAAATATTATTCTCTTTGGGTAACTAAAGAAGAAGAATTAGAATTGTAAAGGTTATATATTTGTAGGTGTATTACTTTGTTGGTTAGGTAAAGATACGATAATTCGGAGAGAAGAAAGGAAGATAATATTCAGGGATTACTATAAAATCAGGGCCTATTCAGTGATGGTTCAAGACTAATTCTTGGAGAATCAGTTAAAGCGGGGAAAGCCCCTTTTGTGCAGAAGCCTCAGGCAGGGTCACTTGATCCCCCGTGACCAATCCTTAGAACACAGGACTTGTATAGTTCTGTCAACTGCTGAGTCCCCGAGTTATCCTTTACACTAAGTCTCTTAGAAAACATATAATAGAGAAGGATCTATTAATTTAATCTATTAAGAATATAGAGGTATATTCTAGGATCTAAAAAACAGATTAATAGCATTTACTGCTTTCAAACTATCTTTTTTCTTTAAGGTCTAACAGTTAGTAATCATATAAGTATAGTTTAGTTTATAATAGTTATAATATTTAGGCTTATTAGGCTTTAAATCCTTAGAATCCTTCTTATTATTAACTAAGTTAATCTTCTTATTATCTTTATTTTTACTCTTATCATTAGATTTCGAATCTATTATAGATACTATAACTATATTATAATCTCTATTATTTAATTTATTAAGCTTATTAAGATCTTTCTTACTAATCTTATTAATAAGAAACTTACTAAATATTTCTTCTTTAGATATTATTTTTTTATTCTTAGTAATAAATAATTAGATATAAAGATTTAGATTCGAAATCAGAGATCTTATAAAAAAGATTATATTAAATTTATCTATTATTAGTCTTAAGGATTCTTTAAAGTTTACTTTTAGTTTTTAGAACTTATGAATATACTCTTAAGATAAATTTCTAAATCTATACTTAAGATTATTCTAAGTAATAAAGTAAATAATTATAAAATACATTAAGAGGGTTTTATAAGCCTACTTTATAGTAGCAAAAACTTAGTAAAGGGATTTAATCTCTTTAATCTTTTATTAATATTAAAGTTTGATATAAGATTCTATATAAGTAGTAACTCGACTATATATAATTTTATAGTAGGTATAAGCTTTATAAAAATTCTTAAATCTATTATTTTCGTTCTTCTTCTTTTAATCTATTATATTATTGAGTTTTTAAAGAGTTAGGTATTTTTAGAGTGGATTCTTTAGTTGCTCTTTATATTTATTATTCTATTAATCTTTAGTTATATATCTCTTATAAATAAGTTTCTAAATCTTTTCTATAGTATACTCTTTCTTTTAATAAATATAAGAAATCTAAGTTTTTCTCTTAAGAATCTTAATATAGAATTTATAGTAGGATTATAAAATAGCTCTAAACTTTATAGATTAGATAGATTGGTTTTCTTTACTCTTTAGCTTTTTAATCTTATTAAAGAAGTCTATTCTCTCTAAAGGGGTAATATATATATTTATATTTTAACTGAGATATCTTTTATAGGGGTTTTTAGTCTTTATAATAAATTAGATTGAAATAAAGATAAAGTAAGGTGAATATAAGGGTGATTGATTATAACTAAATATAACCGAATATAGAAAAAGATATTAATTCTGAATAATACGTTTAAATATATAGAATCTCTCTTTTATTAGTATAATTTATTATAAAGATACATTATAGGGTTATTTAGTAAGATATAGGGTTTTTAGTGAGTAGTATTAGGGATATACAGTAAAATATAGGTTAATTAGTGGGGTACTCTATAAGATATAGGGTTTTTGGGTGAGTAGTTGGGTTAGGGGGTGTATGATAAGCAGTAGGGTTTTTGGGTATATAACATTATTGGTTGTAAGATATTGAGAAATGATTGAGGATTATAGAAAGTTAGATTTGATCTTTTTAGTGAGATATAGATTTGGTAAAGGGCTTTATAATTTGATAGAAGCTAACTATGGTGGATGGATATTAATTAGTAAAGCTATGTTCTATATCTGGAGAAAGGAAAGAAAGAGAGAGAGTAGGCAAGGTGAAGAAAAGGTTGAGTATAGATCACATAACCATCAGGTGATATATTATGTGATATGTTATATGATATGTCATGTGATATACCATATATGATATACCAGTCACGTGATATGACATATGATCTCACGTGATAACTGGTCATGTGACTCACCGTTCAACAATATTATAGAAAATTAAGTAGTTCGATAACGAATACTTTAGTAAACCTAAATTATTAAAACGATTAAATAATTAAAAAGTAACTACGGAAAATAATAAATTCCTAGAGTATTATTTAGATAATAATAGACTAATTAAATTATAATAACTTTACTATTTTAAAGGATTAAAATATATTTTATTAAAAGGTTATTATATAGTTAGGTTATATAATTATATTATATATTCGATATATTATATATTTACTATATTATATACTATAGGATATTAAAGTTATATATATAGATTATAGGATACTATATATATAGTGTACTTTATTATAGGTATTTATACTGGATGCCTAAAGGAAGTTAAGATGAATTAAGGATTAAGTGAGAAGGTACAGGACTAGAAGGATAGATCTAGTTATTAGCTCTTTCTTTCTTCTTTTTTTTCCTTTCCTTATATTTAGTATTTTCGACGAATATATTTCTTGATCTCAGGAACTTGGTAGATATCACATTATTAAAAACTATACTGTATTAGATAAATATAAGCAATGCCATAGTCCTATCTTAGGGGTCTGAAACACTCCTGTTAACAACAATAGTGATATAAGCCTCATAGACATAGAGTAAAGAGGGGTATAAAATTACGAAAGGATGAGAAGGGGGGTACTATAACAGGTTAAATCCGATAAGTTATCACATATCTACGTGACCTAGGAATACTTATTCCCACAGATCCCGCTAAATAGCTTCTCTTCTTTAAGATTATCAAAGACAGTATATTGGCTTGGCCTAGTTCAATTACATCAATTCAGCTATAGCCCTTCATATAGATTAGTTAATAGATTATTATCCGGTTATCTTATAGAAATGCTATAAGATAGGAAAGTCCCCTAGGACTTTCTTACTTCTGTAAGAATTAGTTTTGAAATCAATCTATAGGACTTCTATCCCTAAACCAGTATTGATTCGTTAGTGATTCTATAGTAAACCGAAACTACTTCCTCTTTGATATCTTACTGGGTTAATAGGCTATATACCTGAACCTATATACCTCTTATACTTAGATAACGATAGATTAATTAATCTATAATAATTTAGCTATTTTAAAGACTTGAATATAGTTTTATAAAGAGAATATCATATACTAAATAAGTTATATATTATATAGTTATATAATAAGTTATATATCTTTAGTTAAGTGACTTTGGAAGTTACATAATATAGATTATATAACTGATACTAAGTGATAAGATAAATATAGAAGAGACAGATAAGAAGCCTTAGGTTAAGTCCTATGACTTAGAAGGAAAAAAGCAGCTCTCATCTGGATCTCTCTTTCTTTCCTTTCTCTCCCCAAGTTTAGTATTCTGAATTTGACACACCTTTCTTTTTCAAGGAGAAGTCAGCTCGTGATACTAAGCTGACATACTATCTTTGATAATCTTGAAGAAGAGAAGCTATCTAGCAGGATCTGTGGGAATAAGTATTCCCAGGTCATGTGGACATGTGAGGACTTATCGGGTTCAACCCGTTACACTCTTTCCTTCCTTCTTCATATCGGTAGTTATCATTGAATACTACACCCTGAATATTCTCTCTTCCCGCGCGAAGCTGACCGAGAGGCCCACAGCCGGTACGATCGTGACAATAGGCTGGCTCATAATAGTTATAGTATAAGCTAGTGTTTCCCCAGTAATATAGTCTTCCTGTCTTCAGGTTCCCTATACATTCCAATGTTACTTTACAGAGAGATCATGTCTTTAATATAGGGAGAGAGGTACTACCTATATAACCTTGAAAAGAAGTGGAGCTTAAATAAGAATGGGCCCACCCCCGCATTTTATGAAGTCATCAGTCACAAGACCCTTCTTTCTCTTGTTCCAATCTTCACCCAGAGTAAGAGGCATCTCATTCCCAACACTCCGTTACTGATATACAACAGTGACTCGCTCCCACAAATTGAACGATCGTGACTATCTCCCCGAAGGCACCATGGGTGCCCGTGACCAAGTACCACGATACTTCGCCAAGTCTGGGCCAATCGACGCCGATCCTCGAAAGACAAAGAAGGATGGAGGAGGCAAAGGCAACTGGTGAGAGTTGGACCCCCCCCCCAACTGACGCTCTCCTATACCTCGACTTACCTGATCATACAGGGGCCGTTCTGGAGAGGAGATCCAGGACTACGGATACTCCTTCACCAATGCACGTCGCCGATCAAACAGTAGCACCCAAGGCCTAGCCGATTTTAGAACCAAATTTGAGGCCGTTGACCCGGAGCCTGTGTTTGAAGGAGTTCGGCACGTCTCGGACCTGGCAAGTGATAGGATCACGGCGGAGAGCTCCACTAGTGGAAATGACAGCGAAGCCGACCAGGATGGGGCGAAATACTAGGCCCATTATCACGCAGTCATTACCGATGATGCAAAACCAAGCTATGGGCAAGAACACGAGGATGTGGAAATATGGACAAGGTGTGACCGGTTCGCAGACACTTTGAATGAACGAGAAAATTTCAAGTCGTACCCTAAATTCATACCGACGAAGACACCAATGTTCCGCAGGTCCAAGTAGTACATTTGTCATTGTAGGCAAAGATGTTAGGAGCTTCTGGCGAGAGAACAAGTTGAAACACATATTCGAAAGTATCAAGCGTTTATCTCAGCAACTCCATCACCCCCGGAGGTATCATTGGGGGGCGACGATTGAGCCTCTGCAGTCTCACGCAGATTTTGGAACCAGAAGTCGACCTTTCCAATCTCAATGTACCGGCGCAGGACATCATTCTCGACCTCAAGATCGAGGGCTACGCGGGACTTTTGCTCGGGGCGGAAGCGTGACAGGAGAATATCAGAATCCGAGTCTGCCATCAGCGCCTCTGAGGGGGACATTGGCTTGTAGACAGAACAGCCCCTGGCTCTCGGTTCTGTACATAGCTCGTTAGTTTTCACTGGTCAAATTGTCAGTTGGTTTTGCCAAGAGGACTCACCTTCTAAGCATGCAATTAGTGCCCGGTACAAAGCAGTATCGCCAATGTAAGTTTCTGAATTGCCACTGGGTTTCTCGGCAGCCTTGCCCCGAGCCACCCAATCGTCTTTGATGAGGCAGCGTCGCCAGATCAATCGTTGCAAAGACGCAAGGTATGCAGGATCCCGCTGGCCATAGCGACCGTAATCAAGCACCTGCAACGCAAGGTGGGACTCGCTTTTGACAAGCTCATACCCTCGGTCATCCGTGGGTTGGGTAGGGCCCATCAAGGTAAGGACATCGACAAGGCCGTCAATACCAACAACTTGTTGGTTGACCAAGGTTGAAAGCGCCTCACTCAAGAGTTCATGAAGCGATGGACGGTCCTCGAACATGTGTCCCCCATAAAAATCGAGAGCGAGCTCAGCCTCTGCTTTTCTGTCGATCGCACCCTGCCAAGTGGGTTGAATATGCGCATAAAGAATGTCTTGGATCCCATCAACCTCAACGTAGTCCTCAAGACGTCTCACATCGTTCTGCAGAGTGGAGATCTGAGGAGATGACTGCTTTTGCTCCTGCGTCGCCAACTTGCCTAACTTTGCTAGCGAAATCTCTACACGGTGACTCCAAAGATCCTTTTCACCGTTGAGCGCTAGGTTTTCCAACGAGTCTGCGGCCGCGTCGTAATCGTTCTCTCCGCTCACATCGTTGATCCAGCTGAGACGAGAGTACGCAGGGTTCCTCCGAAGGAATTGAGTGACAGCGGATTGATACTTCCTGGTAAACAGTGCCCCAGGGAAGCCCATGGCTATCTGCTGGGAGAAGTATGCATCCGCCCATGCGTCACCAAACTTGTCGAAATATTTGGAGACCAGCTGCTCGGCCTCAATCTCTGCTTGACCGACAGGGCCGTCAGATGTCGGACTCGTTTCTTGGTCGTGAAGTTCAACGATCAATTCGACTAACGCACCCATATCCCGGAAACCTTCAGCCAAGTTGATGGCATCGTGTAAGTGGCCAATACCAGCCAACTTGAAGATCTTCCACTTGCGGTCTACAGCGTGGGCTTGTTCAATCGACACACTTTCGTCCAAGAGTTTGGGGTCCCCTTGTGCTGAGAGCCACCGCGTGCGTTCAAGATGCATCTGACCGAGCACGCGGAGATGTCGGTAGCTATTTTGTGCGACTTGGTTGAGCACCTGTGCGTCAGGCGCATCAGCAGTAGATGTCGAGGCTTGCCATGAGCGGCAGCTGTCAAGTTCCAGATCTAGTAAAGTTCCTGCCTCGGAGTAACCGACCCCCCTGGAGGTCCAAAATTCGGGAAGATCCTCGTATCCATCGGACAAAACTCCGTCCTCTAAGAAGTCCTCACTCAGCCCATACGGCACAATGTGCTCATCGCGATATCGGAAAGCGGTTTCGGTGACAGCAAGAAACAGCTCACTCGCTTCCAGTATTTGGTCCGCCAAGGTACGCGCATTGATTGAGATACTGCCCCGACGACGTTTGATGGCATTCTTTATCCATGGGATGATATGCTCCATGCGGTATGAATCTCGTAAGAACCATTGACGCACGGGGTCGGACTCTCCTTGGAGTGGGTTGACGGGGGACTTGAATTTGTCGTTCATGGCTCCGATGACGAGGTTGAGGAAAGGCTCCCCATCCTCGGCTTTGGCCTTGAATGACTCCTGAACCTTCCACATCGCTCTTTGTGCAGCAATTTTCTCAGCGGCCCAAAGGAGCTCCCACCGTGCTGGTCGGCTTAGAGGATTGCCATTCTGTAAAAGTAATGACGCAAGGTCATCTAATGCCTTTGCCCTGATTCGAAGATTTTGCCCAAGAGATATCGCCGTAGTGGGAATAAACCGGGATGATGATCGTAGCAGTTCGCTGCAGATTTCCAAGGACGCTTGCTCCATCTCCAATGGGGGAAAGTTCAAATCGCTTGCGCCGGAAAGATTCAGAGGATTTTTCGCCATAGTACCGAAGAAAACAGCTTGCTCGAGCTTATGCTTTGCCGTAATTTGAGGCTCTTCGACATCATCGCTAGTCTTTCCAGGGCGAGGGAGCACCGTGATGCGTATCAACCCACAGTTTCGAAGCATTAGCACGCATGCCGGATGTTGTGAATTGTGGGATTGGTCCTCTGATGTAGATCCTAGTATTTCGTGGTCTTTGCCGGATCTCAGGTGAATAGTATCTTGGAAAGGCATTGGTATCTTGTTCTCACCAAGAAGAAGCTGTGAAGATGGCGTGTCTTCCAACGTCGAGACCAATGACATGATAATTACAGATTGACCGATGAGGATAAAGGCTGTTTCTTCGGGCCTTGGCACAAAGATCTTGGGCTTTGATTCATCAAGGACCGGTGCGGGGATGTGATGAACATCCACCGCGTGGGTGGACACAACACGACAACCAGAAGAGCTTGTCAAGTCAACTTGAACAACGAAAAGAGCTCTGGATTCTGACCACTGGGGTGACCTGATCACTAGGAATAGGCGCCAGGACCCTTCAGAAGCGAGTGCAGAGTCGTCTGGAGATCGAATTGCAGAGAAAGCAAAGTCCATCACCTGGAGATCCTCAATGGAATTAGGGGATTTCGTGTAAGTCTGGGGAATGGCAGCCAGAATTTCTTCCCTCGCATCAAATCGCTTCTTGAGGGTGTTGCCGTGATTCCAGTGCGCGTCCCATATTTCAATGAGCCCTGTTGCGGTTGCGACAACCACATCACGTTGACCGCGCTGACAGGAACCACCGGCTCTAACAGCAGTGACTTCTTTTCTCCAGTACCCACCCCCCAAGACGTTTTTGAGGCCCCCGAATAACCCGCCACCAGTTCCTGCAGTGCTCCGAAGGAAGTTGACAGTGACAGTTGGCTTTCCTTGGGGATCTCTGAGCGTAACATGTGCCACGCGCCCGGAAGAGAATGTCACAATGACTCCGGAAGGCTCCCCGTTGATTATTTCTGTAGCATATTCACCCGAAAGCATACCTGGGGTAGAACCCTGAATGCCATTCTGCTTTTGCCGGGACAAGCCGAGCGACGCGGCACTGGACACGGTCTCCCAGTAGATCATCTTCCCCGTGGATGGAATGACCACCAAGAGCCCTGGATGTTCTCCCATAGCGGTAGATAATAAAACTCCGAGTGGAACCGCGCCCTTGGGATCTCTGCATGACTCTGGAATCGAGACTTCAAAGGTTTCCGATGGTGATGGAGTTGAGGTGGATGTAGAATATGGCCATACAATAGCATGTGAATGGGTCAAAGCTAAGGCATGGTCATGCCCAGGCCCAAAGAAGCATTTGAGAGGCTCTGTGTCCGCACGTTAGCTATTTGATGGCGAAGGAGCAGCCGAGGAGTGCCATTTGGCCATACCTGTCTGTGACCCGCGAATTTGATCTGGCAACGTTGGTAATTGGTCCACGGTGTAGAAATCGGTGCTTGACTGTCAGGTTCGCGCGCATTAGTATGTAGTGATTGAGATCCGAGCGAGCCCTGGGAAATATCAGGTCAACCCACCAATACCACTGTCCCCTCATTATTGCCGGAGGTATCGTCCTGGTCCGCGACCCGGGAAACTATGTGAGAATCGCTGGCTGTGTCCGTAGGGGTGTCGCCATTGGATGGAGTGGGTGTCGTCAATTGTGCGACCTCGCGTCCCAGCTTGGTATCAGAGGGATATTCATCCGGGCGCCGCAGAACAGAGCGCTGTCTCTTTGCCTTTGGGGGTTTTACAGAGTCGTCTGAGCTTGTGCGTGGGCGCCGACGAGTGCTACGGCCACCGGCCTTGGGAACGAACATGTTTTGGAAGTCCGCCTGTCGCGAGGACGCGCTTTCCCTCCAGCTGTGGAACTGTGAGCTTGGTCGCCGGATAGAAAGAATCAGGAAGATTGCCGTACGTCAGCTAGAAGACAGGCAAAAAGAATGTCTCAAGATCAACAAGAGTTGAATAATAACAATAGAGAGAGAGAGAGGTCCGAAGGCGGTGAAGGAACTTTTGAAATCGCTGTTTGGCCGCGACATGCTCCTGCGCCTGGCACATTGACAGTCATCTCCTACCTTCTCCGTGCCTGGGTATAACCTTAGAAGCCTATATGCTCTCCTGTCCCCTATGACATGCCCTTTTTTCTCGTTGTCAATATCTCCAGGTGTATGAATGGTTTTTCCTACACTAATTCCCCTCGGGAATGATACTAGGGCTGTACTCCGTAGAGTGTACCCCATTGTAAATACAACTGTGAAGGAGGAATCACCTCAATTGACTCGTAATATGGTCTGTTGAATGGGTAACTACGTACAGTGTTCCACATACGGAGTAAGGTATGTACTCACTATATCCGTCCACAGTGTAGTTACAGCAGAAACGGTGCCCAGGTGGAAGTTACCCCGTGCTCACGTGAATCCCGCATCTTACCCCACACGTCTAGGAGATAAGTCTATACACCTACGGCATACAAAAAGCTCTGCGGTCAACATGCCCATCTATTTGGACTTCCGGATCCCCAAGGGCTGATCAGGCTTACCAGAATAGAAAATGCTTCCACGCCTGTCGGGTTCCCGGCTGAGGTCCCCGTGCGGGCCCCGATCCCTGATTCCGACATGTTTGACGGGCTCGTCTTCGAACAGAGACCTACACACGGCTCTTTTCTTTCCAGGTCTGTAATCGCCCCAAACCCCCCCCCCCGGGTCCTTGGATTCCCGCTGAGATGTGTGCTATAGGACATGGTGTTCAACGGGTTGGGATGGCCGACGCCTGGATAGAAAGTTTCCCCCATACCGCTGCCTCGATACTGGACGAGATGGACAGCACGCTTGGGTTCAAGTTATCCCGTGTCATATCCAAGGGACCCAACTCGAAGCTCAATCGAACCGAAAATTCGCAGCCTGCTGTCATGGCCACTTCAATCCTGATACTCCGCATCCTCGAGAAAGAGTTCGGATTCGATGTCAAGTCTCGGATTGATGTAACTTTGGGACACAGCCTCGGTGAATTCTCCGCCCTAGTTGCCGGTGGCTACTTGGGATTCGGGGACGCTCTCCAATTAGTGCGACGCCGGGCTGAAATCATGGCCCAGTGTACGCGCACGTTGATTGCACAATCCGGCGAAACATATGGCATGGTTGCGCTCCTCTGTGAGCCCGAACATTTGGATAGTTTACTTCGAACCGTCCAGGAGTTTCTTAGCTTGGATCCACCAGGCATCGAAGGTGATGCACAGCACCCAGTCCCGCCAATTCAGCAAGTGGTGGTTGCAAATATCAATTCCAGGAACCAAATTGTGCTCAGCGGCAGTCTTGAAAGAATTAAAACACTCCTGGTTCAGCTCCGTCAATTTGGCGGACATGATCCGAGGGCCGTCAAATTGAAAAGTGACAGCCCGTTTCACAGTCCTGCCATGGCGCAAGCTACCGATTATATGAGACAGGCACTTGAGCAGATCCACCTCACATTCCCGGCATCATTACCTTGCATTTCGAATGTTTCTGCACTGCCATTCCAGTCTGAAGAGGATCTCAAGGACTTACTTTCCAGGCAATGTGTTGATACTGTCAGATGGTGGGACAGTATTCGATATCTTCACCAGGAAAGAGGGGTCAGGCGGTGGATTGGAATTGGCCCAGGAAAGGTCGGGCGCAACTTGGTTGGCAAGGAGGTCGGCAGAATTGACACCAAGGGTGGAGGGGTTTGGGCTGTCTCTGATCCTCGTGAGATGTCGGATATCATGGTGGCCTTGGAAGCAACCGAGCCTAAGCATGGAGATCTCCGAACACAATAATCAAACGATAAGTTCAATATCCTTGGAACTCCTACACGATTGACGTCTATATTGTCCGTGCCAAACACCACATCTTCGCCGGTGACTGATCTTGCTGTACGATTTACTTATGCATATTTCTTCCTACTGTCTCGAATGGACATTAATCGCCCCCCGAAAGCCTTGAGAGAATAGTTATTAAGCTTCGCTTCTTGTGCGTGGACAGCTATTATGTCCCACTGAACTTTCATTGTATTTCATTACTTTACAAAGCTGCACCGGGCGCCCATGAGTCTCCGATGCGTTTGACATCCGCAATAAATCTTTTATTAGAGATGGGCTGACAAGCAGCGAGAGAAGCCGCCGAGTTTCCGGGAACCGGTACGTGGTCATCGGGGGAATAAAATGGATTTTGCAGAAGCTGAATATAAGCACTCTGCAACGCTCGGAATGCCTGTCATATGCCATTAGAATACGAATAATTTCGATAGACGACTTGTCATTCGAGGTCACCGTAAGACACACCGGCTTCAGATCAGAGTCTCTCAATCCATTGATAGCAGCTGCTGCCGGCTTTCCAGGGCCCGAAGATCCTTCTTGGCCAAAAATGTCCACGATTATCAACAGCTTGACCCCAGTCGTCGTCAACCAACCGTAGGCTGCCAGTCTCTCGTCGATTGCATGCAAGAGGCCTAGGTCTTGATCGATAGAGGTTTGTTTGCCACGAATATCAAAGATGTCCAGACAAGAGTTCAATAAGAAGGAGAAGTCAATTGTGGAGTCAGAGTATGGAGGAAACAGAGTGATGTGAAGGGGGTTATCCTAGCATACGGAGTCAGTAAGACGGCTGCTGATGCGACAAGAGCTAGTCTGGTGGGAATACACACTGCTTTCCCAATTACCCCAATACAAGCAATGCTTGGGCCGGCCATTGCAGAATGGCCACTCGGGATGGGGAAGTTGTCCTGGGGGGTCTGCGGTTTGGAATGATTTCTTTTAGGGTTCCCGTGAATACCGCGACAAGTCTGGCCTGAGATTTTATCTCTCCATAGCAGCCTTCAGGTTGATCGGTGTTGGATAGCCCTCTTGAGGTTGGACCAGCAACAATTTGGGGACGGGGGAGTTTTGACCAGAGGGACGGTGGTCCCGCAGCTGTATATCTAGGCACTTAGGCACTCAGGCACTCAGGCACTCAGGCACTCAGGCACTCAGGCACTCAGGCATCAACAGAGGGACCAATGATCGCACAGCCAAATTCCATTTACGAGCATCTCACCGCCTTTACCATACCTGGCTGGGCATGTGGAAAATTACTGGCCTTGGACCAATAGGAAAGCAGATAATAGCTTACATCATCTACGTCAAACCGTGGCTATACCACTCTCGAGGTCTTCCACTTCGGACCTTTTTGGGGTCTCTCTCCTTGTCGTGCACCCGAAGCCCGCCACCTCTCTCGATTGTTGTATATTACGTCCACCGGTCCAGGTCTCGGCGTCGTTCCTCACCCACCTCTCAATATTCGGACTCACGGCTCTTTCTTCTCCCTCAATCCCTTCCGCAGAGAATTTACAAGATGCTTCCCATGGCGAGGCCTGCCATCTCTGGCGCCCTGTGCTGTAGGGACCTCCTCCAAAGAAAACATCGTCCAGAGGTCAATTTGCTAATGAATCGTAGCTGCGCGCCCCCACCTTGCGCTCTCCCTTCCCCGTGCTCAGCCCTTGGCCGCCCTTTCGACTTCATCGATCAAATCCGCGACGGCGCTTGAGCGCCCAACGCCCACCGGCCAATTGACTGCGTCGGGCAAGGTCCGGACCGAGGTCCCTCTGCCCAGTCAGGAAAAGAAAGAGGGTGCTATGCAATATGTCCTGTTCGTCATCTCGGCTCAATGTGGAGCCTGAACTTCCGCTGACCCTTCCCAGTACCACACTCGATCAGGTTGCCAACTGGGCTCGTCAGAGCTCTTTGTGGCCCATGACTTTCGGTCTTGCATGCTGCGCTGTTGAGATGATGCATCTGTCTACTCCACGTTACGATCAGGATCGTCTTGGAATCATTTTCCGTGCTTCCCCGCGTCAGTCCGATGTTATGATTGTCGCCGGTACCCTGACCAACAAGATGGCTCCTGCCCTGCGTCAGGTCTATGATCAAATGCCCGACCCTCGCTGGGTTATCAGTATGGGAAGTTGCGCCAATGGTGGTGGGTACTATCATTACAGTTACTCGGTTGTCCGAGGTTGTGACCGGGTTGTACCGGTTGATGTCTACGTGCCTGGATGTATGTTCCTTCCCTCCCCAATTCGCGATATGATCACTGACCACCCAGGTCCTCCCACTTCCGAGGCATTGATGTACGGTATCTTCCAGCTGCAGAAGAAGATGCGCCACACTAGAATCACACGCATGTGGTACCGTCGTTAAACGAGAGATAATGAATGGGGCTTGTTTTTCGTGTCAATCATGCTACAGGGTGAATCATAAAATTTATCGCTGTGGAGTGGAGTACCTTGATTTTGTCTTTATGCTTTGTACATCAATGTCAGGTTGATCTGATATTCTTTTCTATGTTTTCGCGCTTTTCCATCCTCCTCTCTCTCTCTCTCTCTCTCTCTCTCTCTTTTTTTTTTTTTTTGAGCCGTGTCAAAATATTCAACAGAATCCAAGTACCCATCCTTTACGGGTCCAGTCAATCTACCCATATATGTTATACAGAGTAGCACTGTAAATCATTGGGGGATATTGGTAGCATCCTCCATCACCAGGCCATTACAGAAGCAGTGCCACTACACTCCCGAGTCCGCTCACAGTTATCCTCTCAAATGTCCTATCTCTGTAAAACCAGCACACTTCGCACCCGTCTCTGTCCTACCTAGGTAGTTATCTATACATACGGTTGGTGGCAAAAGGCCAATAGCGACCATGAATTACTAATGGGCTCTCGGTAAAAGGATAATCCGTGTCTCGTCGCACTTCCGCGACACCCAACCTCAGGCTTGCTCAAGACGCTTGACGGCTCTCAAGAACTCAAAGTAGTAAGTCAAACCGGAAACAAGCCAATTGGCATGAAGCCGCTCTCTTACGCCAGCACACACAAACTGACACCGAAACTACAGGTCAGAGTCTTCTCATCATGGCTCGCGCTATCTTGAACGCCGCCAAGTCGGCATCCAATGTCGTCTCCATCAACCAGGTACGCCAAATTTTGCAAGTGACCATGACTTCGGAACAGATCTGACTGTGGAGATAGAAATACTCGGTCCAATCCACCGGTGTCTGGGAGCGCATTCGTCGCCTGTTCGCTATCGACCCCAACCGCTCGACCGGTATCCCCTTGAACTCTCAATACCGTCTCCCGACTCCAGGCTCTCTGCCCCCTTTGTCGTATGATGACCCCGTAACCGTGCCCGCGGGTGACATTGCCGACAACCCCTACTGGAAGCGCGATGTACGGAGAAGCTACCCTCAACTCAGCACTGTGCGCCAGGCCGATGCCGTTGGACTCCTCACCGTTGGGAGCCAGGCCGCCCCTAAGGACGAGGTACTGAAGCTCGGAGAGGCTGGCGAGCAACAATTGGTTTCCGTTAAGGAACAGGGTGAAGAGCGTGGTCTCGCCGCTCTCTTCGAGCAAGACAAGAAGAGCGTTCAGGGTGTGTTGGGTGCCAATGGCCTCCCTCCTCACCCCGCCAACATCAACCCTGTCTCGCAATCCTCACAGTCCAAGTACGTGCTTGGGACGGAGAACGGCTATCCTGAGAAGTATGTACGCCTTCCGGTGGATCGATTGGTCCGGACTAACAACCCACAGATACTCCTGCCGCACCTTTGTTTGAATAGATCGATACATGTAGCACGGAAAATATCACATTCCATTCCAGCGGTCATGGCAATACCAGCTTAATCCAGGCTTCGAATTTGAAATCGTAGTTTAGACACTTTGTTTGCGTGTGAGATTGCCCGAGGTCTCATCCTCGGTTTCCGGTTCACTGCTTTTTTCTTTTTTTCTCCCTTGCATCCTTATACATTTACATCTTTCTACAGTATATTCCTTTGTTCCTGATTGATCATCTCATTTATGTATTCTCCGGGTAAATGTGTGAACATCAACAAAGTATGATCTACTGTGAGCACCAGTCTATACTTGACCCCAGAAGATGGGTTCTGTAGATGCCAATGGCGATCCAGGTCATTAGACCTGGAGTATATTCGATGTCATCAAAGCAAGTTTCTCCCAACCCGGCGTCAATTCCTGAGAAATACCCGTCCGTCCTTGGACATAGATGCGAGCTGACGTCATAGCCCTCCGCATACTTCGGCCTCGTCTGATTCATGACGACGTCACCCCGGGCCTTGCTTGCTTCCTTCATAAGAGGCCCCTCGCCGCCTCTCGGTCTTCACATCATCCATCTTCACCATGACTACTCTTCACTGTTCGTTCAACTGAGGCCGAACTCTGCACCTTGGCTAACTGGTCTTAGATCTCCCTCCCGTCAAGCCCTCCGCCATTGCGCTGGGTACCATCTTCACCCACACTGCCTCCTTGGGAATCCTCGCCCCAGTGTTTGGTGATACCTACCACCGCGCCCAGGCTGCCAACTCCAAGGAAGAGTTCATTAAATCGAAGGAGGCTGCCGGTGCCGCCGCGGCTTGGGGCAGCTCCCTTGCGGGCAGTGCTGTCCAGACCTACGGTGTTGCTGCGTTGATCAATGCCACTGGTACTTTGAGCTATAAGGGTGCTGCATACCTAGGGACACTCATTTTCTTGGCAACCTCTGCTCCGGGCGTACGTCCACGGTCCACCTTTCAGATGTTTGACCTCCAATGCTGACCCCCATGCCCAGGTTGTGGCCCAGGTTTTCTCGGAGAAGCGGCCCTTGGACACCATTGCCGTGGGTGCCGTCTCGCGCGTCTTTGAGACTGTCGGACTCAGTTTGTTCCTCACCTGGTGGGGAACACGCACCCACCCCTTCGACTAAGATTGACATTGAGCTTCTACCATAAGACTCGGGCGGGTCGTGATGATTCATTACGATCTGGATGACCAATTCACATTGTTGGTCGTACATGGGTCGTACCCTAAGATGAAATTACACGATAATTGATTTGATGTAATCCTACCATATATGGATCTCCAGCATTCATTTGCCGCCGTGTGGCTTTACCTAGACATCTTCCCCTCTGTACTAGTACTGTACAGTAGATACTTGAACCAGAATTCCGATATTATCATCCACTGGAGACCAGTTGAAGGCGGATATTGAAACTACGCACGGAGTACTGACCAGATACCCACATTACCCACATGGATCGACCCAGATCCAGTCAACAGGGTAGATACTTGGCATTGTGGGTACAAGTAGTACATACTAGCTCTTGAAGCATATACTGATACATACATCCAATCCATATATGCCCTACTAGTATGAAGGGCTTGTGTGTGTATCAACGGAGGCTAAGTGTGTCGCAGGTACTCCGTAGACTGTTCAAGTGTGTGACTGCCGATCACACTCGCACGGGCCAAAGCTTGGGATACATTAGCTGCAGCTGCAGTGTAGCTACTGCGTACGCGAACATGATCTGATATCGTGCCTGGGTCTGAGTACCTGTGGACATACTTAATAGGAAGAACAGCGTTTCCCCACCTGGGCACCTGGGCAGTATCCGCCACATCATGTGATGTGTGTCGATTTAGCGATAAACACCCCCCCCCCCCCCCCCACTAAAAACTTCTTCATCAAACCCACGATGATCGAAATTCCCTTTGCAACGCCCGCTGACCTCGAATTGAGCCCACCTGGAAGTCCAGATGGGTTTAATGTTAGTGAATCTTTGGCACCACGACGAGCAAACAGCGCCGCAGTGACCACAGCCATTTCGTTTGACGGACTCCTGCAGGAACCGTTGAAACTGAAAGAAGATATCAAAGACGGATGCGGTGGTCAGCTATGGCCTGCAGGGATGGCCCTGGCTAAATATCTTCTCTCGCGCCATGCCACCGATCTGTCTGATAAATCAATGTGCGTGCTCAAGGCTTTAGCCTCTGTGGATGCGCTCTAACGAACCACTAGCGTCGAATTGGGGGCCGGAGGAGGGCTTGTGGGACTTGCAATGGCCCGTGGGTGTCATCTCGAGCATCCCATCTACATCACAGACCAAGAACCCATGTTCACTTTAATGAATGACAACATCCAACTAAACAACCTCGGCCCAAATGCGACTGCCGCGATACTAAACTGGGGAGAACCGATCCCAAAGCAGATCCCATCGAAGCCAGATGTTATCATCGCGGCAGACTGCGTCTATTTCGAACCGGCCTTCCCACTCTTGATCGCCACACTCCAAGATCTGCTGGGTCCAAATTCAGTCTGCTACTTCTGCTACAAACGTCGCAGACGAGCGGATCAGCGCTTCATGAAGTTGGCCAAGAAACTATTCGAAATGGAAGAAATCCGCGATGATGCCGACGCCTCCGCGTACAACAGAGATAACATCTTCATGTACACCATACGCGCAAAAAAGACCAAAAGCGCCATGTGAGATGATATGTGCAATGCTAGAAATAGATTTTATGTAGACTGAAATATCATGCCGGAATAACACAAATCCTTCACAGCTTCAGATTGTCTCCTCGGTTTTGACCACTCGCTTTAACGGCATCACCATTGATATTAGTGACACGACCCTCCTTGTCGATGACCTTGACGCCTCCCTTCTTCAAATCGGACATCATCTGCTGCTTCTCGGCGGCCTTGCTGGGCTTTTGCTGAGATGAGTCGGCGTTGGCCTTCTTCTGAGTCTTCTTGTTCTGGCGTCGGTTCTTGGCCTTCTCTTCGCGAGACATCTCCTCTTTCGAGACGGATGCACCGTTCTTGAGGACCACTTCTCCGCCAACCTTCCCATCATCACCGGGGGCGTAGACCTCCTGTGGAGCAAGTCCCACAGGCCCACCGGCAGCGCCGCCAGCGGTGGGGCGTGCCTCCTCCATCATGATGGTCGGCGCATCAGTGACAACGTTGATGCTGGCTTGGGCGATCTTTGGCTTGTAGTGCCAGTTGCATAGCGTATCCAATTGGGCACTGACGTCGTTCCACAGGCTGGTGATTTCGGCGTGCTCACGCATTAATTTGCGGTCCTTGGTATCGACAAAGTTGGGGTCATTGGCCTTAAGGTGCTCTGTCTCGTAAATTTCGGCCAGGCCTTGCTGGGCCTTCGTATCATCCAGTTCGAATCGAGGCTTTCTTCCGGCTTGTTGAGTCTCAGCACCTGGTCGACGGCGGACGACTTCGTCAAATTCCATGGCAAGAATGCGGCGCTTGACCAATTCCTCGATGCCCTCGCTAGTTTCATTGGTGACAACGGGGACGGGCTTTCCGATCCGTTCAAAGTCAAGGTCTTCCTCGATGAGAGAGTTCACGGGTCTCTCGACAGCTTTGGCTTCACCAGCAACCATCCACTCTTTCTTCGCGACATTAGCCGCCTCCAGTCGACGAATTTCATCGGCGATGCGGGCCCTTTGCTTCTCGTGTGAAGATTTTGGAGCATTATCTCCTGACTCGTCCATATCGTCACCCTCTTCTCCGGCCGAGTCATCTTCGTCGTCGAACAAGTCTCGTCGAACGTCATCCATAGCACGATTAACATCAGCATCGTTGACCGGTGCTGCCTCGGGTTGAGTTTTTGGCAGTGCCCGCGCCTTTTTGTTTGAGGCCTTGCGGGGTGGAGGTGCGAAGAAATCGGCGTATTTGATATCACTTGTGTTGACCCAGCCCGCAGCCTCCTCGGCAAGATCATCGGCATCTTCATTGTCGGAGTCAGAGTCGGCGTTGAGATCGACATTACCGAAGGTTGGTCCCTCCTCCTCACTGTCATCCATCTCTTCGTCTCCCTCCGTTGCGTCGTTCCTCGGTGTCTTGCGGTCGTTGACAGGAGCAGTATTTCCAGCCACCAATGGGTTTGCGTGCCAGTCCAGATCTTCTTCATCGCTGTCCTCCCCTTCCTCGGGTCCACCCTTGATGTCTTGTCTTTCGAGCGCTTCAGATTGCTTGTTGAAATCGTCGATGGAGAAGAACCCGTCATTCAGGCCAAATTTATCCTCGATAAAGGTTTCGGACGCTTCTTCTTCGCTTGAGGCGATGGATCTCTCGTCGTCCCAATCCTCCATGTCCTCGTCTTCCAAATCTTCTTTACCCTCCAAAGACTCGCCCTCCATATCAGACTGTACGTCATCTTCTTCCTCGGCGTCATCTTCCGCGCCCGAACCCTCGGAGAGTTCATCAATGCCCTCCTGGCTGTCACTGTCGGACTGCGCAAGCTCGGGGTCTGAAGCGTCGTCCAGCTCAGAGGCGTCCTGGTCCAAGTAGCCACTGTGCTGGGCGATCAAAGCGATATCCCGCTCAACCTCTTCGCCCGTAGTCTCGAGAATCCGAATGGCCTGTTCCCATATTTGATTCGAGGTGAAGCCGTCCACATAGAGATTCTTGAGTTGCAGCTGAGTAATTTGATCGGATTCCAGGTCTGATCTTTTGCGCTTCTTGTTGATTTGGCGACGAGTGGTTTGAGCATCCACGACGGAACCAGCGAGGGAGTCTAGGATGTGTTTTGCGGAGTCCACGACAGTGGTATGCAGATCGTCGGTGGGTCGAAGAAAGCCCCATGGTGCTGACAGGGCGGAGGACAGAGCCATCTTCGGCACTGAAGGCTGCGACTGCTTTCCTGGCATGGTGTGTTGTATGCGAGAGGGAAGACGCTCAGGAAAAAAATTATCGGCCGCAGTGGACCAATCACCTGGCGGGCGATAAGATAAGGCGATGCTCTCCACTTTCCTCCTTTCACTCGACTCCTTTGACGGTCGACACTCGACATCCTATGCTTGACTTGACATTCTACGTCGCATGGGCTTCCCTGATTGCCTGTAAGGCGAATGCTAACATAGAATATCCACACTCCACTATTGGGTCCCCGCACCCTTTTCTATCCGCCATCTGACTAGATTATCTCCAGTTCTCAAGCTTCAAACTGCAAACTGCAATATGTAAACTTCATTGCATTAACATTGACTACATTTCCCCCCAGGTCTCATTTTTCTAAACCGAAAATAGCAGCATCAATGCCATTGTTGGGCATTGCCACCGGATAATGACGCCGGTCCCCCATCATAGGCCTGTATACTACCCGTGTCACTGAATCTCGACCTTGCTGGATCGTCTGGATACCGATTTCTTCGCCTAAGAGGACCAACGACCACTTTGGCCACAGCAAAAGGCCACTTCCGCCACAGCCGAGGTCTAGAACAAAACCATCTGGGGTGGCTAAACAATCCTATAGGTCCACGAGTCGCCTCAATTCAGGCGTCTGGGCGCAGACCGTCATGGTGACAAGGCGCTTAAATTGCCCCAGGTGGGATTTGGACATACATAGATTGTTGCCGCTCTACTTAAGCTGCAGCTTCCCATACACGTATCCTTGTGATCAACTGTTTATATCACTAGTGTTTCAATTACTTGCAGCCTACTCTATCCATCTTTCAAGATCATCCACGATGCCTGTCTCTCAATATGTAGAGAGACCTGCCAGTGGTTCCAAGTCCCAATTCGAGATAGGTGGGTATACAAGTCCCAAGGACTATGGCCTCGAGCTCACCGAAGTGTACAGGCCACAAAATCCCCATCCAACACCTAACCAAACCGGGTTTGCAGTCTGATCTGGAAGACCCCAAGCCCGTGTCCACCCATATTCCAACTGAAGATGGGGGCTATCAGATCTATAAAGCGGCGGGAAAGCTTGAAGGAAAGAAAGCGATTATCACTGGCGGTGACTCTGGGATTGGCCGAGCTGTGGCTATTTTGTTTGCCATGGAAGGCGCCTCGAGTCTCATTGTATACCTACCCCAGGAGGAGTCTGATGCGCAAGAGACCAAGAGAAGGGTCGAGGAATATGGTCAGCAATGCCACACGCTCGCCATTGACCTACGCAAGAAGGAGAATTGCCAAAAGATTATTGACATCTCTTTGCAAAAGATGGGCGGCATCGACATTCTTGTGAACAATGCGGCTTTCCAGGATATGCTGAGCGATATCAGTGAGATCGACGAGTGAGTTCGCCGTGGCAGATGTATCAACCTTCGCTAATGCTGGATCAGATCCCAGTGGGAGCGAACCTTTGACACCAACATACACTCCTTCTTTTACCTGTCCAAGTACTCTCTTCCCCATATGAAAAATGGCTCCACCATCATCAATTGCGCCTCTGTCAACCATTACATCGGCCGAGGTGACCTTTTGGATTACACTTCGACCAAAGGAGCAATTGTTGCATTCACGCGCGGCTTAGCGAATCAACAGATGAAAAAGGGCATCCGGGTCAATTGTGTATGCCCTGGCCCAATCTGGACCCCTCTGATACCATCCACCATGTCCAGCGAAGCCATGGAGGCCTTCAGCAACCCACCGATGGGTCGACCAGGCCAGCCAAGCGAGGTGGCGACCTGTTTTGTATTCCTTGCGAGTCAGGACAGCAGCTATATCTCGGGGCAGTGTCTGCACCCCAACGGAGGAATCATGGTCAATGGATAACGCTGAGAAATCTCACAACGAAATTTCAGTTTACTTTCACCCGAAATTTGATTTTGCTTTCAATGTTGACGGCAAATGTTTCAGGAGTAGATGGTGTCTTCAATAGTGTGCGGCAGGGCCAGTGTGACAGTGACGGGTAAGCCTCTTCAGTCACTTATCTTTACCGCTAATCTGGGGCATAATTATCCACTCATATTTTGAGGTGACTTCCAACGACTCTTTGTTGAAGCGTTCCAGCCTGGGAGCCTGAGAAAGGCTTCCGGGGGGGTGAGGCGTATTGCAACTTGGAAGCATGGAGGCTTTAGGTGCGATATATAAGAATGTACTGTCGACGGGGATGAAAGCATTTGGGGATGTGGTAAGAATGATCCATGGCTGCTGGTGGGTACTTCACCCTGAGATGGGAGTCTGAGGCCAAGATCGAGAAATTCGTCATCCAATATAGTGATTGAACGACAAAGTAGAACTACAGTGAGATGGCGAATTCGAGCAGTGCGCTTCATTCCGTTTCTGTGTTTAGTCATGTGTGACACTCACGATATGACAGATCATGATATGTGCCTCGTTATCCGGTTGCTGAATATATCTGGCGTCTGGATGCCGCTTATGGTGCGGCTGTACACTACTGCTCTCGACAGCATGGAATCACTCGGATCCATCGATTCCCTTGCCATCTTGCTTCGTTTCTGGTTCGAGTGCCTTCTCCTCGTCGGTCTTGGGCGCATTGGCAACAATCTTCTGGACAGCGTCGACAGTCGCATCTGGGCCACCTGACTCCCGGAGTAACACCTTACCCTTCTTATCCACCGCAAATACTCCGCGTACGGTACCCTTTGGGGATTTCTTGAGACCAATAGCTGCAATGAGATTGGCTTGCGGGTCACACAGGAGAGGGTATTGAAGGTTCTGCCTGGTTTTGAAAGTGGTGTTGGCCTTGGGAGAATCCCCGGAAAGACCATAAATAGCAAGACCCGAGGATGTCAGGTGGGTATAGTTATCGCGAAACAAACAAGCTTGTTTGGTGCCTGAGGTACCGCGTCAGTGATATTGAGGTTCCACCTCCAACCCTCCCCAGAAAGAATGAAACCCACAGCCAGGTGTTGATGCTTTGGGGTATGTAAAAAACACCACGCCCGATTTGCTCTCCCCCAAGAGTGTCTTCAAGGAAGTAGTCTCGCCGTCATTGGTTTGAATTTCCCCGCCGAAGGCCTCAATATCGATTATATCATCCACTTCGGGCACCTTGGCGCTCCTGACCTCCTCTTTGCCATCCACCTCTGCTTGGGGTTTGGGAACTTTAGGCTTCTTCTCCGAGGCAGGAAGATTGGCAGGGGCCTTGCGTTTCCTGAGTTCGACCATTTTGTGAGTTGAAAGTGCCAGAGGGTGGTGAATATCAGCCCGGACTGCGTTCGAAGATGCCCAGGTGGTCCACGCGGGTCGATCCTGGACGCTGACATAAGCCGGGAAAACCCGCGGGCCCTGACCCGGAGAAATTGGAAAACTTTGGCGGAAAATCCACTTTTGACTCCATTTTTTTTTTGACGATTAATCGACCTGACTCAGATTTGCCTCTCTTTCTACGCTCTCCACAATTAGCATTCGCGCCGCTTCTGATCTTTTCTTCATCCCTTCGCTATCCTCTTTTCTGCTTCACCCGAGGCTTCCGATTGTACTTCCAGCACCGTCGATCCAACATGAAGGTCTTCTCGTCCGGTTGCACCTTCAACTACTCATGGGATGAGGTCTCGACTGCAAACTGGCGCAAGTACTGTCCCTGGAATGATAAGTCAACCCACGTCGTCGGCGTCGATACCCTTTCCCGTACTGTCGACCCAAGCACTGGCATTGTGAGTCACCGCACCCCCCGCCGAGTCTCTCGAGACTTCACCTTGACTTTCCACGTTCTGCTTTACTAACCACCGCCTGACAGCTCCGCACCGAGCGTCTGATCACATGCAACCAGTCTGTACCGCAATGGGTTCTCTCAATCCTCGGAGGGACCAACACCTCCCACGTCTACGAAATCTCTTATGTTGATCCAGCATCCAAGAAGGTCACCATGTGCTCCACCAACCTGACATGGTCAAATGTCCTCAGCGTTCGCGAGACCGTCACTTACCGGCAATGTTCTTTGAATCCGGCTACCACAACTGAATTCCACCAAGAAGCGAAGATCACGGCTCTCTGCGGTGGATGGCAAAAGATCAAGAACAAGGTGGAGGATGCAAGCGTGGAACGATTCCGAGAAAATGCCAAAATTGGCCGCGAGGGGTTCGAAACTGTCCTGGAGATGAGCCGTCGCGTCTTTGGCGAGCAGCGAGATCTTGAGAAGCAGCGCATGCAAGCATGAGCTCTCACGTTGATTTTGTTTGTACTAACCTCGTGATTTTTCCTGCATAAAGCGATTGCATTGGTTATGGCGTCTTCTGCGTTTCACAACATACGGCGCGTTCCGGAGTTCTTTGTTCTTGTTCCTCGAATTCCTGACTATTTCACTCTGCTCATGAATACCACTGTTTGTCCCACGATGCCAATTGGCTCGATGAAAAAAAAAAAGTTCCTTCAGTTTACCAAGCATCATCTGTCGGGGGACTTTTTTTTAACCATCTCCACTATATGAGAAGCATGTTTGTACCATTCGAGCCCCTCGAACATGAAGCTGAGAGATTCTCAAGCTCACTTCCGAATATGACTCTATCGTCTCAACCCCAAGAACGTTACTGGTAGAGCTCAATGATCAAGCTTCAAGTAACAAAATTCATAATTACCAGGTGTACCCAGATACTCTGTACATTCCAAACCCAATATCGTACAGCATCTTGTTTCGTAAATCGTGAAAACCCAAGTCACATATTCCTTGCAAGTAACGCCCCAAAAAGTGTTCCTCCAACCATTACCCCAAGAGACCGCCGAGCACCACCCGACTCACACCAGCAACTTCACTCTTGGCGCTGTTCCGGCTCGCATCTTCAAACTCACGCACTGCGCCAGCCACCATGATCTTCCGGAGTCTGGCATCCGCCTTTGAAAATGTTTCCCCCAAGGCCACTGTGCATACCGAGGGAGAGGATACCAGCGTGGTGAGCCGGCTATAACAGTCGATCAAGACATCACATAGCGTCGCGAATGTTTCAAAGAAATCCGGCTCAAAAGGCAACGATGGCGTGAGCAAATACGTATATTCCTCCCCTGGCAGGAGATCTGAGGATTCCGTGAGAGGAAAGGACGAGACCGAGGCCCCGGAGGAGCCTGATCCAAGATTCCCAGCCGTGCTTTTCAAATCCGATGGGTCACTGGATTGCATTGGAAGTCCAATCTCGGTGGCAGAGCTGGCGCGGCGAGTCTTGGTGCCCGCATGCGCTGCGCGCTTGAACATCTGGGGGATTCGAGCTCTCGCCAGACTTGACGATGAACTCCCATCCGGGGGGTGCACTTGCTGAAAAGCCTCAAACTCCAATAGCAGCGCGTTGAGAGCTCGTAAATATTCAAAGGGCGTTGAGTTCACATCCAGTATGGTGGGCAGAGACAGCCCCAGAAGTAAATAGTTGATAGCACGGCGGGAGAGCTTCTTAGCTTCGAAATAAGGGAGGCGGGCGATATCTGCACGCGAGAAGTGCACAGTATTAAACCAATAAACACGCCCCTCATGTCTGTCACACCCAATCAGTGATGTCTTGGCTCAGGCCGGGGGATTCACTCACGCTTTCCTGAGATAGTCTAAAGTTGATATGCGCTTCGCAGCCATCTCGTGGATCTGCTGGTAGATGGCGCCTGCACTCTGCGGGCCTAGCAGACCTCCTCCACTCGATACTGGAGGCGGGATGCCATGTGAAGGCTCATAGCCTGCGCCCGACTTGGCGGTGTCCCTTCGCGTGAGGCTCGGGGTGAAGGTAGAGGGGATCATCTGGTAATTTCGGGGCGAAATCGAGGCGACACGACGACAGCGGACAGGGGTTCAAAGGGTACAGGGTCCAAAATGCAAAAACAGGAAGTCCTCTAAAGGAAAAAGGGAAAAATCAACCGACACAGAAGATATGACCTCTCAGGTCTGTGAGAGAGACTTCAGGAGAAAGTTCCCCGCGAAGTTTGGTGTATCCCGTTTACCCCTGGTAATTTACCCGTTGATCCTCCCCCTCCAACTTCTCCTACTCGACTCTCCTGCACCCAATATTTTTGGCCAAAATGGACCCAACACCCCCCGAAGAACACATTCCACTACCGGGAGAATGGCCCGTTGATCCCCAGGAAGATCTTCCCATCTCAGAGGACCGACTTTGGGTCGATGGATGTTTCGACTTCAGTCACCATGGTTAGTCCGTCAATCCCCCTCAATGGCTGTGAGCTGAGTACGACGTAATCGCGTAGGCCATGCGGGAGCTATGCTCCAAGCTCGACAGCTCGGAAAAGCTCTTTACGTCGGAATACACTCCGATGAAGCGATCCTCGAGAACAAGGGTCCGACTGTGATGTCACTGGAAGAACGGTTCGTTCGCAAGCTGGTGGTGGGGTGAAATTGGTGCTAAAGCTGTCATTTATTCAGTGTTGCTGCCGTGGACGCCTGCCGATGGGCAACCCAAAGCGTCCCTCACGCTCCCTATGTGACTTACCTTCCGTGGGTCTCTCACTATGGATGTAAATATGTGGTCCACGGGGACGATATCACCTCCGACAGCGATGGCAACGACTGCTACCGGTTTGTCAAAGCTGCTGGGCGCTTCCGTGTCGTTAAGCGAACCCCTGGAATTTCAACAACCGATCTCGTCGGCCGCATGCTGTTGTGTACCAGGAACCACTTCGTGAAGTCGGTCAAAGGAACGCTTTCCGGGCAAGAAGGATTCGGGAATTCTGAAGAGCGCCAAGCGTCTGCCGCGGATCTCCTGCGCCGGATCAAAGACTATGCTACTGACGAGACCGGCTTGCAGCCCGGGCCCCAGGTGTGGACATGGTGTGGTTCCGGTACCGCAAAGCTGGACCATGTGCTAGAGGAGGCTGGCAATTTTGAGACATTGGTAGATGGAAAGGGACCCAGGCCTGGGCAACGTATCGTTTACGTTGATGGCGGGTTCGATCTCTTTTCGTCCGGTCACATTGCTTTCCTCCGCAAGGTCACCGAGCTCGAGGAGACTGAGGCTCGCCAGCGCGGCTGGTATGAACCAGAACAAATTGACAAACGGTTGAAGGAGTCCAACGAAGATTATTCCCCGGCCTATATCGTTGCAGGTATTCACGACGATGATGTGATCAACCACTGGAAGGGTTTGAATTACCCCATCATGAACATCTTCGAACGTGGTCTGTGTGTTCTTCAATGCCGTGTAAGTATCATCACACATTTCAGCGCACCTCGAAACTGCTGACCTGTTCTGAAGTACATCCATGCCGTCGCATTCTCGGCACCATTCACCCCGAGCGAAGCATACTTGAGGGCTATGCCCTGGGGCACCCCCGATGCCGTCTACCACGGGCCTACGACCTTCATCCCACTCACCTACGACCCATACACCGATCCTAAGAAGATGGGTATTTTCCGTGAAGCTGAGCAGCACGCCTTCCAGCACGTGAACGCTGGCGAGATCGTTGGTCGGATCTTGAAGAGCCGTGAAGCCTATGAAGCTAGGCAACGTGCCAAGCTAGACAAAGCTATTGCGGAGGATCTAGTGAAGTCAAAGGAAGCAGCCGAAGCCAAGTAGGCGTGCTCGGGGACATACTAATGTAATGAAGATCAACTGTACATATCATAGCAACCTCATCAACTGGGGTTGCTGTTTTCCGTTTCTTTCTCCCAACCTGGCACGGCACCTAGTTCATACCCTGCAATGCCGTCCTGCAACCTACTCTGCCGTATGTAGGTTGGAAAACATAGAGATACGAGCGTGTATGTATTTTGAAAATATTTAATTTAAGTCGAATGGCCTCGGCCATGGACGCAAAAAACAATTGGGGTCAAGACCCTTCATAACAAGAACACTTTCTGACCAGCAGGGATATTATGATCAGAATACAGATATACTTAATTTTACAGACTGCGGGTTGACATCCACCCTTTTATTCATCGGCCGCAACGAGGACGCCCTTGGTCTCCAGGAGCTTAGCAAGCTCACCATTTTGGTGCATAGACATCAAGATATCACATCCACCGATGAATTCCTTCTCGAGGTAGAGCTGGGGGATGGTAGGCCACTCGGAGTACTCCTTCACACCTATAACAAACAATCAGTAAGCCGAAGCATCCCAGCTCGGATCTCCATACCTGAACGCAGCTCTGCGTCCTCAAGAACGTTGAAAGCAACGAACTTCTTGGGGTCAACACCCTGCAGGCCAAGGATCTGAATGCTGGCGCGCGAGAAACCGCACTGCGGTGTCTCGGGGGTACCCTTCATGAACAAGACGACGGGAGCGGAGGAGACCGCCTTATCGATGGCAGTCCGGGTCTCGTTGGACAGCAGACGGGCATGGAGAGCCGACGGGATGGAGGGGCCCGAAGGGAACTGAAGCGCCGAACGGACGGGGCGCAAGAAGGATGGCCGTGCGACGGGGCGGAAAGCCTGTGGATGTCAGTCATGAGTTCTAGAGATAATTCTCCTCACGTACCGATGCAACTGCTCTGGAGAACATTTTGAACTATTTGAAATATAGTAGAATGAGAAAGAAGATCGGGAGACCTCTAGCCGCGGGAAAGGGAACTTTTAATCAGCGGCTGGCGGTTGGTCTGCCGATCTCCACAAGCTCGGACCTAGTGGCCTGAGGTTCTCAATATCAACTTCACCTTGGACACCTCTCAACATGGACACTCAACCGTTTGCCGCGCAACGCTTCAGGGAGGACGGCAAAGTCCACATCCTGGTGGCTGTCTCCGGGTCTGTCGCCACCATCAAACTGCCCAATATCACGGCGGCACTCTGTCAGAATGAGAGGGTTTCAGTCCGCATCATAGTCACGGAGGCCTCGGAGAATTTTCTCATGAATCAGAGCTCAGAGCAACCAATCCTTGACTCCCTGCTGCAAATAGAAGGGGTGGACGGAATCCATCGTGACCGGGACGAATGGTCCCCGCCATGGACGCGCGGGGGACCGGTTCTCCACATTGAGCTGCGCAAATGTCGGTGGAACTGGCAATCACTGGGAGAGAGATATCGAACTGACCATCACTAGGGGCACATCTTCTGCTGGTTGCCCCCATGTCGGCCAACACCATGGCGAAGATGGTAAATGGGATTGCTGACAACCTGCTGCTCTCGACTATCAGGGCCTGGGACACGACGGGGCTAGTAGACAAGGAATTCAAGAATTTGACGCCAAGGATATTTGTGGCGCCAAGTATGAACACGGCAATGATGATTCATCCCGTGACCGAGAAGCAATTGAAGGTTCTACGGGATGAATGGGGATGGAGCGAATCGAATCCGCAAGGATGGGTGACTGTCTTGCCTCCCATTGAAAAGAATCTCGCCTGCGGAGACGTGGGAAGCGGAGGCATGATGGAGTGGAAAGATATTGTCAGGGTCATCCAGGATTATATACAATGGGCGCAGATGCCCTAGCAAACACGGTGTGTTGTCGCTCATTTTTATTACATGCATTATAGGATTGCCCCGGCCTCTGGCAACCTTGGCTCCGCAGTATCATACAGTCCGAGGTACTGCATCGCATACTCGGCGAGCAAGCCCAAGGATATTCCTCCACCGGTCAGCAAACATCCATTCTTGAACCACCACCAGCAGTTCTTCACATTCTTCAGCTGGACCTTCCAGATCATGAGACCAAGCGAAAGCGCGGCACTTCCACAGCTACCAGCGAAGAAGACAGGTCCCGCGCCAATGGCAACTCCCGCGGCTGCGAGAAGAGAGACCTGGGTCACCGCCAGGCCACTCAATACGGCCTTGGTGTTGTGTTCATGGCGAAGAGCGATGGACTTGATTCCGGCGGCAACATCATCCTTGATGTCCATGTGTGCATAGATCATATCGTACAGTACTGTCCAAGCAATGCAGCTAGAATATAGAGCCCCGGCAGCCATCAAAGCATCCTGATTTGCAAGGAGGTCCACGCCCAAGGCTGGGAAGCCCATGATCGCACCCCACGAAAAGGCGAGCCCCAACACGGCCTGGGGATAATTGGTTACGCGCTTGGCGAGAGGGTAGGCGACCACAATCGGCAAACTCGGGATACCGTACCACAGGCACTGCGTCGGGAAGGAAAGCAGTACCGCCAGGCCCGCCAATAATTGCGACCCGGTAAAAAGCACGGCCTTGGGCGGCGACAGTGCCCCTCTCGCGATGGGGCGGAACTTGGTGCGCTCGACATGAGGGTCTAGATTACGGTCCCACAGATCATTGATCGCGCAGCCTGCGCCCCGCATGATCAGTGCGCCCGAAAAGAACAGAGCCGATGTGCCCAGGACCTGCAGGGGAGCTGCACCGGCCATTGGCGCGGCGAGGAGGGTGGAGAAGAGGGTTGGGAAGAAAAGGTAGTATGTGCCGGTGGGCTTGTCAAGGCGCACTAGCTCCGCATACGGGATCCATGACTTTGGTAAAGACGCGATCAAGCCGGTCTGTGGAGGGATGTAGTGGGTGGCCGGGTTCTTCTCCGCATGGTCCGTCGGCCCTGGTTTTATGGGCGATTGCAACGAATTATGTCTGACTTGAAGCGAAATTGGAAGCGATGTGGATCTAGGGAGGTGAATTCCCTTCAGTTGCGAGGAACAAGCATTGTGAGCGTGGGAGGAGAGGCGCTTGGTGCATAGACCGGTGATGACGGCCTTGGAGTGCGGCAACGGTCGGCCGCGGAGGGAGCTGATCAGCATTGTGGTAGAGACTCTTCCAGTGTCAATTGGAGCGATCCATGGCGTTGAAGGTCGAGATGTGTATGCACGTTGTGGAAGAAGTTGCGGAAGGTCTGCGGAGTTCCGAGGAAAATCACGCCTCTAAGCCTATTTGGGAATATATACTCACGGAACTATATCACGACTCCGTACGAAAGTCCTCTGTCCACGGGCATGTTTAGGGTGTGTACATAGAGATATCTCACTCGCCCAGTTCTACCTATTTACATCCATTGACATGCGTATATGAAGGGAGCAAAAGCCTACGAAGTCCGAGTAGTTCAGATAAGGAAGTTTCTGCCTGAGGTGTCCAGGCGCGTTGAGATGAGGAAGTACTCCGGAGACCCGTCTCCCCTCACACCTCACTGAGTCCCGGCACCTTCGCTCACTATTCTCAGTCTCTCGGAACCTGAACTTGACCTTCTTTGCTTCCGCGTCACTTTCTTTCGTACCTTGGTCTTGCCACCACCCTCGACTATGAACACGCGCACCGTCTAGAAACCAATAAGCCGCCCTGGGAGCTTTGCTTCAGCATGCCTGCTCACCGAAGTCGCATGGCCTTTGAGCCTATACCCCCAGATCTTGATATCAATGCGGTCGTCGCATCGACGCCAAACTTTCAGTTTGGAATGCGAATCACCTGTGACACCATCGACCAACTTCCACTTGAGCACTTCGAGAAGCTGGTATTGTACCAAGTCGTACTGTCTGGAAGGCCCCTTATCATCGAAGGCTTTCAGAAATACCTTGATAAAAACCTCTTCTCTGAGAGATGGTTACGCGAAACTCACTCATCCAAGAGTAAGCTCTTTGGGATTGTATGCTGCTAGTTCGATACTGACCGCGCTCTCACTCCAGCTGAAGTTGTGCGAGATATCACCAAAAAGAAAAATACGACGTTCTCAATGGGTCATTATCTTCAGAGCCTACCGCTCCTTGCTCGCCGGATGACAACCAACGACTATGCACGTAAAGATCGCCAGCGCCTCTACATGAAGGATATTGATTGCCCCCAAGAATGGCATGACTTCCTGAAAAACATCATCCCGCCATCGCTTTTCTATCTCAATGAGGCCCCCAAGAACTTTCAGGGCCCGGCTTCCGGAATGACAAGTCCCTCGGATTTCCCTCGGACCGCCGACAGGACACTGATTGCCCCCGCAGGGGACTTGATGAGTAGTCTTCCTGCCAATCAACGGGCCGAAAACTTGATGTGCTACATTGGCCACGAAGGGACCTATACTCCGGCACACCAAGAAATGTGCGCGAGTTTAGGCCACAATCTCATGGTTGAGGCTTCGCACGAAGGTCAAGAGCATGGCCAGCAGACTGCGTCGGGTTCGTCAATCTGGCTTATGACCGACAACAAAGACCGACATGTGGTTGCGGAGTACTGGATGTCTGTGCTCGGCCATGATATTGACATCGAGGATTTCTTCGCCCCCTTGCATGCCTGGCAAATCGCACCATTTACCACATGGGTTGTTGAGCAAAAGCCCGGTGATTTGATCCTTGTACCTCCTCTGGCTGCACACCAGGTGTGGAACCGCGGAACGCGCACCATGAAGGTTGCTTGGAATCGGACGACCGTTGATACCCTTGAGCTAGCTTTGCGGGAAGCTTTGCCCCATGCACGGATGGTTTGCCGAGACGAGCAATACAAGAACAAAGCAATTGTTTACTTCACGCTTGAACGTTACTCCAAATTATTACAAGGGGTCAAAAAGATGGATCATCCCGTGGTCGAGGGAATGTGGAAAGATTTCGGACGACTCTTCACTATGTACAAGGACATTCTTTTGTCTGAAAGCTTTTCGAAAAAGAGCCCGGAGAAATCCGTGGAGTACCATGAGTACCAGAGCAATGTGACGTGCTCTTTCTGCCGTTGTAACATTTTCAACCGTTTCCTCACCTGCAACGGATGTGCAGATTCGAAGCATTTCGAGGAGGAATTGGGGCCATATGATGTATGCATGGACTGCTACGCCATGGGGAGGAGCTGTGGATGCGTCTCCAAGCTTCAATGGGTGGAGCAATTCCCCATCAAACAACTGACAGACCGATACGACTCGTGGCGCCGGCTGATCGTGACTGCAGCAGAGGGCAAAAAAGATATCAAAGAAATGAAAGAAATAAAGCAGAACTTCCCCACCCTTGTGGTGGCTCGAGGACAGGCAGGCAAAAGGTCGATTGCCGAGATCTGCCAGGAACAGCTGGCTCGACGTCCTTGGAACGACCCTCAAAACCCCACGGCAGCGATTAAGCCGCCGCGCCGGCTACCCAGAAAGGGGACCAACGGCGATGGGGATGGAAATGACGACGGCGAGAGCGATGACGATGACGGTGATGATGACAAGCCTCGGAAGAAGAGAAAGATCCGGCACTCAGTGACCAAAAACCCCGACGGTATGCACCGGTGTCACGTATGCCTGCATCTTGAACTGGACTGGAAATTAGCCACTTGTTCCAATTGCGACCAGCATTACTGCTATGGAAGCTTGTACAGGGCTTTCGAGATCCGCCCCAACGAAGCAATGGAGAAGCACCACTGGCTGTGTCCCAAGTGCCGAAAGGTGTGTAGCTGCGGTGCCTGCCAACGTGATCCCAACAACAAGCCATACGCACCCAATTTCACTGTCTTGGGTCACGACACCAGCACGGTGGCTGATCCGCGCAGTATTGAAGCTTTGGTCGACTTCCGAAAGTCCAATCTTTGGTGGCTCAAAAAGTTTGGGGGCGATGATGTACATGAACGCATCGCCAAACGCCAGAAGGAGGCGGACGAGGCTGAACTTGCCCGTCACAACAAATTGGAAGCTGAAGGGTTCAAGTTCGAGACTAGTCCGTTCGATCAACCGGGTCATGAGAATGGCTACGATGCACTTGGCCTGCCTGTTGACCCCTCCCTGATAGATGGGACATTCCTGACCGTGACTTGACTCGTGCATACATGCATTTCACCCCATTGTCGTGGCATTGGTAGTGGGCTGGCGTTCCTTTCTTCTTTCAACCCCCGGGAACTATGAGCAACGACATTTGCTACCCGCTGTGTTTGTGTATTTGTGATATCCCAAGAGCTTGGCTCTCCGCGACCTTTTTTGCGCTTGATAGTGACGATCTTACTTGAATGTACCCATAAGCAACCACCTGATTCGGTATGCTATCTTTCATGTCCTGATATCTCGATTGCCCTGTAGCTCTTCCGAACCCAGGCCGGGGGACTCAAGACATGGAAACAAATTCATTAATAGCATCGATACGAAGTAGACGTGGAAGCTCACAGCGTTTTTCGATTGTAAGGCCAGTCTAGGCACCTTTGTAGTTGTACTGGAGATCCTGGAGAGAGGTGAGGTCAACCGAGCGCATCACTTTCTGAGCAAGGAGAATGGTAGCGAGCATAGCTGTGTGGTAGAATTAGAGCCAAAGGCTTTCACGATTGATGGGCCGAACATACCTCCAGGGACCAAATACAACACCGGCCGGATACTATAAGATGGCCCGGCTGAGAGATAGACCAGACCTAGCAACACAGATACGGCGCCAGCCCCGGGGACCAAAGCAGCGTGGAACCGGGCAATCCGTTCATTGCGGACGTTCATGGGCTTCTTGCCCTTGCGGTCCTGGAGAGGAGAGCATCTCATGATATAGGCCGTTATCACTAGCGACACCAGGCCGAGAAGCGAGAACAGTCGCTCCAATAGGCTAAACGCAGATAGCACCGATGGTACAAAGACCAACGCCGCCAGCAATGGAAGCGCAGTGAAGATCACCTAGGAAACTTAGCGAGACTCCTGGTTTATCTAGATAGGAACAATGTGTGTACACTGTACTGGGCGTTGCGAGTATCATTCTGGCGCTGGAGTTGTTCGATGACCCGTTCCTGCTCTTGTTCGTCCAGTTCTTCACGCTCGTCCAATTCCTCAGGATATCGGAAGACTTTCCGCAGTCGGACTGCCATTTCGGTTCTTCCAGTGCTGCGTTGAGAAAGGGAAGTTGGTAAGTCGGTGTTTGTCTTGTTTGGCAACTTTCTTCTTCTTCCGCAACTTGCGATCCTCCCACCTCACCATTCCACCCAACCCACTCGCAATGGTCTTCTCACGAGTCTTTACTCGGCGTGCCGGGCTCATCCGGACAGGGCGTTCGAACATGGCCGCACGACGCACGATGATGCCAGCCCCCGGACCGAACACAGGACCCCTGTTGGAGCGACGCGCAGACCGCGAGCTGCCGAACCCGAACGCCAGCCGGAGCTGGTTGCTCACCCTGCCCATCTTCATCATTGCCAGTGGAGCCGGCCTACTGGGTATCTTCAACTACCAAAAGCAATCGTCCAGCATTGTGAGCAGCACGCTGTATGCGCTGCGCACCTCCCCGCAGGCCCGCGAAATCCTCGGCGACGAGATCTACTTTGCTCAACAGATCCCGTGGATCAGTGGAGAGATGAACCAATTGCATGGTCGAATCAATATCTCGTTTTGGGTGAAGGGGACTAAGGCTCAGGGCAAGATGAAGTTCCACAGCATCCGGCCGGATCGTATGAGCTATGTGAGTCAAGAGTCTAGCTACGGCTACTGGCCAGTTGCTTCCTGATTTAGAGCTAACTCTCTGTGTTCCAGTTCCGCACGGAAGAATGGAGCTTAGAGACCGAGGACGGAGAGGTGATTCAGCTGCTTGACAAGGGCAATGATCCGTTCCGACAAGGTTGAGTGTGTGGCAGTCTGTACAGATAGGGTGCATCGGCTTCGGAGTTTTTGGGGTATAATTTATGGGACATCATCATTGCACTGTCCACCTTGAAGCCTCGAAACTATCGAGAGAAAAGGAAGGATATCATTTTTTGTATCATATACAAACGCCGCTCAAATAAAAACGATATCGCGCGTATGGTGTAATAGTACAGTGTCAGAACCAAATGCAGACCTAAGAGATTAAGCAGCCGCGGTAGCTTCGCCCTTCACGGCCTCTTCACCTTCCACCGGCACCTCGGGCCAAGGCTTCTTGATGGCGTCTTGAATTCGCACGACGCAGCCCTTGGGACCGCTGACCGCACCTGGATAAATATAAACGTTAGCGGGTTTGTCTCGTTACCAGGACAGAGGACTTCACGTACCGCTCACAACCACAATGCCATTGGCAGAGTCCACCTTGAGGATCTTCAAGTTCTGCACGGTGTTCTGGGTGTTACCCATGTTTCCGGCCATCTTCTTGCCGGGGTACACACGAGAACCACCACCCTGACCAGGACCGGAGGAACCCATCGAACGATGCGTTAAACTGACACCGTGACTACGGTCCTGACCACCGAATCCATGTCTCTTCATCACACCAGCAAAGCCCTTACCCTTGGTGTTGGAGCGAGTATCAACAAACTGTCCCTCTTGGAACCAACCTGCCTCAATGCTTTGACCAATGGGCAACAGACCAGCCTCGTCCTTGACACGGAATTCGAAGATATGGCGTTTGGGCGACGAGCCATGGGCGGAGAAATGACCCAGGAGAGCCTTGGTCACATTGCGGGGGTGCTTCCAGCCAGCACCAACCTGCACCGCATAATATCCATGCTTCGAAACAGTCTTGTGCGAGAGAACTTCGACACGATCCAGCTGCAGGACAGTGCAAGGGGTGCGCTTCCCTGTCTCAGGATCGAAAATGGCGGTCATGCCCTTCTTGATTGTAATAGCACCGGCACGGAGGGGAAGAGAATTGGCTTTGCGACGAAGAGCTGCTTCGGGAGACGATTCGAGAATGGGCAGACCAGGTCCGACATTGTAGCGACTGGGCTTAGGGGGGGTGAGTGATCTAATACCGAACGATCGAACTGAAATCGGAGTGATCAATGAGCCCCATAGGGGCGATTGGAGTCCTAAGCGCGGCGACATGGTGATTCTGGAGGGTGTCGATGTGTAAAGGTGCGCGGGAAGTTTTTGGGTGCAGCGCTTAGTCAGCATGAAGTATACAACGCCAACTGCATCTCCAGACACGTCGAACCCCCATTAACAAGGGCTTTTCCCCCCCCATTTCTCACTCTCTGTACATGTACTGAGGTGTCTCGAGAGTAATACAACGCCCATCCCACGCACGATTGCCACCCGGCGTGAACCCGTCCTAAGTCCGATCGGACCGGAACCCGAAAACGCCGAGAAACAAAAAAAGATCCCGATTGGAAGTTCTTCCAACTTCAAACAACACAATGTCCTTCCGTCCAACGCTCCTATCCAGATGGATCTCGCGGCCAAGCCAGATTCTCTACAAGACAACCTTCAATAACATCACATCGCGCACATCGCGGTCCATCTTGGCGCAAACGCAGGCGCAAGCTTTCCGACGGACCCTCACAACAGGACCACAGGCACGGTTCAGACGACCTACCTCCAGCTCGCTGCTGCCAAAGCAACGCCTCAATCGCCGCTATAACTCTAGCTCCAGCAATGGACAGGCCGGACGCACCGAGAAAGCCTCCCTCTCGGAGCGACTGAAGAAGCTGTCCCGGGAGTATGGGTGGGCAGCATTAGGCGTGTACCTTGCGCTTTCAGCCCTTGATTTCCCATTCTGTTTTGCAGCAGTACGACTGCTAGGTGTTGAGCGCATTGGGCACTATGAACATGTGGTCGTTGGGTACGTGAAGGATAAGTTCAAGGCTATTTGGCCGACGACCGAAGAAGGGTCGGATGGACAGGGCAAGCTGGTGGAGGCCGAAGAAAGGAACAAAGACGAAGCGAGTAAGTAGGGCTGTTTGCTGGGCCAGGACCCGAGTACTAACGTCGATCTCTCCCGCAGGTATCTGGACTCAGTTGGTGTTTGCGTATGCAATCCACAAGAGCTTCATTTTCATTCGAGTCCCCTTGACGGCAGCGATCCTGCCCAAGGTTGTCAAGACACTACGAGGATGGGGATGGAACATTGGCAAGAGGAAGCCCAAGAGCACATGAGAAATTAAAGCATAGCGGACCATTGTACATTATTTTAGCCATTTAGCTCTCTAATATTGCTGTCTCCCCTCTACAGTCCATAAAGCAAAAATCACACCTCGTAATCTTCGTAGAAATTAGGTAGATGCCACCGCTTACATGTCGATCATATCGTTGAATCGAAGGATGCCGTTAGCTCTCATGATGCCATTGACACCATCCGGCATGCGGTACGCCCACTCCGCAACACCCATGGGATCGGTGGGTAGCTCTTCAATTCGATCGGACTGGCCAGTTTCATCGGATGTGTCGGCCACAAGGACGAGGCCAAGCTCTTTGATGGTTTCCACAAGAGCCGGGACGACGTTCTGGGGATGGTTAGTACATGAAGTGTGAGAGGGAAATGTGATGGACAAACCAATAAACTAGACCTGCAGATTAATCCCATGAAGTTGTTACTCTGGGCGATGCGTGCAGACTCCTTGATCGACATTGAGGCACGACCACTGCTATCCACATGGGACAGAGAGTCAACCTGGCCAGCGAGATCACGGATCTGACCAAGATCGTTGCAGAGAAGAACGGGATCTAGAGAGGGTTAGAATTGGCTATTGCTGGGGATTTGTGTGGGTGCTCACAGTTAGGCTGCTTCCAGTTGAGTGCACTGCAGATATTGGGATTATAAGATGTGAACACAACAGAGCGCATAAAATCGGGGTTATTGTCTCTAGCCACGCGAGCGTGGTCAAAGACATCAGTCAGGATAGCATCGGCAAAGCTGTTCACATCTGCCAAGGATGTCATGACTAGTCTTTTTTCCTCCTGGGGGGACGGGTAGAGAAGGGAAATATTGACGTTCAGGTCAATTGGTAGCTGACGAAGCACATCGCGCAAGGATAGGAATGAAGCCGCGATCAGACGATGAGTCTTGGGCATATCGTTGGCCGCCTCTGCAGCCAAGTATTCTAGAATCTGGGGCTGGTTCACGCCGCGTTCTGCGCCAATGGACTGGAACTGAGCGAATGTCAAATGGGACACCGGAATCTCGATTCCGTGATGGTTGATCATGAACTGTGGATACAGAACGGCAACACGATCGCGAGTCAACTGTACAAAGAGTTGAACATAGTCGCCCGACAGACTGGACCCGGTGACAAATCCATTGTGCTCGGAGTCTTGGGCGCTAGTAGCCTTCCAGTATGTGGCAAATTGAGTGATTTCGAGGGGATCACCGTGGTACGGCTTGATGACCTGGAAATTGAAGCGCAGCTGACCAATTCCACGGAGGCGGGGGTCGAAAAGAGGAAGACAGACCGAGCCAGTGCTGGATGTTTCAGCACGGAAGATCTCTGGAAGGGCGACACTCTTCGCGATGACCTTTGAACCGAACGTGGGAAAGATCTCAAAGTCCACGGCAAAGGTGTCTAGGTGGTCAATGTGGAAGGATATTGAGCGCGAGTCATCCTGCATGGGAAGCATTATAGTACGGGGAATGAGATCAGACACCTTGGAGGAGATGGTCATGCGAGCTGCTGGATGACGACCGGCCTGGTCGAAAGCAATAGATCCGACATTTCCTTGATCGAATAACAGCTGGATGAACACCTTCTTATCGAGGAAGTTGTGACCATAGCGACGGAGCGGAATAATGGGAGGGGGTAACTCGAGGTCTGGAATACCGTCGGCCATCTCCATTTCAGAGGCACTGGGATCCATAGACATCGGTTCTCCCATGAGACCAGGTTCTTGCATCCGAACTCCATTCAGAATGTCAAGCGGTCCCAATGCGGGCTTCCCCCGGGCCGGCTGGGCCCAGAGGAGGAGCATGCATTCTAGATGCCCCTCCCAGGCAGCATAGTACATGGCCGACAGACCCTTCTCGTCGGCGACCTGGGAATCCACACCGCACTCTAGGAGTGTGCGCAAACACGGAACGCAACCTTCGCTGGCAGCGTGGAAGAGAGGAGTCCACTGATACAGCTTATCCTTCTGATCAAGGTCGGCACCGTGGTGCTTCAGTAGTAATAGAATATCCGGCGACTGTGAAGCGCGAGCCACCATATGTTGCGGGTAGAGACCTTCGGCATCGGGCAGCAACTTGGCGTTTCGCTCCAGGAGCATCTTCACAATGGGAAGAGAGCCATGCTGGCAAGCCAAGTTGAGCGGGATATGGTCCGGTTCCTGCATTGACACGGGGTCAACTCGAGCATTGCTCCGGAGAACATGTTCAGCGCATGCCAGCTGACTCTTGACAATGCTGTGGATCAATGGGGTGAAGTTGTCATGGTCGAGGAAGTCGACAGTCTCGGGACCTGCCTGGAGCAAGTCCCGCACCATCTCCGCACGACCGTTTCTACAGGCGTAATGCAAGGGAATACGCCCATAGACATCTGATCTGGAAAAGTCGACGGAAGCCTTGAGACCAGCCTTGAAGACAAAATCCCGACCAGAAATGGCGGCTTCGTGAAGACAGTTCCTCTCATTGATATCATCCTCGGCATGGATGTCAACCAACTGGCTCTCCAGCAGTAGTGCAAGCACTTCATCCGAAAAGCCATTGATGGCGGTGAGAAACGTGCGTGTCGCGCGCTCCCGAGCGTCTGGCAATAGCTGTAACCTCGCCAGCCATTCTCTGAGTGTTTGCAAATTGCCAGTCGAAGCAGACTGCAACATTTGGATGTCCAACTCATCCTCCTCGTTGCCGGCAAAGGTGTTGCGGTCCGCCGGACGAGATGTATCGTATTGGATGTTCTCGCCCTCTGCCCAAGCCTCCAACTCAAGCCGGGCAGTGGTCGCTCTGTCAGCCAGGTCGCGCAGAACCTCTCTGTTGAAACACGGTTGGACTTCAACGGCCCGATGGAGATATAACTCCTTCATGCGAGATTTGGAGGTCTTGTCCCATTTCTTAAGGATTTTCGAGACAGCAGTCTCATTGATCTCCACAAACTGTTGGAGTTTGTTCAGGTCACCATCAAATTGCTGGAAACCTTCGAACAGAGCAACGAAATTTGAGGGGGCTTTGGAATTGGAGCCGGTCCGGGACTGGATCACTCGCTTCTTGTCGACGAGTGTCTTCAACCGCAGTGTGAACTAGAATGGCCCGGTCAGTCTCCCGCCAAGTCACATACCGCTGTGAGGGCGGTCATACCTCTTGTTCTTTCTGGAGATAAAAGGCATTGACTTTCTCGATTTCTCTTTCCTGCATGCCCTAGTCAGTTTCGTCGCAGACAACCAGCATGACGCGAGTCCCTTACCAATCGGAAGAAGAACACTTCCTTGTTTGCGCGCAAGGCTGCCTGGGGATCTGCATTGTCTCTTGCGATCTCCTCGGCTGTTCTTTGGGCGGGGATGTTTGGTGTGGCACTAAGTTGCTTGATAAGCTATGTTGAGAGAATCGTTAGCTACGACTCTCGGTGTTATCCCGCCATTGGCTCACCTTCTTCAGCGCTTTGTAGTTCACGAAGCTTGCGGCATATTCAGGGAGATCGAGCTGCCTGCGCTGGATCTGCTTGCCGAACTTCCTGCCCTCTGCATCAGTATCGGTCAGGCCGAGGATGTGGACAGAATGGCTTACATGGTGGTCTCTCGGCGAGAGCTTTAGCTCTCCCGAGCTCTAGAGAGCGAAGAAGGGAGGTCGCAAGGGTACTCCGACGGGGCCGAGGGAGTTGAATTGGTGTACCGCGTGAGTAGATGGTCGAGTAGGCTCAGGTGTCACCAGTGTGACGTTGCATAAGAAAAAAAAAAGAGGGAAGACGATAGAGGGGCAGCCAATCTCACAGCCCTGGAGTACTACCCTAACGCGCCATACAAGGGACGATAAGTCGGGAAGGGATGGTGGGGAGCTCTCCCCAATCACCGCGAACAGCGGACGCACGTTGTCGGATCAGTGGTCCCGTACGGAGTACTCGTTACCACGCTGACAGTACCTGAGTACCTGAGTCCTGCGTCGGGAGTCTGTACCTGAGAACTGTACTCTGGGACACGTATATATAGATGTCTACTTTGTGCTGGTAATTGCACTTCGTCCGGTCGTGTTGCGCCCATTCTGCCTGGATGTACCGCCTTTAACTATACTCTTATCCACTTGGCACGAACGGCTATACCTAACGACAGTAGACTACTCCCTACTACACTCGATACAATCTTCTAATTTCATTTCATTTAGTACAAGAACAGATAACAGACACCCGTATATCCGCATGGAAACTCCACGCTTAGCAGGAAATGTACAGCTCCTTACACAAACACAAAACAAGCTATGCAGCTGGACCAGATGCGCGGGATATATCAAAAAACAGAACAAAATCAAAGCCAAGCACGGCCGATTAAGGGCGGGAGGACGAAGGGGGAAAAATGTAGGGGAAAATAGAGACATGACGAAGTGAACGTCCAACGCGCCGGGAATTGGTGCATGAGAGACCCGAAGAAAATGAAAATGAAGGTAGTCGGCGGTGGATGAAAGGAGTGTGTGTGTGTGTGTGTGTGGTATGGTGCAAGGCCGAGCTTTTGGAACAGAGAAAGAGAAAGAGAAAAAGATTGGAAAACAAGAGTATTTGCAAAAAATCAGAAGTTCTGGGCGATTCCGGCATTGCCTTGTCGAGGGTAGACGCCGGGGTTTTCAATGCGAGTGTTGCGGCGCGCTTGCACATCCCGAATGACGGGCTGATAGTCGTCGCCACCGTAAGCGCCGTGGGTGTTCATGTCACCGTAGTATGGGTTCTCGCCATAGTAACCTCCCGAAGGGTGGGCGGCCGACATATGACTCTCCTCTGAGGCTTCGGACCGGTTGGCGGCCGAGTATGCGGAGGACGCATTTGAAGGTCCCCGATGGATGTCGCCGTTTCGGTTGTTGGCCGCCACGGGGGCTGCGCCGAGCACGCCAATGGGTTCCATCTCCCCGGAGTCCGGGCGGGCGCCGTCGGAGTACTGGACTGTGCCTTCGCTGGGGGTGGCTCCGTGGGACATGGGCAGGCCTCCCATTCCACTCGAGAGGTTAGTGGACGCCTTACGGCCAGCTGACGTGGTGCCCCATCCGCGGTAACCGGAAGAGGTGTCGTCCTTGGCGGCGACCACACCGCCCATGCCGGGGAGGGACGGGTCATTGTTCGGGTTGAATCCATATTCTTCGACTTCCTTGCGACGTTCTTCCTCGGCGGCCTTGTTCGCCTTGCGCTTACGCCAGAAGAATAGAGCGGCCAAGATGATCAGAGCCACGGACACGACCGGGACGACGACGGCGACGGCGATTGTGCCGTTGGTCGAGAGACCGGAGGAAGAGGCTGCGGCAGCGGTGGCACTTGAGTCGGCCGCCGAGCTGCCAGTTGAGGATGCACCCGTGGAGGCACTGGTAGGGTCCACTGAGGCAGTCGAAGTCACATACACCACGGTAGTTCCTCCATTGCTATTGCTGGAAATAGAGGAGAGAACGGTGGTCTCGGGCTGGGAAGTTGTCGTCGGCTCTGTCGTCGTCGAGGGCACCGCAGCCGTTGTCGATGAGCTCGTAGTGGAGGGGATAGAAGTGGTAGGATCCGCTGTTGATGCGTCGCTGGTCGTGGATGGAGTTGAGGTAGTCGACGGGACTTCGGCGGACGAGGTCGAAGAGGCCGAAGTGGTGGGAACCGCCGTGGTTTCCGCTGCAGAGGTTTCCGCCGCAGTGGTCGTTGGGGCCGCCGTAGACTCACTGGCGCTCTCTGTGGCAGCCTCATTGGCGCTGGCTGGAGTCGATGCGGTCGCAGCAGCGGCGGCCGCAGCGCTGTTGGCGGCCGCGGCCGCGTTGTCGGCAGAGGTCGCCGCGGGAGTCACAGCCTGGGTAGACATGATGAACGATGTCGATATGGGATCCTTGCGATCCTCGACACCGGGGTTTTAGCAAATGAAGGCCTTCCGGTTTCGGAAATGCCTGGAAATGGTTAAAAGGGACCGAATTCGAACGAAAGACTGGACGCTTTAGGACGCGTGGTAAAGAGCGGCTTTCAGGGTGCAATGGAAGAATCGACGGTCATCACTGAAAAAGCGGAGTCGAGAAGAAAGAGAAGCCGCACTCACAATCTCAAAGGCTCCAGTCAGCCATTTGGGGGGTTGTGTGGAAGGAGGAGGCAGAAGTGGGAAGTGGAGATTTCGTACGATCGCAGCGTATCCGCATTCCTAGTGTATTAATAGCACTTTGTTTTGCTATCCCTTGCCATGTGTTGTCTCATTCTACTATATTCATTCTACTATACTACTATACTATATACTATACTATGTAGTACTTCTCCGGTTACTATCACACTACGAAGTACTATAGATACCATCAACTATTAACTACAGTGCTCGAGGAATTGCCAAATACCATATACCGAGTAACAGGTATACAGTACGTATTGTCAAAGTCTGTCCTTTGAACCGTGGGCGCAAGGAGGCAAAGTAGCAGATCGAGTAGTTTCTCCGACACGGCGATACTCTACATTCTGCGACACAAATCTCAACACAGAGATGCAGAGATGCAGAGATGCAGTGCGAAGATGCAGAGACTCCACTTCGACGTTGGGCTATTTCGTAGTGCGTACTCCATGGCCAATTTAAAATACGATCGACACGCCCAATCTTGTTTTCGGCGTCTGGACCGTCTCCTGAAACTAGCACTTCGAAGCTCTACGGGCTACATAACACGAGTACGGCACAACACATATATACAGCCCGGAGGCAAACGAAATGAAACTGCAAGGTCAGATCCCTCTATATACGCCGGCGGCACAATCCCTATAGAAACAAAATAGAAGAAACAATCATAGCCCTTATTTGTTGTTCACCATGTCCCAACTGGGCTTGAGGCTAACCATCATATCATCCCGCGTCCCGACCGCGGACGGCGGCAAGCGACTGACACGGTAGTTACCCATGCGGATGTTATTCTGGTGCGCCGCGGACATCCCACTGCGGCCGCTCCGGATGCTGCCGGCGTCACTGCCGCCGCCTTCATTTCGGAAGCGCGGGGGAGGCACAAAGTCCAGATTCGTGTACGTGCCGGACTTGCGCAGGGCGTGGGGACTCGGCATCACGGCCAACTCATCAAAGGCCGAGGCCAGCGGGGTGTGGGCGCGGACAGCCGGACTGTACGGGCGCATGCCCCCCGTGGGGGTCTCGGCCCGACCGTCACGGCGCTCCTTGAACCCGTGCGCGGGGGCGAAGTCCATCGCGGTCATGAGGGAGTCATCAGTGAGCATGTGGGGGGTCGGGAGCACCTGGAGCGGCGAAGGGGGAGGCATAGGCTTGCGGCCAGGGCCCGGCATGCGATTGGACGCGGAAGAGAACGCCCGGGGTCCAGAGGCGGAGGAGAACGCCCGCGGGCTGGGCATGCCGCCAAAGCCAGCGGAGTTGGTGGCCTGGTGTCGCGCGGCACCCTGGAAGCGGGGCGGCGCGCGCGGGGGCGGCGTCATCGCCCGGCGAGTGTAGGGCTCAGCGTAGGGGGCCGGGACCGGAGGAGCCCCAGCATCGTAGTATTCGCCCGTGACAGGATCATAGACGAACCCGCTGCCGCCAGGGCCTCCGTCCTCGTAGAACTCCGGGCCGAAGTCCTCATAGTAGGTGGCCTCATTTTTGCTATCGTCGAAATACTCCTTGTAGAACGAACGGATGCGGTTGGCACGCTGTTCGGGGTTGTCGGAGGGGTCCTCGGGGGGCAAAGGACGCACGCCGAGAGTCATCCGCTTGGTGTTACGACGGCCGTCGTAGACTGGTTCCAGGTTCTGGGGCTCTTCCGGGAGCTCTGGTTTGTCGTGCGCATGTCCCTCCGGGACGTGGGCATGGGCAGCTGGGAGGATGTGATCCGACTTGCGGTCACCGTAGTCACTCGTGGTTACATCGCTGGCCGGCAGGGAGATACGAGGCAGTTGGCCGGAACCCTCGTGTTCGGGGGAATGCGAGGGCTCGGGGAGAGGGAAGTTAAGGCGCTCCTCGTGGGGAGCTTGGTGTGGCTCGTCCAGGCCGAAGTGGAGCGGAGTGTCATCCACGCGAGGGAGGGACTGGGGAGAGAAGCTTCGTTCGGCACTGGGGCTTCCAATGGCCATGCCGGGTTGTTGTGCCACGGGGGCTGGGGGAGTCAGCCCATGATCTGGCAGAGAATCATTCCGCGGGCTCAGCGGGCTACGGGCGTGGGACTCGGTGGGAGAACTGTAGAGGGGAGGGGAGGAGCGAGACATCCGCTGGGCGTTCTTGAGCAGACCCGAGTTGGGCTCTTCGCCTCCGAAGCGAGAGCCGGCAAAGCTGGACGCATCGTCGCGATGTCCCCTGGGGAAGGATCGAATCGATCCTCCGGCCGTCGCAGGGCGGTATTTATCATCATCAATGGACATGGAGTGCAAGGAATCGCGGGAGCCCACCAGGCCTGGCGGCATCAGGTATGGGCTGACGTCAAGGGACAGTCCCTTGGTGTGATTGGGTTCTGACATCGGGGGCATTCCTCCCTGTGGGCCACCTTTCCTCCTCGTGGCCGGACCAACTGTATCCATTCCGAAATCGAGGGATTTATGTTTATCCATTGCATCTTCACGGAGGAGTTTCTTGACGTGTCTCCGATGTAAAACAATCAGGACGATAATGGCACAGAGGATGGGCAAACCAGCACCCAATACCACGGGCAAGACGGTGGTGGTCATATTACTGGTGGGTTTGTCGCCATTGGTGGTGGATTGTGAAGCTTCGGGAGCTCTCGCCGCGAGGGCCGGCATATTGGCTAGAGGTGTACTTGATGGGACCAAGAAGGGCAGTCGATGTGCGGGAACGACATCCCGGCGGATGTTTCGCAAGCCGGAATGAGGCATGGCCCTATAGACCTAAGGTGAAGACCAAGGCGAGTACGCTAATAAATCATTTGAAACCGGAAAGCAACGAGTGACAGGCAAAAGAGTGAACGGAACTAAGTCCCAAAGCCAAAAGAGAGTGTATAGGGTGAAGATGAAGAGAGAGAAAAGAGGAGAAGGAGAGAAGAGTTCTAGATTAGGGTCCTAGCGCCCCGTCTCTCCGCATGTTATTTTTTTCCCTCTGCGCACTCCCCCCCCTGAGTGTCTTAATATAGACGATCTACAAGATCTCCTCTCGCGAGGTTTGCATTATTGTCTACACAGACACGATCTGGGTTATTTGTTGTGTCCCAGCAAAGCAAGGCGACTGAGACGTGAATCTCTCGCCAGGAACCGGCCAATCGCCGTTCGGCTGCCCCTGAGTGGAGTGTGTGGCGGTTCAGCCATTTACACCTGCAAGGGCCCCAGGGGCTGTCTCTTGTCTATTCTAAGACTTTGTTCAAGACTTGCCAAGCTCGGAAATCTGACAAGATTCCGAAAACCACACTCTGTCCGATATCTTCGAAATCCAGCCGGACACAATGGCAAAGGAATCTCTGATCCTTTAAGCTGAGACGCCGGTGTGGTCCGCTCATCTCCACGCAAGGCGCAAAGCCTTGGCGTCCAGTCAGCTTACTTCCTCAGATCTAGGCCGATGTGCCATTCTCTGGTCTTCTGGTCTAGGCACTAGAGTACGAGTACGGAGTATACTACGGAATATACTGTAAACGGGGTCCTATGAATTCCACTCGTCTCTGCTTTATCTGTCTCCACTAGCATAACGGCGTAGTCTCACCGCTGGACCACTATTGTCCAGTGATGGATCTATCGTACTTCTAGTCACGCACTAAGTCGGTGCAAGACCCATGCCATTCTGCGCTATGGTGGCAGATTAATAAAGTCCTATCCGGAAAAGGCCTACGGAGTACGGAGTACGCAGCATGCATTCCAAGGTTATCTCATGTTCGGAATAGGGGGATATTTGCTGACGGGTACATTTATATATCATATCATTTGAGTTATAATTGACCTGCTGCATACCTTCCAAGGTTGTCAAGCTTCCAAGGTTCTCCTGAGGTCAAATATATATTAGACCACTGACCTTGAACCTACCCATTTTCAATCTGGGAACCATACAACCTTGCAAAAAGCTGTATCACACCTGGGCAGTGAGTGGGAAAAAATGCCATGGGAATTTGGGATGAGCAGGTACCTAGGTAAATACCTAGCTGTAAGTGATCACCAAGTCTCCCATCCCGAATGCAAACTAGGTAATTCGACGGTAAAGATTGCCCACTACAACCCTGAAGGTCCACAGGTCAATCATGACTCGAGTACCTGTCCAGGTGGGCAGCAGGCCAATTCTGGATGCCAGGGCCTGGGCCTTGCTCACCACGAACGGAGATGGAGTCCACTATAACGATCACAGAAAACGAGGCCCTTTGGAGCCAAGTCACGAGCGAGACGACGGCATGGGAGACGGGAGTCAACATTACCCCATCTGGCATGTTGGATATAGAGGATCCACCCGGGCAGCAGCAGGTTGGTCGGGAGTGTTCTCCTATCTGGAGTCTACATAGGAAGCGCTTCCAAAGGTAAGGCCGATATATTGGTTTTTGTTCCGAGGTTCCTAATTAGAGTTGGCCTGAATGGCAGATTCATGGATGGAATCGCTGCCTCCAGGACTCAAAGAGAAAGATATGTGGTTGCTTTTCGGCTGGGGAACGACCTCTCAACATGGGTCAGGATCCCTGATAGAGCGCAATTAGAGAATATGAGCTGCGCAAAATATGGGACATGGAAAATGAGAAGAGACACAATCGACAGAAGCAAAGGTCGTAGGCCCCGTAGGCACTCAGATGCACAGATAAAGAAAAAGTCACAATCAGAGAAGAGAGGATGGAAATGTACATGGGGGTAGAGTTGTACACGAGAAAGTGAAAATAAAAGGAGCAATGGCTTTTAGGTCACATCGCAGAGAAGGATCTCCGAGATCGAGGAAGATCCGGGTGGCACACCGAGATATTAGGGTTAGGGACGAAGGAGATGCTCATGCAAATGATCTTCAGGTGTTTGTCGTTTCATCTCATGGGTTGGGGGGAGCGGAAAGAAGTCAATGAGAGGGAGTGAGGATATAGAGGAAGTGAGGATATAGAGGAAGTGAGGATATAGAGGGAGTGAATGCGCGGCACAATTATGACATTTCTGCCAGGGCAGCCTCAAAGTCGGCGAAGTCAGGTTTGTCGAAGATGCGGCGGAATGGGGGATCGTGAGAGAAATCGCGAGGGCTGGTTGCGACACCCTCGGCTTTGCGTATCACGTCCTTCAGCGCACGCGTAACCACCCCAGCGCGGACCACCAAATTCTTCAACGAAGAAGTGTCGAACGGAAGCTTTTTCGCCCGTGAGGCGAAGTCCAATTCGTGAAGCGCAGGCTTGGGGTCGCGCGGCTGGAGGATGTCAAGCACAGACTTGGACTTGGACAAGTCTTTATGGAGAGAGAGGGGTAGCGTGTGTTCGGAATGTTCATTCTGCATGTCCCAGGAAGCCTCGCTATCTCGCTTGGAAGAGGAGGTATTGAGGCCCTCATCGTCGGATTCATCGAAACTGAATGTGAGAGAGGAAGGAGAGCCTGGGGGTGAGCGACGTTCCTCCTCTTCATCAATGGTCGCAAGGTTCACGATTTGTTCCGCCTCCCTCCATAGCTCGTTGGAGGGGCCGTTGACGATATCCAGCGCATTGGCCTGGTGCCGAAGACGCTTCAATTCTTCCACCAACAAGGTCAATTCCTGTACCTGCCCGAACTGTCCACGAAGACTGGCCTGACGTTCCAGGATAGCCTTTGGAACAGTCATACTCTGGCGATTGGGTTCAGGGTCCGGTGAAGCGAGTTGTTTGTTTTCTGCAACGGGCGTCTCTTCTGACTCGTCAAAGTCGAAATCGCTATCCCAGTCTTCGCTGACGCCTTTACATCCCAGTCCCCAAGTACCAAACTTGCCAGATGTTTGGCGTGTTTCACTCGTAGGAAGTTCGCTCGCGACGGGAACACTTTGGCTACGAAGGTGGACAGTGGAGGGTGCCTTCCGGCACACAGCCCGGCTGCTTCGATTGACACCCTCTTGCTTTCCCTGCATTGTTCGGGGACGTGCTTCAAACTCGGAAGACTCGCGATCCGATCGCGTCTGTTCAGACCAGTCAAAGATGTTCGCTTTTTTGGTGACAGTGAGGTCGGAGATATCCCCGAAAGGCCGAGAAGGGCTCACGGGCGAGCCAAGGGGAGAATCAACCTCGGCGTATTTAGATAGCAGGTTGCTTGTAGGCGAGGAGAAGGCTGGACGATCGTCACCAGGGAGAGATCCGATCATACTGAGGGAGTCTTCATCCGCATCGTCGGCCAACGCCGGGTGATCAGCCATTGAGACATGAGTTAGAGGGGGAGAGGCCAAATATGAATCAGGAAACAGTCGAGGATCCTTCTCCGATCGAGCAGCGAAGGAGCCCCGCGGAAGCAGGGCCTCCAGGGTCGTGGCTTCTTCATTTACCAAACTGGCTCCTGCTTTATCGAACATCGTTTCGATGCGGAGGCCTTTCAGTCCGCTCGTGCTGGTCTCGCGGGTACGGATAGAATCCCAATAGTCCGACATCACGTCGGTTTCATATTCATCACAGGAAGTGAACACACGGGTGTCATCTGATCCAATGATGGTAGAAGCGGGATTGGAACCTGAGATCGAGAATCCCTTGGGGCGACGGCGCAGAGAGCCGTACCCTTGCCCCCCAGGACGTGATGCTTGCTGCCAAGCGGACAGGGCAACATCATCCGAGTTCAATGGTCGTGACCCACCTCGAGATCCTAGGCCAACATCATAATCCTGCGAAACAGATCGCGGTCCGACCTGAGCGCGCCTTTCCAACGCTGAAACCGCCCAACCAGGCTGGGAGATGGGGTGTGGCGGTTGGAAAACCGTCGGGTCGGTGATGTTACGCCGCTCAGGCGCAGCAGAACATGGGATGGCCAGCTTCCTATCTGCTTGTGACAATTCAGAACGAGGTATTGAGAAAGTTCGTCCCTTGACACGTTTCAAGGAGCCGCCGCGCACAAGGCCGATGATCGGCTTTCCATGCGCTGTGACGGTATTCGTCATTACAACCTTTGGCTCGGCATCATTGCATGAATGTGAGTGCTTATGCGGAGGCTTTTCCACGGGCTCCTGTGCGGTTGACGGTACCTCGGGTGCCACAGCTGGTTGCGTAGGAGCAGACTTGGAGGGCGCTGACTGAAACGGATTGCGGAATTCAATCGGGGTACTAGGCCCGGATCTGCCTCGGGGTGTGCATGTCCCAGATGAGACTTCTCCCGCCATAACCAGCGCGGGAAGTGCCCCCTGCTCTGACACGATCTGACGCACACTCTGCGCTTTCGCCGTGGTCGAAGTCGAGAACCTGCGCGAGAACATTTCTGTCAACTTGCCTGCCTTGGGGAGGAAGAACGGCGACCATTGCTTCTGATTGTCCAGATCAAAGTCTTCCACGGCAGGTGTTTCCACGGCGGCCTTTGGGAAATACGTTTCAAAGTCCGATTCCACTGGGGTCTGGAGAATCATAGACTCCGACCGCTGATGACTCGTGGCGGGTCGGCGTAAAACGGTTGGGGACGGCCCGGAGATGGTGTTTACGCCAAACCCATGCATATTGTTGTGCTGGGTTACCGGGCGCTTGATCAGCTTGTTCGGCGGCCTGCGTTGGTTCGGGGAGGGGGGGAACATCGGACTGGCTGAGCCACTGAATGACGGCGTCGTTGGGCTGTTCGCACTCGGGCTGTCTGTGCTGAACGAGGCCATTGACAACCGGCGCAGCCACCCGGTGGATGGCCGCCGGGTGTGAGCCTCTGGGGGCGCGTCGGTCGTCTCATGTTCGGGAATTCTCAGCGGTGGATTGGTTAAGGTCTGACCACGACGTCGACGCCTGGCCGCACTGAAGGACAGGGAGGCTCGACGAAGATCTGGCCCTTCATGCTGATTCGCTGTTTCCTCCTCCCGGGCTGCCAGCCACTCGGCCGCTGGACTTTTTGCTGGCGCAGCAGTCTTGGGACGAGGATCCGCGCTCGGGTTGGGTGAGTCTTGCGCGACAGTTTTGCGCCGAAAGAGGCTGGGGCGCTGGGTCCGGTCTGCGCGGCCAAGTGCGAACCCAGTAGGCGCGATGCCGACAGTGCTCAGGGCACACAGCTAGATGGACTTGTTAGGACACCGAGACCTGAAACCGGCCTTGCGCGAGTTGGGATCCCGGGGGCTTACCGTGGATACGTGATCCATTAGAGGGCGCCGATAAGAGTATCAAACACCCCGACGCTCAGCTCCAGGTGAAGGGACGTGGCGAAGGACATTCCAGGTGCGCATGAAAGGGAAGGCTGGAGACACTGAGGGGTAGGGTGGTTTGCGACAGAGATTCACGGTTAAAGGGAAAACAAAACAAAACAAAAGAGCGGATGGGGGTCTTCAAGCATAGAAACACCGCGACGCAAAAAAAAAAAAAGAAAGAAATTGAATTGCCCCAAGCCCCTTGAGAGGCCAAAGAAGATGAGCCGTGAGATGAAGGAAACAATAACAAAAGCTGTCGGGGATATTATCACGTCCGCCCTGCGTACGCTAGGAGCTTCAATAAGTCCTCCCCTCACAACCCTTGACACTTCACACAGTTTACAATTTCACACAAACCAGAAACAAGGCTAGAGGCTAGAGACACACAAAAAGAAAAGAGAAGACAAGAGTCTACAGGTTCCGGGTTCCAGTCACCAGCCTCCCCGGCTACTTGCTGCAGAATTACCCAAGCAATCCCCCGGCCAGGCACGCAACGGTGCACGATCCTGCGAGTGCAGGCGCTGGCTGGCACCTATCCCTTGCGGCTCACATTGCATTGGCGTCATAGGCCAGAACTCTTTTTCAAGGAAACGGAGAAGTCCGTTGGCTCTGAGGGCCCCCCCAGACCTCCAGTGAGCAGGGAAATGGGCCAGCAAGAGCCATGCGATTCCCACTGAATCCCCACATCTGGTTTCGGCTGGCTGGAATCTCGTTCTATGGCCCCCTAGGCTGCCCAGATAGGATTAGTCTTGAGATCCCAGGCCGATCGGTGTCCACTGCCTGCCCTCGATGAACTGTTCTCCGAAGCAGAACCATGGCACGCCGATATTACACTATGCGACTGACTCCATACGAGGTTGTTTAGGACTCCCTCTCCACTGTCTCCGTTGCAACTGTCAGGCCCGTTATAACCCCAGAGATTGCCGACTCCCAGCCCTCCCAGCCTCGGTCTTCTGAGCGAGCATTTCTCCGGACGCTCCATGTAAGGTCCCTTGCCAATCTACTGGTCCTCCATGCTTCTAGCACTTACATGGTGCATCAATCTATATTCCAAGCCTTGCGATTCTTGACATCGTCATAGCCGAAGATTTATATTCCCTGATATCCACCCAAACCCACTTCATGTCCACTTTCCAAATCAAATGCCTCGCGTGGGTCGAGGTGAGCCTGAATCGGTTGCTACTGCCGATGCTGTGCCGCGTTGTGTTTTTTCCCTCTTTTTTCCCTCTTTTTTCCCTCTTTTTTCCCTCTTTTTTCCCTCTTTTTTCCTTTTGGTTTCTCCCGCTGATGTGGCATCTAACCGTCTCCAATAGCGCCGCGTATCAAATGAAGCGGAGCCCCTCGTGTTTCATCTCCCCATTTTTGGTTTTCTTCGTATTTTCCCCCGAATACCTTATCGTTTGGGAAGGTCGAAGTACCGGCGCAACTGTCAGTGCATTAGAAGGGGGCTTCCAATAGTTTTTGCAGGACTGTCATCACCCGTATCTCGGTCTCGACTACTCCGTATCCCGTCCTGTTCTACTAGTGATCGGAGACTGGAGTCTGCTCGTGCGCAATTTCCGGGATTTGTGATGCATCCGAATTTAATTCCGAGATTCTGCCACTGCAGCTCGGCACCATTATACCTCCAGTCCTCCGTACTGCCTACAGAGTGTAAATATGGACCAGTCGTAAGGTGGGCAGATTACTGCAGTTGAAACTGCTTAACCCTGAAACCTGCGCAAAATATAGGCTTTTCGGCGATCAAGAGGTCGAGGATCTCACCCAGAACCACCGAGACGGGACGAAGGTCGATCATTGCCGCTCTACGGAGTATCTTGTATATCGTTCTCAACTGTGCGACGTTCGGCCCCTGATAACACATGCAATTTCAAACTCGACCGTCAATCTGGGAGAGGCTAACTCCCCGTAGCAACCAAAAAGATCACAGCATTCAGAGTTAACATGGACAGGATGCATCGTTTGATGCAGCTACACCGCATATTCGATTTGTGCTGCCTGGAGTCAAAACTTAGGAGTTTCAATGCATGCTGTCTCCTAAGCTTATACATACTGTAGTACTCCATACCCAATGACTACTGTACGAAGTGCCCAGGAGGTGGGGACCTAGATCAGTACTAGTAGACTCCGGGGCTCAAATACCTAGCCTGGCACCGGCATTTCCCATATAACAGTGGTATAATTGCTACTGAATTACCTCGATAATTGCCTAGGCTCGACAACATTAAACATGATGCTTCGACAGCGATGCAAATAGTAGATCGACTCATAGACTTGGTGGGCTCACTGGGCCAAGGCAGAGAATCACCCCAAGCCTATGAATATCTTGCCACGGAGTAGTGAGTCCATACTTCGAACGAAGAACTCGGTACTGTAGATGACTGACAAGGTCTTGATGTCCTGCCCGCCGAAGGGGAAACACCCGTGGACGCCGGGCAGAACACATACACGTGACCTTATCGATAACACAAAAAAGCCCACTCTTGACGATGACCTCAAGTCAGGCCCTCTGCAAAACCCTCTGGTCGAAGATCCCTGCGCTGCCTTGTTTGCTTGACCCACTGGCAAGATGGAGGCTGAATTGCAAGCCCAGATCCCTGGTCTCGACCATATCATCTCCGAATACTCGGTCGTACGTCTCTCCAAGAAATCGCGCGGGGATGGAAAGCTGATCAATGCATAGGGCTACTTAACACACGCCGCAAATCTCTACGTCGACGATGCTGCAGGACAATCGCCCTTGGTGGAAGCGGCCCAAGCTGTGACCGAACTCCTCGTCTCCGCCTCCGGAGACTTCTCCCCGCAAAGCTACGAGGCGATCGGCAACTTGGTTGAGAAGTTCATCACGACCCTCAGCTCCGCCAATGTCGACCCAGAGCGCAGACAGATGCCGTTCAAGGCTAAGAAGCTGGAACAGGCCATCAATGTTGGCGCGCAGCGCAACATGTCCTCCACCCTGGGCTTGACCGGAAACACCGTCGACTTGGAATCAGCCAACCTCAGAAAGCTGGAGTCCAAGGTGGACAAGAAGAAGCTCGAGAAGGCAGAGCGCAAGATCCGTGCCAAGCAAGACAAGAAGCAGATGAAGAACGTCACCTACGAGTCGTCTCGCTTGCTCCAGCAGCCGGATGAGACCATGTCCTACGAGGAGTTCTTCATGGCTGTCAACCCTCTCCAGCTTGGCTCGGACTCACAGGCCAAGAGTAAGGATATCAAGCTCGACAATATCGATATCTCTATCAGTGGCCTGCGCATTCTGACCGATGCTGCGTTCACCCTCGCGTATGGTCGTCGTTACGGTCTGGTTGGTCAGAACGGTATTGGTAAATCCACGCTGTTGCGAGCCCTGAGTCGCAGAGAAATCGCCATTCCTACCCACGTTTCTATCCTTCACGTCGAGCAAGAGGTGTGTTGAAACTGTCGCCCTGTATCACCCTTCGTTACTGACCTCCCTAGATCACTGGTGACGACACTCCGGCCCTGCAAGCGGTATTGGATGCCGACGTGTGGCGCAAGCATCTCCTCGCAGAGCAGGAGGTGAGTTGAAATCCAAGGTGTGCACAAGAAGCCCGCTAACGTCAATAGAAAATCACGAAACAACTGGCGGAGCTTGAACAGGAGAGATCCTCATTGGCTGATACCTCAACGGATGCTGCCAGACTCGATGAACAGAGAGAGGGTCTGGATATCACATTGAGTGATATCTATGGCAAGCTCTCTGAGATGGAGTCTGACAAGGCCGAATCTCGCGCGGCCAGTATCTTGGCTGGTCTTGGTTTCTCCCAAGAACGCCAGCAGTATGCTACGAAAACCTTCTCCGGTGGTTGGAGAATGCGTCTTTCCTTGGCACGAGCTTTGTTCTGCGAGCCTGACTTGCTTCTTCTTGACGGTATGTGACCTCACGGAGCTTTCTCGACAGTCAGTTTGCTGACTAGCTTGTTAGAACCGTCTAACATGTTGGACGTTCCGTCTATTACTTTCCTTTCCAACTACCTCCAGGGATACCCTAGCACCGTTCTGGTTGTTTCTCACGATCGTGCATTCTTGAACGAAGTCGCCACAGATATTATCCACCAGCACTCCGAGAGGCTGGACTACTACAGGGGTGCCAACTTCGGTAAGTTTGACAGACTACGATACCACGGATTATTCTGACACACGCTAGAATCCTTCTACGCAACCAAGGAAGAACGTCGGAAGACCGCCAAGCGCGAATATGAGAAGCAAATGTCCGAGAGAGCTCACTTGCAAGGTAGGTGGTCCCAATGTGTTCCAAGAATAGCACTAAATTATACCCCTAGCTTTCATCGACAAGTTCAGATACAACGCCGCCAAGTCGTCCGAAGCGCAATCCAGAATCAAGAAGCTCGAGCGTATGCCCGTCCTCGAGGCCCCCGAGAGCGAATACACCGTGCATTTCGCATTCCCCGGCGTGGAGAAACTATCACCACCCATTGTACAGATGTCCGAGGTTTGCTTCGGTTACACGCCAGAGAAACCTCTTCTCAAGGATGTCGATTTGGATGTCCAGCTCGACTCGCGTATTGGAATTGTGGGACCCAATGGTGCTGGTAAGACCACAGTGCTGAAGCTGCTCACCAAACAACTGGAGGCCACCAAGGGTCTTATTTCCACAAACTCGAGACTCCGTATTGGATTCTTCGCTCAGCATCACGTCGATGCTTTGGACATGAACAACAGTGCCGTCGGATTCATGACTGTGACCTACCCTGGAAAGACTGATGAAGAGTATCGACGACACTTGGGAGCGTAAGTTGAGCCCGTCGCCTTCAGTCTCTGCAGTGACTAACTAGATCATAGATTCGGTATCACGGGTACAACCGGTCTTCAGCGTATGGGACTGCTGTCTGGAGGTCAAAAATCTCGTGTGGCCTTTGCTTGCTTGTCTCTGACCAACCCCCACATTCTTGTTCTTGACGAACCTTCTAACCACTTGGATATCGAGGGTATGGATGCTTTGGCCGAGGCCTTGCGTGTGTTCGAGGGAGGTGTTGTGATGGTTTCCCACGATGTGACCATGTTGCAAAGTGTCTGCACCAGTCTCTGGGTTTGCGATGGTGGTACTGTGCACAAGTTCGACGGTACCGTCAACGCCTACAAGAAGAGAATCACCGAGCAGGCCGATGCCGCCGGTGTCGTTGCAAAGCACTAGATTTGAGATGCGTACAGTTATGTACAGACTAACGCCAACTAAAATACGAAGTATGCCAAGAACTATCTCGAGCAGCAGTTCTGTAACCGCCTGTGTGTTTCACCTAGATATTATGTAGGGAGTTGGCTGCGTAGATGGCCCAACGTTGTTTTTACACTCAGAATTATACTTCGGTCTTCCACGGAACCCATGTCGGTCACCCATGGATCGGAGATCTCGGAACCCGGTTTCCGCCAGCGGGTCTCCTTATCGGCTTATCGCCCCGGACATCATCCCAGCATCTCGCATACACCACCTGGGCAGGAAACGAATGCCGGATGATACGAAGGGCGTTTGAAGATGACAGGCGTCGATGAACAAGATGTGTCAGGTCCTCACGCGCCTCTACTGGCATCATCACCAGTCTCTTCTGACCATGACCACGAGCGAGAAACCCTGGCTCCCGAGCTGGAGTACTCAGGAGGGTGGTTCATATGGGCGTTGACCTTCTCAGCTGGAATAAGTGGTCTTCTTTTTGGATATGAGTATGGTCACTACCCCAAAACCACATCTGTGGAGCCCTCGTGCGCCAGTCTATTGACAATTGCTTGATTTTAGCACCGGTGTCATTTCATCTACTTTGGTCACTGTCGAATCAGATCTGTCCAATCGAACCCTGACAACACTCGATAAAAGTCTGATCACCTCCTGTACCAGTCTGTTCGCGTTGATCGCGAGTCCATTCACAGGTGTATTGGCGGACAATTTCGGGAGACGTAAAGTAATACTCGGCGCAGATGCCTTGTTTGCACTTGGAGCGGTGGTGCAGGCATTCACGGGTCAAGTATGGGGCATGATACTTGGACGCAGCATTGTTGGTCTCGCCGTTGGAAGCGCGAGTGCGGTGACTCCGTTGTACGTTCGCCCTCTGCGATCTTTCGCGTATCCGGGACTTGTGATGGCTGATTCTGACATTGATTTCCAGGTACATATCTGAGCTAGCTCCATCTTACGCAAGAGGAAGACTTGTGACTATACTCAGTCTGTTCGTAACTGGTGGCCAGGTTGTGGCATACATTATCGGGTGGCTGTTTTCCACCATGCCTGGAGGCTGGCGATGGATTGTGGGGATCGGAGCGTTTCCAGCCTTCTTTCAGCTTGCTATACTAGTGTTTCTACCTGAGACACCAAGATGGCTGGCACAAGCTGGATATGATGAACGGGCAAAGGCTGTCTTGACCAAAATCTATCAGGATTGCCCAGGATGCGACCAAGTGGTGAACCGCTTGATTCGTGACATCGGCGAAGAGATTCAGCAAGAGGATTCGGAGTTAGATCGGCCAAAAAGTCGTGATTCAAATCCGCAGTGGCTACGTGATACGCTGCAGCGTGGCCGACAGCTGTTACATGGGGGTAACAGGAGAGCATTGATCATAGCGATGATGTTACAAGCAGTGCAGCAGCTCTGTGGGTTCAACAGCCTGATGTACTTCTCTGCAACCATCTTCGAGTCTTTGTCTTTCTCCTCTCCAACGTTGACCTCGCTCTCAGTGGCAATTACCAACTTCCTCTTCACCCTTCTTGCATTTGTACTGATTGACAGGATTGGACGCCGGCGGATCCTCCTCTACTCGATCCCAGTGATGGTCATCGCCTTGGTGCTCTGCGCGTTCTCGTTCTCGTCAGTGAATGGGGCATGGCATTCGCAAGCTCCAACCAGCGACCACCCCCAGGATAGTTCTGGTTCACTTGTGCCATTTGTCATCCTCTTCTGTCTTACTATATACACAGCGGCCTATGCTCTCGGACTGGGCAATGTGCCTTGGCAACAATCCGAACTCTTCCCTCTGAACGTGCGATCCCTAGGATCTGCGCTGGCTACAGCTACCAATTGGGGATCGAATTTTGTTATTGGTCTTACATTCTTGCCTCTAATGGAGTGGATCTCTCCATCCTGGACGTTCACCCTCTACGCCGCTGTCTGTGTGATTGGGTGGTTTGCTGTATGGAGAATATACCCTGAGATGAGTGGACTTGGTCTTGAAGAGGTCAAGGGTCTTTTAGCTGATGGGTGGGGAGTGAAAGCAAGCTTGCGGCGTTCTCGGAATACATAGGGGCCGGAAGGACATAGCAAATGGAATTATTGAGTCCGCGTGTGAACATCTCGATGGCCCTGGATTTAGGGCTAGTAAATATAGTTCCTCTTAGGGCTTGTTCTATTGTCACAGGTCTTTTCTCATTGTTCTCCCAGCAATAGCAGCCCATTGAGCTGAGGTCAATACCACTCAGGTACTCTCTATTATTCTTCCAAGGTTCAATGTTTCTCATTGGCCGATTCATGCAACCATCCATGATACCTAGGCATTGTATTCCAAGCTTATCTATAGATACATTGATTGATCTAGTGATCATGACCTGGGTATAGAAATAGATCATGAATATATTTGCTCGCTCACATCCCCGTCACTTGTTTATACCTTTACTTCAAATTCTGCACCTGCACCTGCAAACTCACCTTCAGACAAATACCAAGTGACACAGATCAGATCTTCAAGTCAAATCATCATTATCATCATTTGAGAATGCCAAGAGACAAAAGGTCAAGCAAGATGGCAGGTTTGCCCACGCCCATCATTGCATACAACAGACACCAGCTCCTCGATCTTCCCAACGAGGTAAGTATACAACGTTTTCTCTATCAGACCCAATCACTTATTCTACGGTTTAGATCCTCCAGGAGGTTGCATGCTATCTTCCAACGGACAGTGATGTCCTTAACCTCTCTCGATCCAGCAAAGAAGCATGGTGCAAGGTGTTTGGCGGCGATTCCGGAGTATGGCGAGCCCGATTCGAGGTGCACTTCGACGTCCCCCCTAGGAAAAAGTATTCGGAGCTGAAGAATGAATATATCACTCGTGCTTTCGTGTTGAAAGCTTACATCGATTTCGCGGTGGAGGAAGACCCAGATCAACGCCTTTGGATGGAGGTTCTGCAGACCATGCTCCAAGATTGCTTGGTCCTGCCTGGCGTATTTGGAAACTCCAAGACACTTGAATATCTGAAACGAGTCCTCGGACAGGGCAACTTTCTCAGAGAGCCAGGGAAGCCAGGGAAGCCATCAGACTTATTCTATGGCCTGCAGCTGGTAAGTGAAGTGCGGCGAGAAACCCAGACAGTTACTAACATGAAAATTGTGATAGTGCCTTTCTGGAGTTGCGCTTGACCGTGAAGTTACCTGTTGCTGTCGTCGAACTGATTATGACGTGGAAACGATTTACTCCATTCCCAAGGGGTTTCTGCCGTCAAACGACGCAGATGATGAATTCGCAGATTTCAATGGATCGACATCAAGCGAGTCGACTGGATATGGATCTTCTGTTGAATCGAATGAGCTGGATGAACCTGGCGCAGACGTCGACCAAGTCGACTCCAATGGATCTGAAACAAGCGAGCACCCAGTCTCCGACAACAAGCCTCGACCTTATATTGACCATCTGGCTCTTGACCTTCCTAAGTTGTTGCAAATTCGCAGTTTCTGGCAGCGTCACCTCCTTAGCCCCTCTGAGAATACTTACGAAGAGTCATACTCTGGACTGCCTGAGATTCTCAAGCCCGGCGTCCGCAAGAATGATATCAGCAAAAGCTCCACGCTGAGCACTTCCTGGATTGGCTATTATTGTGAGTTGCGAGCCCGAGCATCTCAATTTGACGTGAGCTAACCATGGCCCTCAACATAGCTTGCATCCACCCATTTCCAAGGACAATCGAAGAGCTGGAGAACCGCCAGACATGTGGATCGCACGACGAGGAGATGGAAATCATGGTAAGACTCCAAATCAACCTTTCTTTGACCAGACTGACACGAACTGCCTAGACTCTCGAGCTTCAAACCTGCCAAGACCTGTTTTGGCCTGACGTCTGCAGCCGATTTGTCGCCCCTTTCAAGGGCGCGAACGTCAAGCGTGTCGCCTTCAAAGGAAAGCAAGGCATACATGGCAACGTCGAGACCAACCACGCCTTCGGCTTCATTGAGGATATCGAGGCTGTCTATGGGGGGTTCAGTGGCTGGCAGCGTGTCTGCTTCACTCTCGTTGAGCGCATCGATGACGAGCCCCTCGAAGTGAAGGAGGATGCTGCTGGCTGGCTGCACATTTACGAGGCAGTCATCATCCCCGGCGGAAGGGTGATGCTGGGGCGTTGGGTGGATATGAAGGCGCCCGCGGCCACGGGGCCTTTCATCTTCTGGGACATTTGAGCTGCGTTGCCGCTCACGTCCAGTGATTGGGGAAATGGGAAGTGAGAGGAGGCCTGGGAAAAAAGAAAAACGCAAAGACAAAGACAAAAGCCAATGAAGGCGAAAGAAGGGGAGACGCCACAAGTAACGTGCAACACAGCGAGGAGAGTTGACAATGAAATTATTTCAGCAAATGTTTCTGAGCGTAGTACTGGGTAAAAAGAGAGATTATGCGAAGGGAATAGATGACAATTGAAAGTGACGGCCTATTCCTCGATATCCTTGACCTTTTCCCACTGTCCCTTGAGGTTCTCCTTCCATAAGCTGACCTTGTTATCACCACCACTGACAGCCAAGATGTTACCGCTGAGACTCCAGCTCACACGCCACAAAACAGAGTCGAACTCCAGTGTTTGACTCGACCACACACCGGGGTTGGAAGCGTCCGAGGTCCAGATACGAACGGTCTTGTCCTGCGAGGCGGAGGCGATATAAGACTTGGAGAGAATGCTCGGGGACCAGGCGACATCGCGGACCCAGTCCGAATGACCCTCAAGGGTCTGTGTGAGGTTGTAGGATTTGGATTCCGCGCTAGATCGAGTTAGTTTGGGAACAGATCGCTGCTGGGGATCCTCAAATACATACTTGTAGTCCCAAATCTTGACCAAATTGTCACTTCCACCGGTCACAAAGCGGCGCTGTTGACCGGGTCCAGGGTTGGAGCTGACCAGGCTACCTGCGAAAGCAGCGGGAGCCCAGCTAATCGAGTTGACGCCCATTCCGTGGGCATGGAAGGTCTGGTGAGTCCAGTTGTTGTCGCGGAACTCGAGAACGCTCACATGGCCGTCGGAGGAGGCGCAGGCAAGAAGACAACCGCTTTCATGGGGGGCCCACGAGACCATGTTCACGGAAGCAGTGTGGAGGGAGAAATCGAAGACCTTGGTCCAAGTGCTACCAGCCGATGGGGAGGTTGCATTTTGAGGCTGCTCACGCCATATCAGAACCTTGCCGTCGTACGAGGAAGAGGCCAGAATTGTGCCGAACTTGGGATGAGCCTGGGGACGATCGCATGGTTAGCCAGGTTGCGCACGAAGCGGAGAGATCACTTACCCATGCGACGCACCACACAGCACCTTCATGGCTGTTAGAAATTGCATTAGTGTCACGATTGCCAGTAGCTTCCACGGATCTGCTCACCCCTTCAGTGTCTCGACCAGACGGTGTGATTCCCCCTCGATTTCGAAGATCTTTATCGTTTTGTCGGAGGAGCATGTCGCCAGCCGGCGGCCATAGTAGTCCAGACCAGCATCGTGCTATATGCCGAACCCTGCGATTAGCTTAGAAACAGCGAGGGGCCCCAAAGGATGTCAATTGGGGATTCGCATAGCACATACAATCATCTCTTCGTGCCCCGAGTTCGAGATCACCTGGGGGGTCGCCTGTAGGTGGAATTTATCAGTGAATCATTCGCCAAGCTTGAACCACTCCTGGCAGCTCACCATGATTGAATATTGAAACCAACAATGAGGTTACTGAGAGCGGGCTTCGGATCAGCTCTCCTTGGCCAAACAACCTGGCCCTTTGCTTATCTTATCTCGGCTGATTAAGCACACGTGACTACACGTGATGGGGCCTCGGTCCATCGGTTACCCCACGGAGCTCGTGGCGGGTATCTGACATGTTCGGCCTTTGTTTTCTCTTGCCCTTCCATCCGCGAGATCGCTCCTAAAGATCGCTTCATACTAACTGTGAACTGCCTCACTACAATACACGACCTGTCGGTCTGAATTCATTATGGGCGATGCGCTATGCGGGCCGTCGAATGCCCTTCAGAACTTCCAGAAGCATACTTCCGTTGATCGGACATTGCAGCAAGATCGATTAACTTCACGACAATCGCCGAGCCAGGTTGGTTAAGATTTCTCTATCCTCGTGTCTGATTGGCACTGACATCACCAGGGGTTTCGATCACAGAACCCTCAAGAGGGTATACTTGACCCGGAGTTCGCCGCATTTGAGGCCAATTTTGCCGGTCCCGCATTGCCAGACTTACAACACGCTCCTCATTCTGCGCCAACACATCATTTAGCGACAAACCATGGCGCAGCAAACCATCCGGGCAACTCTAGCTGGGCATCGGATTTCCAGAACTTACAGATTTCGGGGCCAGCACACCCGGCACAACTACAAAGACCCAATATCGCACCACAAGTTGCAAATGGCGGGTGGCACACTGAATTTATGCGACAACAGACAGGGCACATGCCACAGGCCCAACGGGATCCGCAAATGCGCGGCGCCTACCAACCGTCTTTCGCACCAAACTATCCGATGTATGGTTCGATGAACCAAATGCAGCCCTCGCAGATCCCGCAGAGCCAGCAAAAGCCCGTGGAGCAATTCGACGAATCCGCCTTCGAGGCCGCCTTCGACCAGGCCCGGGCAGATATGGAATTGCAAGGCGCCAACCAAAAAGACACCCTGAATCATCTAGAGGATACTCATGAATATGAGCCCGTCACCGAAGACATTCGGCTGGGATCCGATTTGATTCCACAGACTGAAAAACAAGACCCGCAGACTAAAGGACGGGATGCAGATGAACTTGCACGGACAGCCGGACAACTCCTAGACAGCGTGCGGAACGAACAAAGTGACAAGTTCGCCCAGAGCAACTTCCTCGCATTGATGCGTCGGATTCGAGATCGCGAGGTGGAAGTTGAAGGGGATGAGTTCCGTGAAGTCAGTACCAACCCGTGACGGTTCGGATGTCGGACGTGACAGAAACACCGGTATCACTCGGTCAGTCGACGAGGACGTTTGTCCTTGCTAATATTAGTGTAGACGGCGCATTCTCTTCACCCGGGTGGGCGTTACTATCCAGGCCAGCATCCCCCTAGTAAGGAACCCCTCTAGGGTCCAATGCAGCGCGAAACCTGACGAGACGTCCAGGTGAGGAGACTCGAGCATCTCGACCCGCCCAGGAAGGAATATCCCACCCGCCCACTCCTGGACCTGACACCCCATACGAGCCCCTGGAAGGGTTCATCAACAGCCAGGGACTGGTGGATCGACGCAGTGTTCCCTTTTGTTTTTTGAACCGAGAGTTGGAGGCGCATTTCCTGCATTAGTCTTGAAAGGGGCTTGTTCGCATTGACTTGGTTCTTTATTGAAGGATCTGCCATTTCCATTGACCATTGAACGGTGTACAGGTACTTGCTTGATTATGACAGCACCCGCCTTAGCGCAGGTACCAGATACATCTCTATTGATACCCACCAGATGAACAATAGCAAGCACGTGACTCTTATTGAGAACAATAGGCGATTTCCATTGATCCTTCCCGATCCAGTCATTCAATGCCCCAGGAGAGCTTCTGATTGGCTGCCTATTGATCGCGCCTTCCTATTGTATTCATTTTAGACTAACATGGAGGGATCCGTTATATATCAGCCCTTCCCTTCTCTTCCTCCTCTCTCCTTTCATACCTCCAGTGCTTTCACCATTGATTATACAATGAAGCCTCCTTCCGACGCATTGCGACACAGTCTTCAGAAGCTCGCCGAAGCGCGTGCCAACCGCACTACGACTACCTTACCTCCACCCCCATACACCCTGTCCGTTTCCAGACCAACCGGCACAAGTGTCATGACCGTGGACCAGTTGGATCCAGGCGACTCTTACTATCCTGAAGAGTCCACTCCAATTACCATCCAGATTGACAATTCAGTCAACGTGACCGGCAATGAGAACACCATCATGCTGCCGGCATCCGGGCTTCACACCCCCGCGAATGAAAGTAGAAGCTCCCCCCAGATGGGGCCACTGGCGGGGGTGATCATTGGCGCGCTGAGCCGCGCCAGTGCTCTCCGTGACGATTCAGGAGCAGCACGACCCATTAATATAACGGTGAACTCTGGGATTCGCGTCCACGGCGAAAACAACGTCGTCTCTCGCAGAACCACCAAGCCGGAAGCTGAATCTACGAATACTCGTGGCAGCGAAAAAATTGCGCAAAAGCGCCGTGCAAGCTCGGTTCGTACTATGTTTCGCAAATTGAGACCCAGGAAGCCTTACTGATGATGGCCACAGGAGCCTATTCCTCCAGAGGCTCAACGTCGCCGTCTGGCCTAGAAGAACTGCCCTAGGGGCGCAATAACTTTACTTTTTCACCATTTCCGCTGATCCTCAGAATATTTGATTCTGTTTTTTTCTTCTTGTTTTCCTGCTTGGCTACTCTCTTTGTTATCTGTTTGCTTGGAGTTGATTTTAGACTGGTATGTTAAATGGTTGATAATATTCATGAATTATGATTTCCTTTTTAATCAGGAGAAACTGGATGATGCTTCTGGGCTTGGGGATATTCTTGTGAGAAGTATTAAGTCCATCTCGTGATTGAGGGCATTGAAACTCTTTAATTTGACCATATACGATCTGTGGCATAGAAATTCGATACGCACCCTGCAATATAGGTACCCTTGCATGATTGCCCCATCCATTCTGTTTGAGTTGGTCATTAGAGGGTTTTGGTGTCACTTGAGATACCTAGGTAGCGAGTAAAGACAAGCTGGAACCTTGACCCGAGGGGTTCCTCCAACGGGATATAGTACGTGTATGCGCATATTCACATATTTCACGTACGAGGGAGATCCAAGGCGTCCAGAGCTGATGACAGCAGACTGGGTGTATTTTCCCTTGTGGACCTTGATTGGTGAAGTATTCTAGACTTCACTTCCAGCAAATCGACTAGCGGTGAGGGGTTCATGTCGATCTATGCAGCCCCAGGCGGGGTCTGCGAAAAGAGCAAGAAATAGTACAAAATGGAACCATGCAGACTAGACACATGCTGTCTAGTGGGTACGGGCGAGAGACTAGTTGATTAAAAGTGGAAACGAGTCAGTCCACTCGACTCTGGGGAAAGCTCAGTGGCGACTTTGAGCTGTTTGCTGTCTGATATAAAAAAGTCTTCATTCTGTAACAAGTGAAGCTTTTTAAGAGATACTAGTATGGGCAAATCCGCTCCCCAAGCTCTCCCGAAGTATGAGCATCCAACCGAGACGAGCTGTCCATGTCAGTACCCACTTTCCATCTGATGAAGTCGAAACTGACGAGGGTCAGTGAGGTATGCGGATATTCCCACCATCGATCTTGCCGACTATGATCGCCCTGGAGGTAAGGACAGGCTGGCGCTGCAGTTTAGGGAATACATTCACTGTGTCGGTATGCTCACTTGGATTCGACACGCAGAGAAACGTTGACCGATAAAGGATTCTTTTACATCACCAATATTGGCCTTTCGCAAAGAGAGATCAACCTGCAATTTGCCATCGCCAAAGCCTTTTTTGAACTCCCAGAAGAAGAGCGACTCAGACACCGGGCTCCTTTAGAAACAGGCAGTTATAATGGGTACCGACCTCTAGGGGCCTTGAGCCTGTTCCCGGGGATGCAGGACACGCTGGAGTTCTACAGCATCTTCAAGTTTATACCTTCAAGTGAACGATCTCACCCCGACATCATTCACCAATACGCCACAGAGATCGAGGGGTTTTCCAGGCACATGCACGAAAACGTTTCTTTCAAAATCCTCCGCGTCCTTGCTCTTGCGCTGGAACTGCCCGAGGACCAATTTGTGGACGGCAATCGCTACGAGGATGAGTGCGACAGTTCGATACGGTACATGCTCTATCATGCCCGATCGCAGCAGGAGAACCGGACCTTTGACAACGTGTATTTTCGAGGCCATACCGACAAGGGGACACTGACCTTCCTCTTTCAGCAACCGATCGCGGCGTTGCAGATACAACCGAAAGAAGCGGAGTGGGAGTATCTGCGGATTCCCGCGGGCTCGGTTGCCGTGAATATTGCCGACACGCTGCAATTCCTCACCAATGGATATCTGAAGAGCGGGTTTCACCGGGTAATAGCGCCTCCCAGTGACCAGGCCCACCTGGATCGGCTGGGTTTGCTGTATTTTGTACGGCCGACGGACAAGTTGCCGTGGAAGACGCTCGATAGTCCGTTTCTCAGGAGGAATGGACACGGGAAGACGTCAACCGAGAAGGATCGGGATATCACTGGGCTGGATTGGTGGAGGGCGGGCGTCAAGGCGCGGAAAGGTGCGAACTATATGAGTTCGGCGGCGAGTACGACTTAGACGCTGTGGGACCTAGATCCTGCGATCCCCTGGTAGAGTCCATGATCATTTCACCCTATACCTCGGCAAGTTAGAAAGTTGGGAAGTGTGAGATATTTGGGATGTACGAGGACAAAATTGCGGTTAAATATATAGCACAGCCAAACGGTTGCAGCCCGCAACAGAGGAGCTGTGGGTTGTCAGTTGGAAACAGTTTCTCCAGTACGGAGTAGAACGAAACAACACGAATCGGATAGAATTACCACGAGAGATCTACTCCGTATGAGAGCATTTGCCCGGGTGTTCAATTGAGAAAAATCAGCAAAAAGCAAAAAACAAACAAAAAAACAAAAACAAACAAGCGCGCTCAAGTACAAACATGTAAATCTAGTCCGCAGATATTGCTTCAAAACAAAGGATCAGGAAATCTGTCTAAGTACCATTTTGATTCATAACCTGGCGCGGCGATCCGAGCCAACCACTTCTTCCATCGCGGCGAGCATATCTTCAACCTCCGCCCGGGAAGTTGGCAGGCTATGAGGCGTCCTGTGCTCGAGGGTTCGCCGCAACGAAGGAGAACAAAATGATTCCAGCACCAGTGCACACTCTTTCAACGAACGGGGTTCTTTCTTTCCTCGAATGTGAAGGGTCGGAATATTCAGACGTGCTTTGTACACATCAGGGTGCACGGGGCATGGAATCTCCAATGGCTGTCGGTCCAAGAAATGCGTGGGCGGGTTATTCAGAATTGATTTGAGTGTATCAGTCACCGTGGCCACTGCCTTGACTGCTGTTCGAATCGGCTCTCGCAGCTTCAGAATCTGATCCAGCTGACCGGAACGGATCATTTGCTCCTCTTCAGACGAGAGCGAGCCGTACAGGGCCTGGTAGTAGACGGGATCGGTCGAAACAATAGGGACTGCGGAGCAAAAGACCGCGAACTGAACAGGAAGAGGCTTCCCGGGATATCTGGTGCGTTGATTAAGCAAATACCCAGCCAGGATCGCTGCGCCTGCGCTGAACCCCAAAACGCCATCGAAAGGGCCTTGCGTCTCGAATTCTTTCTGAACCAACACTTGAGCGGCTCGTACACTGACCGGATCGAAATCGGCTGAGTAACAGAGGTATGGACCTGGAAGATGTTGCACACCTGTGATTTGGATGAGTCGTGGATTCCAACAGCGAGCTCAGAGAGGCTGACCTGGGGCCGGTGGGCAAGTGATTCTTCCAGCAAGGAAATGGAACTCCCAACTCGGATCGCACAGTTCCCGCAAGGTCGACATTTGAGCTTTCATAATGTCGGGACTCATGCCAGAGCCATGGAGACAAAGTATACGCATCTTCGTTAATTCAGAGGTCAACACCGAGCAAAGGATGTGTTTAGTTGAGCTCCAAGAAGGAATAGCAATTTTAGCAAAGGTAGGAAGCTGAAAAGAGAATAACTACACTCGCAATTGAATTGTTTTGTGAGTTGGCGCTGCACGGAGATGCCGATCCACCGCAGTCAAACTAGTCAACTGGAGCGAGCTGAATCCACGAAAACGGCACTATCATTGGTGGCTGCATCGATGCTGCAACTAAGCACTTGAGCCACGATTATGGCCCTCGATGAGACCCAATCAGAGGCAATACGCGCCAGCCGGCTAACGTGAATAGCTGGGGAGATAGGGCTGTTGCTATGAGATCTACAAACTAGTCGGCACTTCAGTGTAGTATTCTCCATATGAATCATACCCAAACACCGAGTTCACGCCTTGCGTGGTAGGTCTGAGGGCCATGCAGAAGGTCATGTTTACATTTTCGAGCGACAGAAACACATCATAAAGCCCAAACCAAGCGACAAAATCAGGATTTCATAAATCTGCCTCGGGTGATACGCCACAACTTCTGGACAGAATAGTTCGTTTGAGGAAACCATTTGAGAACCTTGGAAGCAAGGGTGAAGCTGTGGTGCTTACTGGCCAATAAGTCTTCATCCATACGTTGTCCCCATTGGTTGGTGATAATCGTGATCTCGTCTCATGATTGATGCACCAAAACATGCTCGGATTACCTGCAATGTTCATGATGACTCGAGCTCTGTTGCCATCTAGCAGAGGCTGACTCGAAAACCGGCTAGCTGAGAGTGCGCGATCACTCAATTTGCTGGGAAACGAACTCGGAGGCTGACATGTTTACAGATTCCGACATCTCCGGCGATAATCTTTCTTTTCCCCGAGATGTCTCTTCAATCAGGCAGGCCTTTGAACAGAGTCTAGTTCCCGGGGCTCTATTAGCTGGTGAATATATTCCCAACTAATTGTACGGTTTCTAGGTCGAAGTATACTCCAACATGACAACAACTCTGGACATCGATCGAAGACTTAGAAGAATATGAAAGCGTGAATACTACCGCAACTATCTCAGTGCCAACGCTTGATAAAATCCTACTTGGCTATTGAATCACTGTGAGCGGGCTCAACTATTCATCGTTGACAGGATAGCTAATAAAGGGGCTTTATCTGCTGTCGGCTGTCAGGTTTTCTCTTGCAAAACACACCATTACCATATTGCATCTAGTTGCTCAATCGATTCTTCTACTTCATCGACATTGAGATCAATAATTTGAGTCTCGGGACTTGGCGATATAGACCATGTCTCAGATTCGCCTTGGGGGCCAACCTCGGCTCCGACTTAAAGGCCAAATCCTCGGCGCATTGCGATTCCCATCCTTAGCAGCCACCGACAACCTCATATCGCTCTCAGTCAAAGTTCTCAGATGGAGGGTGCGATGGAAGCCCCGACGCCAGTGGTCTTGCCCAACTCGGAACAGCTTTACATGAAGAGTATACAGGATGAGACTTATCTCATCCAGATGTCCTGGCCACTCAGTTGGCCAAAGGGGCGTTTTCACGAGGGCTCGGCGCCCATCATGTAATTATTTGCAGCCCTCAATCTCCACACCGTTGGCTGATCGAACATAGTTACATTGTCGATGGCAATGCCTTGTTCTTAACCGCAACCGAGGCAGCTTGGCGCCGAGCAGCAGAGTCGCGTTTTGTCGGAGGCATCGTGGTCGCTATCGGATACCCCTTAAGTGGGAAATTATACGATTCCAAGCGACGCAGCCTCGATTTGACGCCACCCACCGCGACTCCGATTCCCGGCTTTGGTGGCGCGGATGCATTTCTGGATTTTATCGCGGACGTCGTCAAACCGCATGTCACGGCGCGCTTTCCGCACATTTCCTTATCCAGGGAAGCTCTCTACGGCCATTCCTATGGTGGACTTCTCGCTTTGCATACATTGTTTACCCGCAATCAGTTGTTTGATTGCTACATAGCGAGTAGTCCCTCTGTCTGGTGGAATGACCATTGCATTCTGGAGGTAGCAAGAACCTTTCTCAGACAAGACCAGCCCTCCGACACGACTCCGTCCTCTCTCATGGTCTTTTGGGGGTCCTTTGAGCAGGACCCTCCTCAGTGGGACGACGAATCTCTGGACCAGTTCGAATCTCGAAAGCATATCGCGTCGATATTTCGAACGAGGGAACATTCAATCCAGATATGTGAGATGCTACGAGGTTCTCATCACTTAAAGACAGTTTTCATGCACGAGTTTGAAGGCGAAGAACATACGAGTGTCATGGCCGGCTCTATGGCTCGGGGGCTGACTGAGTTCTTCGAAAACTGGCCATCCCAAGGATGAATAATGTCATGTTACATTCCATCCAGTCGAGTCTCAATTGAGATTTCCATCGCCCACTTCTCATACCTCCAGAACTAGGCCGTGCTGGTAGCTTGGATCCTCGAAGCGGTCGCTTGCTGTCTTTTTAAATACATGTTACAGTGCACAATGATATGAAAATACTCCCAACTTGAGAATGAAGATCGTGAAGCGGAAAAAAGAGCTACGGGGGGGATCGGGCTTGGAAATTACCCAACGTGGTTAGGGCTTTGGGGGCGACATCTAATCTGATCTGATTTGTGAAGAACCGGGCACTTTTCGAGTCTCGACGTCGCTAATGGCCTTGGTCTCATTTCGCCGGCTTGGCTCTGCTCTCTAGCGCACTTGGCTCGAGTCCTGTGAGTGCCCTTTCGCCCACCCGCTATCGGAGTATATCCTTCATTGGCAAATTGGGGGCCAGTTCAGGAAAAAATCGACGCTACTGGCGTGTCTGCGCCAATAATCTCTCTCTTCTGATTTTTTTTTTCTTTCTCGTTTGCCGATGGCATGACTACTCGCTGATTTGCCCCCCTTGGGTACGCCGGTGCGAAAGTCTAAAAGGCTCCAGCTATATAGTCTCGACGTCGCCGCTTGTGGGAAGATCATCCTCAATATTTCCCGATGGCGATTCTGAGCAGGTTCCACAAGTTTGTGGGCAAATCCGACTCCGAGGGCCCTGAGCCTGAACCGACTGTCATTCAGCTCAACGTCGAGGATAAAGAAGCTGGACCGGCCGTCAAAGATATCAGTCAAGATGACAAGCCTACGGAGAATGCTCAATCTGGTGTGCAGAAGATCGAGGCTATCACCCTCACCTGGGGGAGGGGATCCATGTTCATGGTCTTGATATTGTATGTTTCCTGTTTTCATGGCTGAATCCACGACTGACCCTTTTACAGCATCTGGTTCCTCACACTGGTGAACAACATGAGATCCTCGGTGGTTTACAGCTTAACGGCCTATGCAACCAGCTCTTTCGCGAGTCACTCACTTTTGACCGTCATCAACATCGTATCCTCGGCGATGGCAGGCGCGGTTTATATTCCCATGGCAAAGGCGTTGGATCTCTGGGGTCGTGCGGAAGGATTCCTTCTCATGGTTGCCATGTGCATCTTGGGAATCGTTCTTTTGGCCTCATCTCACAATCTTCCGACATACTGCGCAGGAGAGGTAAGATCGTGCGACTCCCTTCTTACCGCGGGTTATTAATTCTCTGCTAGGTGTTTTACTCTGTAGGATTCGGAGGTCTCGCTTACAGTTGGGATGTCCTCGCAGCCGATGTGACCAACCTGAGAAACCGTGGTCTTGCATTTGCTTTCACATCTTCCCCGGCACTGATCTCGGCCTTTGCTGGATCCAAGGCCGCCGCCGAGTTCCTGCTTCACGTTAACTGGCGATGGGGCTATGGAATGTGGGCTATTGTCTTGCCGTCGTTCGCGTTGCCTCTGTATGCCCTTTTGGCCTACAACCTGCGCCAAGCAGAAAAGAAGGGAACCATCAACAGAGAAAGAACAAAACACAAGTTCAATTTCGAGACCATTTGGTGGGTTATTCTGGAATTCGACGGTGAGTCATGATTATCATCTACTCTTGACTTGTCACAAATAACTGACTTCTATAGTAATGGGCGTTTTCCTCTTTGCCGGCGGTATGGTCGTGTTCCTTCTGCCATTTACATTGGCCAGTACTGCCCCCAGTGGATGGCAGACGGGATACATCATTGCCATGCTTGTTGTTGGCCTGATTCTTCTCATCTCCTTTGGCTTTTATGAGACTTATCTCGCTCCGGTTCCCTTCCTCAAGTACAAGTTCCTCACCGACCGAACCATCTTGGGCGCATGTCTCTTGAACATGACATACCAAATCTCCTATTACTGCTATGCTAGCTACCTGTCATCATTCTTGCAGGTCGTGTATCACCTGGATGTCGCCACAGCCGGATACGTTGGCAACACCTTCAGTGTGGTCTCGTTTGTTTTCCTCTTCATCACTGGCTGGCTGATTCGAGTGACCGGGCGCTTCAAGTGGATTCTCTGGATCTGTGTGCCGCTCTACATCTTTGGACTGGGCCTCATGATCCACTTCCGCACGCCAGGAGGATACATCGGCTACATCGTCATGTGTGAGATCTTTTTCTCGGTCCCTGGTGGTATCTTCATTCTTTGTGTTCAGCTCGCTGTCCTCGCTTCCGTCGATCACCAGCACATCGCTGCAGCACTTGCCCTCGTCTTCGTGATGGGAAGTATTGGCGGCTCCATTGGCAGTGCTATCTGTGGAGCCATTTGGACAAACACATTCATGCCGAAGCTCCAGGAGACTCTTCCAGCGGAGGCTTTGCCCGACCTGGCACTGATCTATCAAAGCCTCCCCGTACAACTCAGCTACGCCGTTGGTACCCCGGTTCGAAACGCAATTATAGAGGCCTATGGGTATGCCCAACCAATCATGCTGGCCTCTGGTACTGGATTCATGGTTCTGGGATTCATTTGGGTTGGCATGATGAAGAATTTGAATGTGAAGACCATGACACAGACTAAGGGTAACGTCTTCTGAGATGCATGGCCGTCTGTTTAATGAAGCCCGAATGAGATAATCGCCCAGGTTGAATAAAATTATAATTACCGCTGGACTCTTAGTTACCTCCCACCCTCTACACGCCAAGGGATGGCATGTAGACATATGCGGGCCCTGGTCTCACCTTTTGCATAGTCATTGTTGTGGATGCAGTCCGCTCTCTCCTAATCTTCTTTACTGCGTAAATTCAAATTTCGACTTCCAAGGCCCACCCAGATAATTAAGGTGGCTAAACAAATCAATCGCAGATCACCGCAGGCTCTCACCGTCATACGACTCCCACGCTTGGGTGCTCCCAACATCAAATTTGCTACGTTCTGTTCGATGTTGGCAATTCAATGGAAACTTGGAAACTTATATTTGCAGCTGTATAATGACCTCGGGAGTTCTTAATTAAGGAATGTCACCCTATAGCAGTTGAAATAGTCAAAGCCTCACAGTTCCTATGCCTTGTCTTTCTTTTCTTGCATCATACGGCGTTTCTCTGCAGCCTTACACATCACACAGTAACTTGAAGGAGGATGATGGACATTTAGGTGAATCTTGCACTGGACGACATGGTGCGCACGAATGCATCGAGGTGACGTTGCATGTCTTGCGAATGGACAATGGTGTCCGGCCGGCATATTCTCGGAGGTCGTACTTGGACTTATATCTATAATGGTGAGATTAGCTTGCTGTAGGCTGTGTATGCTAAAAGAATACTCCTGGGCTACACTATCTGTCCCAAGAGTGGCTGTTCTTTTATAGAAGATACGGCATACTGCGTGAAGTCCATCAAAGAAATAATCTGAAAGCCACAGTAAATTGTTTTGCATTCTTTGTCCTGAGCCTGAGGGTCTCATATATCATCCAATAGTCTTGTAACGCATTGGAGATCCCCTTTCTGTAGGTGTCGCCGTCTGCGGATTGCCTCGCTCCTCATATGCAAGCCCACATTACATTGAGATCTTTGATCGTAGCTTACGATTCATTCACACCCACCAGGGCTTTGGTCATGAAGCATAAATCGAGGCGGCAAGATTTCCTGAACTTACTGAGAATCTAGATACCTTGCTTTTTCTCGGATTAACTGGATGGCCAGTATGGCTGCTCTACACAGCGCAGTAAGGATCGCTGTGACTCTATTCCAGTATCCCACTGTTCTTCTCTCTGCGTATAAAATGAGTCACGCTGACCTCCAGCTGTGGGGTACCACTAAGAGTGACTGCTTCCAGTGCGACCGCAGTATTTTATTGCGATCGAGTCGGCCTCGGACCAAACTCAGCTGGCCACGCTCAGCAAGTGAGGTGGCGTGGAATAACTATAGCAAAGCAAGCATATGCGCTTGGTTGGACATCAATACCCTGAAGTAGGTGCTGTGGCTATCGTTCCAGGTCCGGGTCTTGGTCAACACGAGGTTCTCTATGTTTAGGGCTATTAGTGCGGAATGAGCAATACACAATCCCGCCTAATGTAGAGACGGGCGACAATAAGGCAAAGAGAGTCTTAGAGGTCAAGTAGATCGATTCCTCCCATTTCTATTTCTCCTTGGGCTTTTAAGACCGACTGGCAACTCTGTTGCTTGGAACAACCTCGCCGATACATGGTGAACGCTAAGTATCCTCCAACATGCATAGTTTGTGATAGAGTAATTTCTGCCAAGGGCGAAAGGGAAAAGAAAAAAAAAACCATAGACTATGAGGGTTGGTTTTGGTAAACTACAATGTAGCATTGAGCTAGGCTCCTCATCTCACAGGCTCGAGAGATTTTGAAAAGATTTCCAATCCCAGATTACACACTTAACGTCTTATGAGCTTCCATAAACCAAGGCAGCAATTTTGTCATGGAGGCTTACCAGAGCCGCAGGGGAAAGCAAGCGAGCTGTTGAGGTTGCACGGCGCACGAACCTGTTGGCCTGTCATCCATACGAAAAGCCATGGGAAACCTGCCCTTGGGTAAAACGATTCTGCGATCTCAGGCCCTCCTGTCATTCTTACGACCAGGACTCAGATTTGTGTAAACCGTACTCATTGTACCGCCTGTCCCGGGACATGGTTCCTCTGAGCTCGACACCCTTGTCTCACACACGTAGAGCATCCTGGTGAGTGGGACTATAGATCCCAGAGATATAGGTGCTGAGCACCTGGAAAGAAGACTAATCATAGGCCCAAGACAACTAATTCAGGTATCAGGCCTTCTGTTGACTACCGCTGCATCTACTACCTAGGATGAAGTTGGACAAAAGGTCCCACTAGATCGTATATCGCAGTTTAAAAGCGCAGGCACCGCTGTTTCTGAAGCTCATAGATATCATATAGCTGGCAGTTGAGCGCCAGGGACGTGGACTTTTCCCAAATTAAAGAAATCTCCGGCCAACACGCCATGCAGAAATCTCCTGCCAAAATGACTTTCAGAAATCTTCAGCATCTGCTGCAAGAAGTATCAAGCTTGGAACATGGTGGGAACTTGATCTGCTACCCGTTAGGAAATACCGAAGCCCCAACCACTTGCACCTACAAGCAACTCGCCGAACATGCGCAACTCGCCTCCTGGTCCCTCCGTGCAAGCCCCATCGCTGCTGGACTCACTCCCGGCTGTCCGGTTCTCCTGCACTTCGATGCACACTGGGACACGATCGTGTGGTTTTGGGCTGTAATGCTGGCGGGGTGCGTGCCAGTCATTTCCACAACTCTTCCGAACGATCCCTCACTGCGCATGACACACTTGGCCCATTTATCGAAGGTGTTCGGGGAGCCGCTGTGTTTGACTCGCAACAACCTGGTCTCTGAGTTCAGTCAGCAGCCTTCCATCAAGACCGTGGCAGTCGATGCACTGGATCAGAAGACTGCCCATCCGATGGTGGATTTCACTGAATCCGAGCTGAGTGACACGGCAGTCATGATGCTTACTTCGGGCAGCACGGGCAAGTTCAAGGCTGTTTGTCTCAGCCACGGACAGATTCTCGCTGTCCTGACTGGGAAATTGTCTGTCGTGGCTCTCCATGGGGAGAGTTTTATGAACTGGATTCGATTGGACCACGCCGCTTCGCTCGTTGAGATTCACCTGCAGGCCATGTTTGCGCTCAAGGACCAGGTTCATGTCCACAGTACCGATGTGCTGTCTGATCCCATCAAGTTCGTGGACCTGATCGATCGACACAGAGTCACCAGGACGTTTGCTCCAAACTCTTTCCTGGCAAAGCTTCGTGGCACCTTATCTGAGGTGACCCCATCCGGCACGGCAAATGGTTTCTCGCGTCGCTGGGATCTTAGTTGTCTCAACTATGTGGCGTCAGGAGGTGAAGCAAATGTGACCAAGACCTGCAACGAGGTTTCGAAGCTGCTTTCCCACTATGGCGCCCCCCGAAATGTCCTCGTTCCCGGCTTTGGCATGACCGAGACCTGCGCCGGGGCGATCTTCAACACAAACTGCCCCCAATATGACATTGACCATAAATTGGAGTTCACCTCGGTGGGAACCTGTATGCCAGGGATTGAAATGAGAATCACAGGTGGTTCAAATGTCTGCGCTTCTCCCGGAGAGATCGGTAACTTGGAGCTTAAGGGCAAGACGGTCTTCAAGGAATATTTCAACGACAGCAAATCGACACTGGAATCATTCACCAGTGACGGGTGGTTCAAGACGGGCGACCGGGCCTACATCGATCGCGACACAGGATATCTGACCTTGACAGGCCGACTGAAGGAAACAATGATCATCAATGGAATCCATTACAGTCCTTACGAGATTGACAGCTTGCTCGATCGCTCCGATATCCCCGGTCTCACGCCTAGCTTCAACTGTTGCTTCTCTTCTTTCCCGTCTGGTGCGGACACTGAAATGGTCTGTTTGGCGTATCTTCCCACCTACAAGCCGGAGGACATGGTGGCGCGCGTGCGAACCACCGAAGCCATTTCGAAAGTTGTCATGATGGCCACCGGATCACGCCCAGAAATCATTCCCTTAAATGAAGCCTTGCTTCAAAAATCCGCACTTGGCAAGGTGTCCCGACAGAAGATCAAAACCAGTTACGAGAAAGGCGAGTACAGATCTTTCCAGGAGATGAACAGAGAGATGATCCGACTCTACTACAAAGCTGTCCGCACTCCCCCGGAGACCAAACTCGAGCGTCAGATTCTCGAGGTGTATATTGAGTCGTTGGGACTGGGCGAGGAGGGATTTGGGGTGGAAACCCCAATCTTCGATGTGGGAATCACCTCCATGGAGTTGATCAAGCTGAAGAAGGACCTCGAAAATAAGATTGACATCGGTCAGGAACTGCCACTAACGGCTGTCATGACCAGCTCCACGGTTCGTGAGCTCCACAGGGCGCTGCAGGAGCTCCAGGCTCCCCGGGAGTATAGCCCTTTGGTGACTCTGCAGGACAAGGGTACGAAGGCGCCTCTCTGGCTGGTCCACCCTGGTGCGGGTGAGGTCTTAGTTTTCCTCAACCTTGCGAAGTACATGAAGGATCGACCGATCCATGCTCTGCGTGCGAGGGGATTCAATGAAGGTGAAACGCCATTCTCTACCATCGATGAAACCGTGAACAGCTACTACAATACCGTCAAAAAGCAACAACCCGATGGACCGTATGCACTAGCCGGATACTGTTATGGCGCCATGATCGCTTTCGAGGTAGGAAAGCTCCTGGAAAAGAACGGCGATGAAGTCAAGTTTGTTGGAGCCTTCAATCTGCCACCACACATCAAGCTGCGCATGCGTGATCTCGATTACCGAGAGTGTCTGCTTCATCTCGCATACTTCTTGAGTCTCATGACAGAAGAGCGATCAAGGGAGCTGGCGATCGAACTCAAGGGTTTTTCCAGGGAAGAGGTCTTCGACGGGGTGATGAAGCACTCATCGCCGGATCGCTTGGCAGAGCTCTCGTTCTCCAAGCCCAGCTTGGTACGATGGGCCTCCCTTGCCTATGTGCTGCACAGCATGGCAGTTGACTACGACCCCTCGGGGTCTGTGGCCAGCATTGATGTTTTCTGGTGCACCCCATTAGCTATCGCGGCATCGACAAAGGAAGAATGGTTGAATGAACATCTCAGTAAGTGGCAAGACTTCTCCCGGGCCGAGACTGGCTTCCACGAAGTTCCCGGTCGACATTACACGATGCTGTTGCCGGAACATGTGTTTGAGTTCCAGAAGATCTTGCGAGGTGTTTTGGAGGCTCGAGGAATTTAGAATGCACTGCGAGGATCCGAGTTGACGATTATATGGTCAAACTGAAGGGAGATCAGTCATTTATTCGCGGATCTCGTTGCAGGGATGGAATGCGTTGAGTCGCAGATGTCTGTCGTTTCAATCCAACTACTGCGCTTGGTTATAGAAATTAACAGTATATTTATTATCTACCAATCTATACCTATTGTTATTCATGGATAATTGTATGTATCTCGAGAATATACCCGTGGACATCTATACCTCGGTCGATGCCAAGATATCAGTGGACGTCGAACTTCCAACTTTGACCTCGACCTTCCAGACCGTTGACAATCAACAGGCTACCGGAGTCTAGATGCATGCTGCCACACTGAAAATGCAAATCAGGGATTGTGCCGACATGTCATGCATCGTACCATTGTGTCGTACGTTTGTCGACGTACACGTCATTGACTTGTCAGGGAAGTTGGCCACTATGGATTCCTTTTCCTGGCTCACTACATATGGCTGAGCATTTATCTCCTGATGTGTCTGCTGTTCTATTGTCTTCCTTCGGTTCAACAATAACTACACCACAGAAATCCAGAACGACTGCCAGGAAACAGGGCTGTTGACATCTTGTGAGACATCTCACAACCAGCCAGGTCACACAACATGGCGCCCAATGCAAGTGAAAAGAGTATCTCTGCATATGGAGATGCTCGCTCGACCTTGGAGGGGAAGCCCCTGGATGCCGAGACCATCCGCAAGATGAATGCCTACTTCCGGGCTAGCATGTACCTTTGCCTGGGGATGCTTTATCTCCGCGACAACCCGCTCCTCCAGGAGCCTCTCAGACTGGAACACCTCAAGGCTCGTCTCCTGGGCCATTGGGGATCTGATGCAGGACAGTCTTTCACCTGGATGCACATGAATCGCCTCATCAAGAAGTATGATCTCGATGTGCTCTTCGTGTCTGGCCCGGGCCACGGTGCTCCTGGTATTATTTCCCAATCATATCTTGAAGGAGTCTACTCGGAGGTATATCCGGATAAAGCAGAAGACACAGAAGGCATGAAGAAGTTCTTCAAACAATTCTCATTCCCCGGTGGCATTGGAAGTCATGCAACTCCAGAGACGCCGGGAAGTATTCACGAAGGTGGCGAGCTGGGCTATTCGATCTCCCACGCATTCGGTTCCGTCTTCGATAACCCAGACCTGATCACCTTGACCATGGTCGGCGATGGAGAGTCTGAGACCGGGCCTCTGGCAACAAGCTGGCATAGCACCAAATTCTTGAATCCTATTGTTGACGGAGCTGTGCTGCCTGTCTTACACTTGAACGGATACAAGATCAACAACCCAACTGTCCTTGCGCGAGTGAGCCATGAAGAACTTACATCTTTGTTCGTCGGTTACGGCTGGAAGCCGTACTTCGTGGAGGGGAGTGACTTCGACAGCATGCACCAGGCGATGGCTGTCACGCTCGAACAATGCGTCAAGGAGATCAAGGAGCACCAGAAGAAAGCTCGGGATTCAAACACTCCTTTCAGGCCTCGCTGGCCCATGATCGTTCTTCGCACTCCCAAAGGATGGTCGGCCCCTCGTGAAATCGATGGCCACCACCTCGAGGGCTTCTGGCGCGCACACCAGATTCCAATCACTGATGTCCGCACTAATCCTCCGCATCTGAAGCTCTTGGAGGACTGGATGCGAGGATACAAACCAGAGGAACTATTCGACAAGAACGGCAAATTGCACGCCGAACTCAAGGAGCTTGCTCCCACCGGAAATTCACGGATGAGTGCCAATCCAGTTGGCAACGGCGGTCTTCTACGCCGACCACTCAATATGCCAGATTTCCGAAAGTATGGGTTCACGGATATCAGTCCCGGGTCAACAATCAAGGGAGGCATGGCTAACATGGCCATATTCCTCCGGGATCTGGTCGCTCAGAACATGCATAATTTCCGGCTGTTCGGTCCTGATGAAACGGAGTCTAACAAGCTGGCGGAGGTGTATAAGGCCGGCAAGAAGGTTTGGATGGGCGACTACTTCGAAGAAGACAAAGATGGGGGCAACCTGGCACCCGATGGCCGGGTGATGGAAATCCTGAGCGAACACACTTGCGAGGGATGGCTAGAAGGATACATTTTGTCCGGACGACACGGACTGCTCAACAGCTATGAGCCCTTCATTCACGTCATCGACTCCATGGTCAACCAGCATTGCAAGTGGATTGAGAAATGTCTCGAGGTCGAATGGAGAGCTCGTGTTGCTTCTCTCAACATCCTCATCACGGCGACTGTGTGGAGACAAGACCACAATGGGTTCACACACCAAGACCCGGGATTCCTGGACGTGGTCGCCAACAAAAGCCCGGAAGTGGTGCGCATCTATCTTCCACCAGATGGAAACACCCTCCTGTCGGTGATGGACCACTGTCTTCGCAGTGTGAACTATGTCAATGTCATCGTGGCCGACAAGCAAGAGCACATCCAGTTCCTCAACATGGACGAAGCCGTTGCGCACTGCACGAAGGGCTTGGGAATTTGGGACTGGGCTAGCAACGATCAAGGCGTCGAACCCGACGTGGTCATCGCATCTTGCGGTGATGTTTCCACGCACGAAGCTCTCGCCGCGACAGCTCTGCTGCGCGAACATCTGCCCGACTTGAAAGTCCGATTCGTCAACGTGGTCGATCTCTTCCGACTGATTTCAACCCTCCACCACCCACACGGCATGTCCGACAAAAAATGGAAGGCCATCTTCACCGATGACAAGCCCATTATCTTCAACTTCCACTCCTACCCCTGGCTCATCCATAGACTCACTTACAAGCGGCCTGGTCAGCATAACCTGCATGTGAGGGGATACCGGGAGAAGGGCAACATCGATACTCCATTCGAGTTGGCCATGCGCAACAACACTGATCGATACAGTCTTGCCATCGACGCTATTGACATGGTCAAGTCGCTCGGAAACACTGCGTCTGGCGTGAGAGAGAAGCTCATCAATGAGCAAATGGCCGGCAAGGCGGAGGCGTTTGATAATGGCCTGGATCCCGAACATATTCGGAACTGGAGTTGGCCCTGGCCGAAGAAATAGGACGTTGGCGGCACTGAAACATGGTGATTTTATACACGAGAATCTTCCAGCTTGATACATGCTAATCTATAATTTGTTACTTGTTCCTGTGAATATGACCTTAAAAATCGCAAGTCCAACTCAGACCGAGGTCTTCGTACAGGTAGTATCGAAGACCCGATCTGATAGATCCAGGTATACTTCAACTGCTACCCAGTTGCCGCTTATTATATACCGACACGAAGTTCGTCAGGCCTCCAAGATCAATGAAATATTGATTAGATAGTAAAAACGCAACTCTCTCTATTTCTGCTCGCGGGATCGAGAGTTTGCCAAAGATCAGGCCCTGCGCCGTGGCGCCGAGGTTAGCGTACAAGATGTGATAGCGAATCAACGGGGTTTGAAGAAGTAGATGGCGTGAAGTAGGTCATTGAAGCTTAATAGTACATTAAGACGCAAACAGCGAGATATCGTCAACTTAGCCAAATCGGCCAACGGGGATGTCGTGCCGATGAAGGTCCTTGGACCATTCCGGTGCGACCTTATCGCGCTCGTAGAGCAAACCACAATTGTGGCAGAGGGTCTGCGAGGAACAATTAGCATGATTCAAGTGAAAAGACTCGAATGACAACTCACCCGTGGACCGTCTGGACCGTCTCGCACAGCCCAAACTGCTGTACCCCATACGGCACAGTTCTTGCATCTCCAGCTTTGGCGCTCCCTAGAGATGAGTGCGTTAGTAAGATCCATGCCGGCACTTTGGACATAACATACCATTCAGAGAGTGTACCACCACCTCCTCCATACCCGGCCCCTGATCCAGTATCGGGGGTTCCACGGCCACCGGGGGTACCACCCCTGCCATTGGGGCTCAGGCTACGGAATCGGCGCTTGCGCTTGTTCCGCTCACCCCGACCCAGCGGAGTGTCGCCGTCAACTTCAAAGTGACTGCTACTTTGTCGTTGGTGATCAGGCGTGATCCCTGTGGTTGATGAGAATCTGGCGGTCTCTCGTCGCAAGCGACGAATCTGGCGTTCACGATCCCCTTCCCGGCGTTCAATCTCTTCCTTAGACAATGCCTCTACCGAGGGCTGCCACTCTTCGCAGATGGTCTCTGGGTCGTAACGCCAGCCGGCTTCCACGCCGTTGGCGGCAAGGTTGTCAATATCATTACCATAACCATTGATCCCACTGACAAGGACACCGCCTTCGCAGACTTCCTTCTTGAACTTCAATACGGCTTCGTAGATGGCGTGCGCGAGGGCGCTGACCCATTCACCGCCGAGACTGAGGTCTGCGCAAGTGATACGCGCAAATTCCTCGGCCAAGCCGGGTGGGTGAAGTAGAGACCACTCGAATTTATCTGTATAGAGCTTGTTCTGTAGGTTGATGTTGAGGGTGATCAGGCACCGATAGGCATCATCGGGATTGAGAAGGCTGTCATTGACGAGCGCTTCTTTGGTAGGTGTGACGGTGGTGGTGATGATTGGTCGGCTATCAGGAGTCGCAGCATTGGTGGCAGCTGGTGTCATTGAGGTGTCTCGAGAAGGCTCGGTCTGTGGTGGGAGACTAGGCGCAACGCCGGAGTCCGTGCTTTGGAAGAGGGGGTGGAGGGCAACACCGGCGTATTCCTCCAGCTGCTGTCGAATCTGATTACTGATTGTCATGGTCGTAGCCTGGGGGTTTGGTAGGTCGAGATCGCGCACGAAGCCAATGGCGAACTCTTCTGGGGTCGACAGTGATTCGTGGAGGTTCCATAGGAACGTATCCTTGATTCGGAATGGAGGCAATGGGTCGGGTCTGCGGTAGGCAGGAAGAGTTTGATTGATTGCAGGGTCTGCAGACGTGCGTGGGAGGGGGAAGGGTTCGAGAGGCTGATGAGCGGGTACTTCGACGTCAATCCGAATAGGGACCAAGGTCAAGGGAAGTTGCGCCTGGATTTGCAGTTGGTCCGCGCATCTAGAATCACCACGCTGTATGTTAGCCAGTTTTAAGGAGGGAAACAGAAGAGGCCGTTCTCCGAGCCCGGTGGGACAACATACGCTGGTCGCAACATCCGCTTGATCATCCATTCGCGAAAGAGACCTTGAACCTCTACCGGCGCATGCACTTCCTTGCCCAATTTCTCTGAAAAAGGAATCATCTTGTCGGCGGCGGATTCTTCGCGCCGAAGGCTCCTTAGCCCGGTTGGTCGGCGGGGGCCGTCGGTCTCATCGAAGTCTTCGTCATCGTAGCCATCTTCGGCGTAATTGATGGCTGTTGTACCACGCTTCGTGGTGCGCGGTGTCGGACCGGCCTGCGACGGAGGGTTGACGGGTGTGAGCAACGCGTTTCCATACTGGCGCATGCGCGGAGGGTAGGAAGTGATATAGCCTCGAAGAGGGGACATGTTGGCGATTCAATTGAGCAATAACATGCCCCTTCGAGGGGGTGGTTGAAGGAACGGAGAGCTTGCGATTTGTTGGCCCAATGTTCGAAGGGCAGATCAATGGAAAGAGGCTGAGGGACTAGTCCAAACGCCAACACAGTTTGGCTGTGAAGACTTGATTATCACCACAGCACACGTAGCGAGTATGAGATAAAACAAGTCGCGTCAAAGGGCTCGATTCAAAACTCCAGCTATAGGGACTCTGGGAATCGATAATCTGCGCAATGTCCTGTCGCGCTTTGCCCATTTCGACGCTAGCCCCATTCCATCACATCACGTGCCTTGTCGCCATATTGTTCAGGCCACAATATATCACGTGGACATAGTCTCGACAACCTACCAGCACTTGAGGGCTTAGAAGAATTATACGTACAAAGATACTGACCTGGTCCAATACCCAGGTGGTAGTTCTGCGAAAGATCAGAAGCAACTCTCAACCGACCATGACAAGTTTGACACCATATATTCAATAATTCACAGCCAAAATACTAAATAGCACTGCATCCAAAATTTTGACGAATCTGACTAGGAAATCAATATACTGGAATGAATGGAACCCAAACTGTTGCGCACGCCAGCCCTGCTGTCGAGATGAAAATTGAATATTGGAGTTGCGGGATAGTGTAAATGCAACCTGGGAAGAGAACAGACGAAACATCGAGGCGAAAGGCCGGGGGAATGATAGTTGCAGTACAAGATGCAAAGAAAGAACGTTCAAAGAAGAGAAATTTACCGGAGACCAATCACGCTCTGTAAGAGGTTAGCTTCAAGGAATCAGCGTTGGAGAGCACATCTCTTACCATCTCCAAAGTCCACACACGTCGAATCCAGACCTTGACCTGCCCTTCGACCCCCTCCACGTCGTTCAGCTCAATGCCCTCCCACCAGCAGCGGCGGGCAGGCTTGCGCCAGAAGAGCAGAAGTTTTTGGGCCATGCCAACAGCATTGTTGTTCGACAGGTCTCCCCGGATATCAGTGCGGAGTTTGGCCAAGGCAAGACTGCAAATGACTGCCTTGTTGGGCTCGGAGGCCCGGTGGCCCCATTGATCTTCACGGTCAAAACCACTACGGCACAGATTAGCTGGGACTCTCGGGGTGGTGGTTGAATTGCACGTACCCGGCGGTCAACATCTCGATCAAATGTTGCTCGGTTGATCCAATTTCCTCGCTCTTTCTCAGCCCCGAGAAGATACCGTCTTGCTTCAAAAGTGACCGGCCAGCTGCACGCTTGACTTCAAGCATCTCGTCATGGCCGATGTCCGAACGCGGAGGAATGACGTAGAAGTCAAGGTCCTCCCGGAGGACAATGATCCCAGCGCGGTCTTGCAACATATCACGGGCGGAACCTTGCATTGCATCCGCTATTTCCGCATCTGGCGAAGTAGAACCGGAAGGCAGAGATGAGGGGATCGTCTGAGCCACGTTCCGGAAGAAATCCAGCATATACTGGAGAGCCGCTGGATCATACTACATAGAGTTAGATTGATTTACTTCGCGCACTTCTCGAATATGGCTTCACTCACGTCAACGGGGTAGACATCCCCGTCATGGAAACCATTGGTGGTTGCATGACCGTCGGGAAGCAAACCATTGGGGAATAAAGATAGGAGTACGAACTCCGGCAAGGTTAGAAGCTCATCTCGAGACAAGGTAAACCGAGTGTTCCTATAAATTGGTGAGAACTTAGGAATCAGGAGATATGAATAACTGTTCAAGTCTTACCGGAGCTCAAGGCAAATGTTTTCATCACCACCAATGTCTGTCAGGGGCTCTGTTAGCGTACACTACACACAAGCAATTATTCAGCGTTTTGCTTACCCCCTAAGGTGTTGATTGGAGGTCCCCCAGTTTGGGAGACCTGAGTAATGATACTCGAAGCACCTCCTGCAGCAGCCATTACGTAGGTGAATGACTCGAGCGGGCTATATCCTTCTGTATATGGGGGAGGAGGTTCACTGTCGTCGGAAGAACCTTCGTTTTTGGGTTCCGAGAACGAGGCCTTGGTGTCAGCAACGACCGCTGAAGAACTGGCCGGCTCGAGGGGCTCCTCGACAGGTGCCGGGGGCGCTAAAGCGGGGGGACAAGCGGGCCCGGGTTCAGTAACTTTGTATGCGCGATTGGAGTCCGGCGAGGGCGCAAAGAAGAGGGATGAGAAAGGCGGGGGGTGTGCGGAGGAGCTTGAAGCTGAGGCAGGGGGTAGTGGAGGTGCGGCGTAATCGTCGTCGTCTGGAGAGTCGGTTGAACGGGGCGTACACGCCGTGATTGATGGAACCGACGGCGGCGTTTCTCGCGACACCGTGGTGTAGGTTGCCTGATTGGTCTCAGGCTGTTCGATCTACACGACCTAATAGGATCGGTGTTTGGACTGGCGATGCGATCCCAGTCACGTCTGAAGTGATGGTCCACGGAAGTGCGTTCCAGGTGGGTATGAGTTGAGTGTCGGATGTCTTCCACGTAGATTTCTCTGGTGAAGGTATCTAACGGTCTGATTGAGGGTTGGACAAAGCAGTGACAGACGATGGGAAGCGCTTAGGTTGGGGAAGCGTAGATCAACCACGGCGGTAAGTCCGAGCGCCATATCAGGGCTTGGCACGGTCTGATCAAAGAGGCGATTCAAGTTGAGTGCTAGTAATCCAATGTTGAAGGTAAACTGAGAACTTGCGATTGTTCTCTGACTTCATTCTTGTGTTAGGCATGTCCCTTTGCCTAGATATTACATTTAGTCGTCACTGATCTCACAGTATAACCTTGAAAAGGAGATCGGGCCACCACCTGGGCAACAACCCTGGACATTAGCTACCTACTTCACATTGGGTTTATATGACGTGGTAGTTCCAAGGCTGTACCTAGGTATGTGCAGCTCATGTGAGATATCCAATCTTCAATTTAAGATGAGGTCGCGACGGGGAAGCCACGATATAAAAGGTGTACAGCCGGATAAGTATATTCAGGCTAAGATATATGTTATGATATCCTATTCATATAGTCCAACTCAGACCTTGCGCTCAGCAAAGCTTTGAATCAAGCCCTCAAGGGTAGGCTCATACTCCTTCAGACTGACCTGGTCACCCTCAAGGATAGTGTTGGCCTGAACAAACACCTTGCGAGGGACCTTGTTCTTCAGAACAACATCACGGACAGTGGTTCCCCACCAGCTGTCAACAGATGTAATGTCATCGTACAGCCCCTTACCAGCCTCAATGTCTGCGGTACTCTTGTACACGTGCAGCTTCTGAAGGTACTTCTCCACAGCAGGACGTCCGTGAGTCAGGATCTTCGACCGATCAAGGTGAATCTCGAGATCAGAGAGATCTTCCTTGCTATATGACAGCTTGACAAAGTCATCACCAGCATCAAGGAAGGTACGCAGAATACTGTAGCGGGCCTGCATGTGAGCCTGGCCCCACTTATGGGTCTTGGGGTCCCAGAATTCGAGAGCCACCAGACCGGCACGAGCCATGGACAAGTATGCCGCGAAGAGAACATCACCAGCTTCACCAGCTAGGTCTTCCTTCCCATCACCGAAGCCAAAGATCTTCAAGATGCCAAAGTCACAGCCGAGCACCATGGCCACACACTCGGCGCGGCACTCCTCGTATGACGAAGCAATTGAGCCGAAGACAGAGCTCCATGTTTGTCCAGGCTTGTACCAAGTCGATACAGGCTTGTTAGTGACAGGGCTGATGGGCGGGTTCTTCACATCGAAGTTATACTCTCCGGGTGCAGTTTCTTGCAAAAGCTTACCGGTGCCGTGGCCAAGAAGCTCGTGAATACCGACCTGGACCTCGAAGGCTGGGTCGCGGAATCCACGGTAAACTTCCTGGTCACGTTCCGCAATGAAGGGAATGGCTTCATTGGGAGCCTTGGCGCTCAAGACATTGCCAAGAGACACATTCTTGAATCCTAGGTTTTGGCGGATGTCATCATAGTTCGGCAGGTTGATTCCCGCAGGGAGACCGGAGCAACCAAAGCTCAGAACCTCCAATGAAGTAAAGTCGGGGCTAAGGAACTTGTCCTTTTCGAAGTCGTTACCCCACGGGAGCTTGGGGATCATACTCTCGGCACTATCCACCAATGTGCCAAAAGCACGAGTACGCTCGAGATTGACCTTCGTATAGTTAGCAGTGACCTCAAGTCTCATCCGCAATCGTCCATACCAAAGCAACAAAACCCTCCCACTCTCCTCGCACGCCATGGGGATCTCTGTAAGTTTCAACAAAACCAATGTTTGTTTCAAGAGCCGGCTTCTGGTCCTGAACCCAAATGCGTTGGCTCTCCTTGAATGCCTCAATAGAGCCGGCGCCGAAAGAAAGCGCATACGCATCCAGCATGCGCTTTTGCTTATCGTTCGCAGAAACAAGTCCAGCTTGTTTAATAGAATGGGCAATCTTTGCCATTTCCTCTTGGTGATCACCGAACACCAGACGAAGTGTCTTCCCGCTCAAGTCACCATCAAGCTGGAAAGTATCCACCTCACCAAGATCTCGATCTTTGACGGGCGGGGAAGAAACGCCAGATGCGATCAAAAGTTCAAAGTCGCCAGAGGCGGTCTTCCGAAGTCTGGTGTTTTCCAGGGCGAGCCCTTTCTTTTCCATCAAATCGCCAATTGCCGTAATTTCTTCCTGTGTAATTGTCGGCGAGTCGGGATAATATGTGGTCATGTGGCCGCTCTTGGGATATCCAAGGTGCATCATGGACTGTTCGCTGGTCTCGTAGATACCGCCTCCAGTGGTGTTGGCCTTTTGGAAGGCGGCCTTTGTGTCTGCGGTAGCGGAGGCTAGAGCTTCGAAGGCGGATGGCGAGAGTCGGGGAATGAATTTGGAATCACCGAAGCCCTTGTAGTTTCCGCAGTTGCCCAAGAATTGACCGGCATATTCGAGGAAGAAACGGAGGTCCTCAGCGCTCACTTGTGTCTTTTGAGCCAGAGCATTCCAATCGCCGTTGGAAGCATGGTAAAGTGAAATGATCAGGTCATAGATAGGTTCGGATTCGGGAGAGACCTGGCGCAGAGTGACACGGGTGCCCTCGAAGGCAGCTCTATGGAGACACGACGTTAGCCTGTCGATCCCTGGAGAAGCACGATGCGTAATAAACCAAGGTCGAGATCAATCATACCTGCTCATGAAGTGTGCATATTTACGGAGGTTCTGATCCTTGAGCGTGTCAAAATGAGTCTTGATCTCCAGCCTAACCACCGAAGGGGGGGAGTCAGCCAGGTAGTGTTGCTTGACGCTTTGATCCATGTTGCGGGAGTATGAAGAGAAGGTAGCAAGTCTGAGTGACCGGCGAGAGTAGCGGGGTAGAGATACGCGGGCAATGCCACGCATGAGGTACATGGTTATGACATGCCTTACCAATCAGCGTGTCCCGAGGTCCATTTCGATATTTCTTGGCGTGTTTACATATACTTCGGCTCTTTTAACTGCACTTTACAATGTTTTCATAAAATGATTAATTCAATGCGAACCGGGGTATCGACTACAGCAATTCTGTCCCTAGATCAAGCTTTCGTATTTATCCAGTCCCTGCTTTTGACTCACTGCTGGCTGGGGTGGAGGGGAGGGGAAAGAGGTAGACCTCATAGCAGGGCTCAATGGGGATCGCACGGTGTTGCTAGGGCCCATGTTGCCAGCTGGAGGAGGAGGAATTGAGAAGGACGAGTAGTTGGGGGCCGCTGCCGTGGTTCCAGACATGTAGTTTGAGGGTGTCATGGTCGACATTGATGTCAAAGAGGGACTAGATGCGCCCATCTGGGGTCGTGCACCTGAGTTGGCTGGAGCTCCCCAGATGGAAGAAGAGGACTGCGCTTGCATGGAAGGGAAAGGTTGGGCAGCTGGCGAAGTAACAGGAGAGGTCTGCCGGGCCGGTGCGGCCGGTGCAAGTGAAGGGAAAGAGCTCAATTTCTGATCAGGAGTAATGGAGCGGAAACCAAAGTTTGATTGGGAGCTCAAAGCGCTGGCTTGGCTCGTCATGCCTGCGGGGTTTGAAGACCACGAGAAAGAAGGTGCTGCGCTAGGAGGGGCAGCTTTGGCTGGAGCGGACTCCATTCCACCCCACATATCGATAGCCTCGCCATTGGCAGCCGAGGGTTTCTTCCCAAGGACAAGACGCTCAAAGCTACCGGCGGCATCTGCATCCGGCGAGCTGAGGCCGGCGGCGGATTGGGATAACTCATTGGCCCCGTTCTGGAAACCAGTTGCCCCGGTGCCGGAGGAAAGCTCTTGGAGCTTTTTGCTCTGCTCCTGCTCAATTCGAGTGGAAAGAGTCTTGATCAAGGCCATAAATTCATTAAATTGACTCAGGCTCAACAGTGGCCCGAGACTAAAGCTCCAAAGGACAGGTAGAACTTCCAACGCCAGAAATTCGGTATCAGCAACAAGCCCCACCTGACGGAACACCTTGAGTGCAGCCATCATCACCGACGGCTCCTTGGTCTTGATCGCCTTCAGAGATGGGACAAGCTTTTCCTGGATGGTGTACTTGTCCAGGATTGATGATTTCGAAGAAGTAGCCTTGTTCGCGACGACCCCGGATAGATCATCATCAAGCCCATCAGAACCGTCCGCGGAGGCTCCGCACAGCACACTGAATGCTTCCAGACTGCGGACCTTGATGGCAAGACTGCTAGTGCGACTGAAAGTAGCAGCAATGGGAGGGAACACCTCATTCTTGACAGAACTGAAATCAAGAACAGGGAGCACCGCCGGGAGGCACTTGATGGAGGTATCTACCAGAGAGTGTTGTGGTGAATCAAGCCCAAGCCGAATGAGGGGCAGAATATCTATACACAGAAGGGTTAGACATATGTGGGACGAAGGGTAATTCCAAAGGTCTTACCATCTTTGAATTCCATCCCTGAACAGTTCCTGGCAATAAGCTTCATATTCTCAAGCACAACCATGAGACCAGCGTCTTTCTTAGAATCTCTCTCGGCTGGCGCTTTGCTAGAACCCGTTCCGAAGACTTCCTTCAGACGGGGAATGATTTTCTCGGGGAACACGCGGCGCCCATTGGGAATGCGTTGCAAAATCCCGAAAACATTTTGAAGAATCAGGGGAAGTAACTCTCGATCTTTCCCTTCATCCAACAATGCTCCTAATAATTTTCTCTCTAGGACAGAGACTGGGAATTCAGGCAATACGCGCTGCAGGCCGCGAAGGAATTGAGACTTCTCACTCGGCGTTTTCGCAGGTAAAGATTCTAAGAATCGGATGGTAGAGACTAGCACATTGTCGAAATATTGGGATTGCTGAAACTCGCGGGCATTCATTCGTTGCGCAGGTCTCCGGGTGATGAGCCGAGGCAAGACATGAGAGAGAACATCCTTGGGGATAGGTTTCGAGCAGAGGAAATTGTTCGCTTGGGACGGAGTGGAAGATGGCGAACTGAGCAGTTTCTTGTATGTGGTCAAATTCGCGTGTGTCTGTAGGGGTGAAGTATGTGGTGAGTTGTATAGCGAGATAATGATGAGCCCCAAGGAAAACAAATCAGCGGCCGAAGACACATTCGAGTCCATGGCAAAGTCAGGCGATGTGTAGTCCAGATCCAGTTGTACCGAAGCCGGAACTCTGGGATCCTGATAAAGAACCTCCGACACAGCCAATGGTGGAAGCGAGGATTTAGTCTCCGAAGAGTCCGGAGGTCCAGCAAATCCCAGACCAGATATTTTCCAATCTGATTTGGCATTGATATAGATGGCCTCCGGGTTCAAGTTTCCATGGACCAAGCCGGCAGATTCGTGCAAGAATTCGAGACCCTTGGCAACTTGCAAGAGTCCCTTCTGGATCTCTAGCTCATCAATCTCGACGTCTCTTCTCCTTCTAGTCCCGTCGGCTTCTTCGACCATGTACCGGCCTGCTCGCGAACCAGCACGTGTAGTGTTATCCTGGTCGTCCTTCTCCAACAGGAGGCCCGAGAGTGACGCAGTGAGGTGCTCCGTTGCGAACATGAGACCCCCACTCCGAGTTTCTTCAACGGGCTCCAGGACTTGGAGAATAGATGGGTGCCGCAACCGAGCGAGGTTGCTCGCTTCGCGCTTAAGACGTTCAATCACATCCTCCTGCAGCTTCTTGTTGGATGACCCCGAGCTTCTCCCAAATCCCCCAGAGCGAGTCTCCAGGGACTTGCGATCAAATATGAATACTGACGCCGCAGTTCCGGTTGACTTCTTCTTTGCGTCGTGGATCTTCCAGGGGCCTGAGTACACGGTCGGGCTGGGTGAGATTTGGTAGTTACTGGAGATGTTCGAGTTGAACGACTTCAGCGCAGAGGTAAACATAATGGCCTTTCAATTGTAATTTGGCCCATGAACAGACGAAGTGAGCGGAGGTGTTCGTTTCACAGTGTCGTCAGTGAGCTCGCACAATACATGGCTTTGTGCAGGAACGGTTCGCGTCGATTGAGTGTATCTGCAGAGCAGTGGATCTGATTCTCCAACAGAGGCTGCAGTGCCGGAGGAGAACTGGGTCAAACACTGCCATGGTGAAACCAATTGACCACTGGGCATCTATTGCGACCGCAATCACGTGCGATGCCCCAGATTGGCGCCTCAGGCGCCAATTCTGCTTATCGCCGACACAAGCCGAAGTCGGCGGGTCGGGCTGATTTGGCATCTCTGATTGGCTGTTGCTGCTGTGTACCCGCTGAGTCACGCCCTATCAGCGCAGGCGGTGAGCTCGATCAGCCGCTGGAGGCCGAGTCACCGGAGTTGTGGTCGACCTCCGCAGAGACATATTCATTGCAGTCCAGGCGAGGAGTCATCTGTTCCTTGAAACCTGAGCTCCCTATAAAACCGTGCTGTAGGTACGTCCGAATTGCTCGTTGTGACTCAATTGACCACTCTCCACTCCACCTACACTGTTCCCGCTCTTGAATTGTTCCTGACATTGTCGCAGCAATGAAGTCTATTCACCAATTGGCCCGCCGCCAGGCGTTGACTGGGCTCGCCATGCCCCGTGTGCTGTCGACTCAGAACTTGGCAGCCAGCCGAACATGGCAGCGCGCTTTCAGTGCCTCTGCCCCAGCTGCCTCACAACTCCCTGGCCTCGACCCTTCAAAGTTGACTATCACGAAGACAACCACCCCCAAGGAGCCAATGGACTCCAAGGACCTTGTTTTTGGAAAGTACTTCACTGGTATGAGAGAAATTGCGCATCACATTGAGACTTGAGCTCACTCGAGGGACTTGTAGACCACATGCTTTCCGTGGAGTGGACCGCCACCGAGGGGTGGCATGCACCACAAATCGTTCCTTACCAGAACCTCAGCCTGGATCCCTCAACCTGTGTGTTCCACTATGCGTTTGAGTGCTTTGAAGGAATGAAGGCATACAAGGATAGCAACGGCGGCATCCGTCTTTTCCGCCCTAATAAGAACATGGAGCGACTCAACAAGTCCTCTGCTCGCATTGCCCTGCCCACCGTGGATGGTGACGCTTTGACAAAAATCATCGGCGAGTTCGTCAAGACTGATAGCCGATTCATTCCGGAGTTCGTATTTCCCGGATCCCCCGACAAAGAACAGGACTAACCTCCTCCAGTGCTCGCGGTTACTCCCTGTACCTGCGCCCTACTATGATTGGCACACAGAAGACTCTCGGAGTTGGCCCACCTGGCTCTGCTCTCTTGTTTGTCATTGCCAGCCCTGTGGGTCCTTACTACCCTACTGGATTCAAGGCCATCTCCCTGGAGGCCACTGATTACGCCGTCCGCGCCTGGCCCGGCGGTGTCGGAGACAAGAAGCTCGGAGCTAACTACGCTCCTTGTATCTTGCCTCAGCTCGAGGCCGCCTCACGTGGATTCCAGCAAAACCTGTGGCTCTTCGGCGAGGAGGAGTACGTGACCGAGGTTGGCACTATGAACCTCTTCATCGCCCTGAAGAACAAGGAGACCGGACAGAAGGAGCTTATCACCGCTCCTCTCGACGGTACCATCTTGGAGGGTGTTACCCGTGACTCTGTGTTGACCCTTGCTCGGGAGAGACTTGAGCCTCTCGGCTGGGCCATCAAGGAGCAGAAGATTCGTATGTCAGAGGTTGCTGAAGCTTCTGAGGAGGGCCGTATGATTGAGGTCTTCGGCGCTGGCACTGCTGCTATCGTCAGCCCCGTTCGCAACATTAGCTACCGCGGTAAGATGGTCGAGTGCGGTCTGAAGGAGGACGAGGAGGCTGGTGAGATTGCCCTCCAGATGAAGAACTGGATCGAGGGTATCCAGTACGGTGACGAGCAGAACCCTTGGAGGTAAGTGACCACGCATATCAGTGTGTGATCAGACACTAACTGTTACACAGCGTTGTGATTTAAGCATGATACGTTCAGAAAGGGCTTCTCTACCCAAGCTTTACTGCATTGCAACAGAAGCTTTCAAAAGTCCAGATCTCAGTTTGTGTCATCTAATCTTGCATTTTTCCTGGCCGTCAACTCAGGCGACTTTGAGGCTGCCCTATCGCACCTCTCTGATATATTACTTAGAACCTGGTCCTTTACATATAAAGCTCTTGCAACTTCTTCGATTTGAATTTCCATTGAGGTCTCAAGCACAGTGCAAATTTTGAGGCCTGAACATGCGCTATATGCCTAGAAACATGAGTAGATGTAGTAAGCGAATGTTTTCGGTACATGCGTACAGGAAATGCAAGCCAGGGCCTTTGGGGCTCTTGTGTTAGAGCAACCTTGGAAGCATGCTACATTGACACCTGGCATTGGGCCCAAACCTCGGAGAATGGCTGCAGCTTCTTTCCAGCCAGATCCTGTATATAAGATCATGTCTTCTAGTCCTAAATGAGGTTTTGTAAAACCACGGGTGCTAGTGAGATTCGATCTTGCAAGATTTCAGTGGACTCCGTTTACATGGCTCTGATTTTCAATGGACGAGGGTGTAATCAATATGTCTTTGGTACTACAGAAGTCTAGTAGGGGAGTCATCGATGATGGGTTTTTCGGAAAATCGCCAATGCGAGACAAGGAGAAGGTGAAAAAGGTGCTGGAGAGAGAGAGAGAGAGAGCGCAAACCAGGTCTGCGCCTGGGCAGTCGTGGATAACTAGATAGGCTTGGATTTCTCTGTCTTCTTTCCCTTTATCTTTGTGGTATAGAGTCACATCTTTCAGAATGACCTAAAAAGACCATCGCTCTGGTCTATTTGTCTAATAGTGCATGATGGGGTGCCAAAGGGCAGCAAAAGACAACGTCGAGGCTTGCAAAAACATGCACTAAATTTTCCTCAATTCGCTTGTAGATTAATCTCCCCAATGCCTATAAAGCCAAGCTCGTTCAACGAGACCTGAAACTTTAAAGCCGAGACCGTTGGCTGAATGTTTGCTGCACATGCTCTACATAAGCTCGTCTTTCCGGGGTCTATACGGTGGCTTATATGGGATTTCCTAGACACTCGTGGACGTCCCATCTGAGCTTCCGGCAACTCTCGAATTCCCCATCCAAGCGGAAGACGTGAGGGGGTTTTCATGATTTGAAATTTCTAATTCCCAACGATATTGGTATTGCGTCAACATAACCAGTCTCAAGGCCCGTCCAGTTAAGACTACTTAGAAGACTAACTTTTAGACTAGAATGCCGTAAATTGCAGCTAGCTATGGGTAATAACAAGTTGATTGCTTGGAAGTGTGTTGTCTTATCTGGAATTCAACTATACATACTGAGCGACCAACGGTGAAAATTTCCATCAAGTTCAGTTGGGACCATCAGTAACCGTCAATTGACCCCGAGGGTGGACTTGGTTAATTTCCAAGGTTTTGTGTCGGCCTCTATCCGAGACGTTGACAGGACTGGAAACAATATGCTCCCTAGTAGCATATCCGAGCTCCAGTGACTCTGAAAGCCGGTCGATTTGGGTTGGCTGAAGTATGGTCCAGTGCCTTGAAACGCGATCGCCAGTTTCGATACACGCCTTTCTCGACGCTGGATGCAGAAGGTGAGATGATTCATGAATAAAGTTTTCCAGCGAAAAAAAAGGGGTAAATCTGTCAGGACCTTGGTGTCCTGGATCTTTGTCAAGCTTTGCTAGCGTTGGCTTGCTCGCTTTACAAGTTCTGGGAGTTCCTTGCCGACTAACTACCTATTTTTCAGGTCAGGCTCTGGCCAGCAAGATGAAGTATTGGCATGCTACTTGCTATAGTAAAGTAAGTAGTATATTGTGAAGGATGCAATCTGGATCAGACTTGACATCTGTCAACGTCACTCAAAATTGAGGAACCGGAATGGGCCCCAATAGGCGATTCGACAGAGTTTTCCAGTATACTAGTCCCTCGATCTCAACCGATGTAAAAACACGAAGATAAGTGGTTCCTCGACGATGAGACCCATACGACCCACCTCATCCCCTGATTTCCACTTTTTTAATTTACGACTATCAGATCGTCCGATCTGCAGCTTGCTTAGTTCGTCCACACGCCTTGGACTCTGTGGGATCTTACCACGATTGTGGCCATGAGGTGCTCTCGCATTTCAGTGATACCGACTTATAGGCACTCGGAACGACCTTCTCTGGTATCGGCAGTGGGCTCCCTGTCAGTCTCCGCGTTCTGCTCGGATATTGGGAAGGGCCCATCTCAACCCTTGGAAGTATCGGCAGGCATTCCGAGCTGAACGAGCAACGTTGAACACCTTTGCCTGGATAGCCCTGGCGCGGTGATTTGATACTGTTCGTTCCAGAGGATCTGAAACAACCCAGCGCACAGAAGTACGCGAGGGACGTTAACCTTGCACAAACACAGTGCTGACAGCCAGGGTGTACACAATAGGAATATGCGCCCGAAATAGCGAAAGGACTGCAGCTAAAGCGAATTAAGGTAAGATACGCGACACGTGGTCCACGTGGCTGAGTATATCTCGGCATCAATGATACTCATATGGTCTACGGAGTATACAGAGTATACAGAGTATACAAATATACAGAGTCTGGCACGGTTGAATGTCCCCCTTTCACTTCCGTTCGGTAGGAAACAAAGAGGTCCAGTGGCTGACGTTGCAACATTCCCCATGTTCGGTTTGCAGGGCCAGGTCGGAGATTGTTTGATCACAGCGCTGGGCGCCTTGTCCGACTTGTCAATCTATTTATGACGAAGTTGGCAGGCCCAGTAGGGGCGCTTAGATGCGCTCCGCACTCGGTCCATTTCACGTTTGGTGTAACGTCCCCAAGCGTCAAGAACGACGCGTGCCAACAAAGAGGCTCGGAGATTGCCGTCGCTGGACGTCACACCGGTGCAAACATGGCCTGGCCGACCATCGCTGCAGCTGGATCGCAGCTCCGTCCGAGAAACAAGGCCCGGGCTGCAGGAGCGTCCACCGCCAGGAACATTCTTCTAGATGATGACTAGAAGGCTGGCAATGCAACCGGGCCCATCATCCGGGGAGGAGCGCGACCGCTGACTGGTCACCATCCCTGCAGGAGGCAGACCTCGCACAAGGATGGCTGTGCCAGCCTTCGAGCAGCAGCGGTGAAGTACGAGTCCATGTACCGGGTACCTGAGCTGTTGTGCTTCAACCTGTGCCCGGTCAGGCGATATCCCCCTCGAACAGGAATAAGAAGACCGTCTCCAGCTCAGCCCTAGGGGGGAACAAAGAGCTATGGCGACGCACTGACAACACTCGGTGTGATTGTCCCCGGGTGCGGGCCCCGGATTGGTCCGTCGGGTGCTGCAAGGCCGCCTATTCATAGCCTAGTGGGCTGACTTGCGAGGAGGCTCTGTTCGGGGTTTGGAGGATGGGGGATAAAGTTCCTAAGAGTCTAGCCCATGTCGGGTCCGACGTAGCAAAAGCACAGAAAGGGAAAATGCCTGAGCGTATCGGTGGAGACAGCGCGCTATATGCCTTCTTTAGTAACCCAGATGCAGCCAACCCTAAGCGCGTACAGGAATAGGATTCGGGGCGAAAAGAGAAAAGCAACGAAATACAATAAATCCGCACTAAACGGACTAAAACACGGACTAAAAAAGAACAATACTATTCCTTGACAGGTCTAGGGCTAGAGGAGTATACGAAGCAACCAATGACTGGTCACTAGGTGTTATAGGCGACCCTTCAGCCTAGGCCCTCGATTCCAAATCCCGCTTTCCTTTCTTTTGTCTACTCAATTGAAATTGTCGTCTTACGGTAGTTTAAATTACGGGCCTCTGAGAGTCAGATCTTTATCCCTTAGTCCGTTGCCAAGCACACGAAATAAAACGTGGGCTCATGCATACTTCGCAAAGAAATTCCCACGTGAGAAAAAAAAAGAGACAGGACGAGGTGTAACCCTCCTCCCGTTTCATCCCTGGACATATCGTGTCTCGGGCCAGTCAGGTCGAATGAGGATCGCCTCCAAGCGAACATCTAGCGTGTCCAGCCCAGGAATCAATCCAATGCGATCATACGCCGTCCCACGCTGGTCCTACACCTGGTAGATCTGAGATCCCCGATCCGTCATGGACCGGTCTGTCGGTGTTTAGAGAGGAGAGGCTGAAGGGGAAGTAAAATTAATTAAAAACGGACTTAGCATTGCCACGGACTTAGCCCGGTTATCGCGACGGGGGCTGCGCAGTAAGGCCCGAAACCAAGAGCTGATCATTAGTATATAACGACCGCTCTCCACTTGTCTTGGCCCTATCTGCATTCCTGTCTTCTCTATCCTTGACTTCTCTCTGTACTCTATACTCTCCCATTAGCTTTGATATTCCATACCATGCATCGTGCATCCTACGACGGCCGTGCTGGCTCTCGAGGCAGTCACAGCAATAGCAGTGCCTTCAGTCCTAACGCCAACGCCAATGAAGACTGGACCAAAATCTCCGATCTGGCCGAGCGGCGTCGCATCCAAAATCGCATCGCCCAGCGCAACTACCGTAAGAGAGTCCCGTGGTTTGGATCTAGAGCCGTCTAACCAGAGACCACGCCAACAGGCAAGAAATTGAAGCGCCGTCTGGAAGACCTCGAAAGACGAGCAGCCACCTCTGCCTCCCCAGAGCAGTCCCATGAAGAGCCCCCATCTCCCAAGGCCTCTCCCAGCAAGACTCGATCTAAGCAGCGAGCCCCCAAGCCAGATGTAAAGCCGCACCTGCAAGATCGACCAGCCTACGACTATTACACTCCAGAGGACCGCTCCGCCATGTTCGCACAGCAATGTACACGGCAGCTGTCGGCGTCACCCCCACCAGTCTTCTCCTATCCATCTATGTCGCCTTATGACACCTTCCGACCAACCTACCCAACCCCACTCTATCACACGGCGCCAAACGCCTACAGTGAAATCAGCTATCAAACCGAATATGGCGAGCAGGTGCCTTCGCTGGTCCCACTTCCTTCGATGCAACGCAAACTGGCCTACGACGAGGACCTGATTAGTCCATTTAGCATGAGCTATGCCACAATGGCCGGTATCGATCTATGCCAGCAGCAAGCACACGCACAGTCACATCCAAATGGCCTTCCGGTACATATCCCTCGCTGATTCCTTTTCTTTTTTCTGAAAAACAAAAACAATACACGAAAAAGAAAAAGAAAAAAGACCACCTCGACCAGCAGCTAATGTCCTGCAGGTGCCATCGCTTGGATACAGCTACGCGGACCAGCGAGCGCCGTCGACCTCCCCGGATGCCTCTATCTTTACCTTCCCCCTCACGCCGGAATCAGTACCGTGTTCTCCTCGTACGATGCCGTACGAATATGATCTACGCTCGTGATGCAGGATCAGGCAAAAGTCCGCCGTGCGGGTATTTCCGCCCCTCTCAAGCGGACCCCGACAGTCGATCGGATGCCCACTTCTTTTTTTTTTCCCTTCCTCCACTCAGGCTCCAGTGGCTATAGTTGGGGGTGTGCGTGTGAAGAGCATGATCATTGGCGTCTGTTTTATTGGTAGCGTGGTGTTTGATGGGAACAGGGATATGGTCCTATGAATGTATGCCGTTATTTCTCCTTTTTTTTTTTGTTTATTATTATTCTACATGATTTAATGCAGATCAGGCAAGAATTTGCTCGAATACCTGGCCCCCAACGAGAAAATCGGTTGATAACCCTAAAGTACGAGGCGCAGCTGGACCAACACAGAACACAGACCAAGATGCAGACCAAGACCAGACCACCAATTCCTGAAAGGGGACAAGTTCACACCTGACTCGTGTTGCAGAACCCCCGCAGGACTCGGTCTTTATCCGCCGGCCTTTTAGTTCACCGATGATGCCATTCAGTAATCTGCACTTCCCCCCCCCCCCCCCCCCCCCCCCCCCCCCCCCCCCCCCCCCCGCCGCCGCCCACCCCCCCCCCCCCCCCTCCCCCCCCCCCCCCCCCCCCCCCCCCCCCCTCCTTCCCCCCCCCCCCCCTCCACTCGGACGCGTGCCACCGCGCCCCTC